CCATTTTGCACTGGTTGTACCTTTTGAGCCTCCCTTTACCGGAGACGCTCACTTATGTATCGGAATTTCATTTCTTGTACTCAACATAACATGTAAGGACCCACGACCTACATGTGAATCTGTGGGCGATTATAAGCCAAACATAGAGAACGTGAAAATAAGAATTGGAAATCTCCATGCAAGCTGGCTATGTCAAGGATCACAGCGAGAGTCTCGCCTGGGATGATAGCTATGAGAGCAGTGGTCCAAGTTCACGTCATAACCATGACAATATGCTAAACCCGCAGCTGCATGCAGCTACGTTTGCAAGATGTAGGTTACAGGTGAGTGGACTGCTTACATGTCATGTAAGTACAAAGTTGAATCAGCAGTGTGGGCGAGAACCATCTCCTATAGTAAGACCATGCACGAACGAAACGGTCGTTCTTTCTTGCCTTCGAACATCTCGCCCCTCGATCATTCCTTGATATTCACGATCTGCCACTCGATCTGTCTGTTTGCCCAGAAAGGCACGACTGTCTTCCCCTCGCTACTATATTCAGCCTGCACACTCACCCCTTGCACCTTCTCGACAAAACCTTCGGGGCGTCTGAATCCGCCGGAATCTGATAAAATCCGCGCCCAAATTACTCGTAAAATCAGCCAACCTTTCGATCGCTCCGAACGAATCGAGAAGGTGTGCGACGAGGGGGAGAAGGATAGGAGATGTATAAACCCCTGCCGCACACCCGCTTGTAGATGTCGCTGTCGATTTGAAAGGCTCGGATGCGGTGCAGAATCAGAGCCGAGGAAGAATTTCTTGTTGCCGGATTTGATAGCTTCCTGAAGAGCACGTCGATCATCTGGAAACTTGGCGACAGGTTTGCAGAAGTGGAAAGATTGACCTGCCCAATCGTCGACTGTGAGGGAGAGGTGGTGCGCTGTGATTGTGCATGCGACATTGTCACCGCAGACTTTGACAGCATTGATGGCTGCTGCAGTCGTTGCATGTTCGAGAACGATACGCAGCTTGGGATATTTGTTCGCTAGGTTTGCGAGAACGGGAAGGAAACGTTCCTCAGCGTTGAGGACGCAGATGTTTTTGGAGTGGTCGGATGGAATTTCTCCGTGAAGGTTAAGCACGATGCCGTGCACCTCCATCGCTTTGAATAGCTCGTCGTATTTATCATAACTCTCGATTCCCTCGTCCGAGTTCGTAGTTACGCCACGGGGATATGATTTGACGCCGACAATACCCGCAGCCTTCCAATTCTTGACATCGTTGGGATGGAGAGCGTCGGAAAGATAGAGCGTCATGAGGAACTCCACTTTGGATGATCCCGAGTACTCCTTCAACCTTTTCTTGTATTCGATTGCCATCTCTGTAGTGGTAATTGGGGGCACAAGATTTGGCTGCGATCGTCAAGTTGATCGTTGTCCTATGAACTGAGAGGTAATTAGCACGTACCATGACATAGGCAAGATAGAAACCACCCTTATGGACGTGGGGGGTAACGAGCCTTGATAATTCACCATCCCTGAGGTGAACATGAAAATCGGCGGGGGCGGTCACTTCTATTATGTCTCCATAATTTGCAGTGGACATGATCGTGAATCCCTGGACCCGACTAGGGTACAGGTATAACGAGAAAAATCCTCTGTCCAATGATCGCTACCGGCCCGTTAGCGGTCCGCTCGGTTTGCTTGTTTAGGACCACAATTTCTCGCGCTCTCCTTTCACCCCTTCATTGAGGGGCCTCATGTTCTTTCATCTTCACATCGACCTGATATGGCCGCCTCCTCGTCGTCTGTTGTGCCCTCTGCGCATGAACTCGTTCCACCTGCATCTCTTGTTATTGCAGATTACCATATTGCTGATGAAGGTGTTTCTGTTGTGTCTTCCTTTCTGCTCCGGAGATTGTTTGAGTATCAAGGAGTATCGAGAGCGCGGTTCACCGCTTCTCAGCAGTATCCAGCTGGAGTATTCTTGGCGGTGTCAGCCCCAACTGTCCGCCATGTCATTGATCATTTTCCCATGATGACCTGTGCTCATTTCAATGATTTTGGCTCGGTCTCATTCGCTGTCTGTCAAGGCATCTGACACCCATGATTATGTTCGTGATTTGCTGCGAGTTCACATATGTAATGACCACTGCGGTAATTTACTTTTTGTCTTCAAGCATTTGTTGCACGCGCGACGTCGTTTGACCCGGAAGTTCTCCCTGACCCCTTTCTTCAATTGAGCAAACAGACGTGCGCTACTGTGAAGGCCAAGTCCTGTGCCGTTCGTTCTGACATGGAGCGCATTGTTACTCGTCAACAAGACTCTGCGGCCCATCGACATGACTTTGATTCTGATCCTCTTGTGGAGGATGATCTTCAGTTCCCTACAATTTGCACGATGGCTGACAAGATTAACATCATCGCTGAATGGCAGGACAAGATGTCCCCTGCCAACCAGAAACGTGGCGCTTGTGCAGTTTGTGCATACAATGTTCGCGCTGCTGACCTCGTCTCTGTTGACTTATCCAGATTTCTTCTCAGTCTCCTGCAAAATGAACGCTTGCTGGAGCACACACTCCCACGATCCTATGATTTTGAATTGTATCAATGCGCCATTTTGTATCCTAAGGGTATGACTGATTGCTGGTCGTTGGCGCCTCTCTTGCTTTGTCCTTCTTGTTGTGGATACTTATTATGCAAGCAACCACATCAACCTCTCAACTCGTTAGCTAACTTTCAATACTATGGCCATGAGCGGTTGCCAGACGCTGTCCGTAGTGCACTGAAAAGTGCCTCTCTGTATGACCTCATGTTGGTCTCGCGTGCATGTGCGCCTCATGTCACCCATTTTTATTTGTACAAGTTCCAAGTGGGTGGCTATCGCCAGAGCGAGGAGTTGTCTCAGTGGTATAACCAAGGGAACGTTGCTATTCGGCTGCAAGACCCGCCTCAAGTGCAATCCTTGTTACCTCCCTCATATGATGACATCCGTGATGTGGTTTGTGTTGTTTTTACCGGTCATAACCAGTCCCCCACTCACGAGACGTTGAAACAAATGCACCCGATTCTTGTTACCAAGAGCATTGTCAAGACCCTGATTGATTTTTTGACAGCCAGCAATCTGTGGTATCAGCACAGTGAGGTTTCTATTGGAATCCATCAACCTGATGGGAAATAATGGATTGCGCCATGAGGGAAACATCTTAGTCATGAAAATGAGACAGACAGATGAGCAAGAAATCATAAACATGACAGAGAAAGACAAGGTGTTCACGATGTTCCTGCTGAAGGCGTAAGTTGTCATATAGATAAAGAAGAGACGTACACTGACAGGATAGCAGGATATTGTAGGACAGGAGTTGGATGGAAGGGCATTGAAAACAGAGAATACGAAAAAAGTCTGGTGGAGGACTAAGCGAGGCACGTGACACAACAGGATGGGGGAGAAATGGAAATTATGGATTCAGAATTAAAAAATGATATTGGCTGAGAGAAAGGGTTACATTTGGAAAGTGTTGGGTCCAGGTATACCCGTAGGGTTATTCACCACATGATGGCAGAAAGATACATCAATATGGTTAATGATCCATAAATTGTGATACATACTTTACTACAGTTATCCATCAGTCTAGGATACATCCTGTTAGTATAGTTATTCTGGCTTCTAAAAGCAGAAATTCACTCCTATTTGGCTCAATCCTCATGTCAGGACTTCCCACAATATTTCCACACTGCATTTTCAGCCCCGGAGCGTGGGAATTACCCCACAACACCCAAAACATCGACCGTTTTGGGAATCTCCACAATATCAATTATTCCCACACCCTTCCCACATCACTGCAGCTTCACCATTACACCACAATAGGTCCCCCTTCATATATAAGTAGTAGTTTGGAATATATATGTGTAATATAATATAATAGACCACTTTTTTTGCTTATTTGTGTGCCTGCTCCTCCTCCAGGGACCATTTAACATATAATAGGATACAGAATACTTTCACATTTTTGCCCCTGTGGTAGGGAAGTGTCCCAGGTGATTCAAAACATGTTTAGGAGCATACATGAAGAGATTCCCATCTTTATTTTACCTCCTGGAGCCTTCTGCATCAATAGATATAGCATATATATATAAAAATACAAAATATGTTCTTATTTTATTGTTTCCAGGTGGATGGACTTCAAAAAATAATCCCCAGCATGCATTCAACAGTAGGAACAATATATCAGGAGCCCAGGACCACAGGACATCTTCTTGTGTGAGTATGAGACCTCTCTGAGGATTAGTAGTACCTCTCTCCTCCTGTGAGCTCTTGATGCTCCCACTACTCCTCTTGGCGCTGTGATGCTCTCTGCTCCTACATAGTACTATGTACTACTATCATAGGCTCCTGCTCAACCTCTTCCACCCTCCGTGCCTCTCTAGACTCTGTGCCTTCTGTGATGCTCTCTACTCGACCTCTTCCACCCTCTGTGCCTCTCTAGACTCTATGCCTTCTGTGATGCTCTCTGCTCGACCTCTTCCACCCTCTGCGCCTCTAAGTGCCCTTTGTGATACTCACATTTATGTTTGTTTTTTTGGACTATATTTGTATGTTTAATACCAGCCGTTTATTCCCTGCACGACGCACTGACCACTGAGTGACACGGCCATTAAGGTATCTGTGTGAGCACCATTTATATTTGATTGATATCTGGCTGAGGTAGATTACTCATATGAGGCACAAAATGCATGTATTATTAACAGCACAAAAATACGTAGCGAGTGATACATTGTACATACAAAAGGTTCATACCATCGAGACAACAAACACCTTGGATTTACCTTGGAATGGTTCCTCCTTCAGGTTGTTCCTGCACCGTCACCTGACTAGGTGGTGCATTGGCAATGGGACTCCTGCTCCCATGGTGTCCATCTGCTCGAGGAGGCTCATGCTGATATGCACGCTGATAGCCAACATGACCCTCACAACTGGTTGGATGCATGTATTCTCCACGTATGTCTGGTGGGGGAGGACCACGCAAGCGGTCATCCAGAAGTTCATGGTCTGCGTACCGCATGTCACGATAATACGGTCGCCTATTCCCAGTGGCATCGCGATAGCCTGTGCTCTCATGGTGAGGAGCATATGCATATCCCGGGTAAGTTTCACCACGGTCGCCATAATACAAATATTCCCTCTGATAAGGGTACTCTCCTCCAGGTCGTGGTCGCCTGGTGTATGCATGCCGGCCCAAGTCCTCATGGTACATGTACGCACCACGTGGCTCATCACTGGGGTGACAATGATCATTATGTAGTGCGGGAGAGGTGTCTCAATGAGCGCGCAAGTCACCATGAAGGTATCGATTGTTGGGGGGCTCATGTGAGTGATTGTTGTGTGCCCCATGAGGGTCAGCATGGCGAGATTCCAGTGCATCATGGTTAGAAATGGCAGGGCTAGGACGAGTACCGTCTGATGAAGCATGTGGTGGATTTTGAGGTAGTGGGGGAGGGACATCTTGGATATGGACAGACTGTCCATTACCTTCTGTGCGTTCTGCAGGATGTTCTGAGTTGCATGGGGAAGACGGAACTACTGGAAGAATGGGTGCTTCTGTGACTTGTGCAGAGGTTGGGCGATCAACAGATGTCTCAGGGTGCACGACTCCACCATTATTCTGTGAGTCTTTGTCTTCTTGCAGGAGACGCATGGCCTTGGTGAGAGGAGGCTGGCTTCCTTTAGCCACTGGGCGTGCACATCGCACTGGGCTTATGTTAGTAGATATCCGAACATATATGCAGAGCAAATACCTTTTGCAACATCGGGAGGTCCATCACGAATACATGTTGCTGCATTGTCTGTTTAATCATAAGTCAGGATTCCCGCTGAACTGAGATAACCATAAAGACTTACCTATAGTGGGTGATGGTTGATGTTCTTCGTCACCTGAGAATCCTACTGTGAGAGGAGATGAGTGCCCTCCTTTGGCACGAGCCTTGCCTGCAGCCTTTGCACTTGGCTTGTTCTCAATGGCCATCTTCTCTTCTAACTCAATTGGTCGTACACGCTTCTTCACAGCTGGTACACCTCCAGTATTCAGCTTCTGCTTTCGCGAGCGTGAAAAATCATCATAGTCGGCATTATCCTCGCTGTGGAGCTTGTCATCAGACAAGTCAAGAGGCTCCTCCTCATCAGGCTTGTTGACACCATCTGGACTAGACAGAATTTCTATTGGAGCTGCCGCTGGTTTGGTAGGGAGGCGCTTGCAAGCCTGAATGGACGTGGAATAGGAGGAGGAGGAGGTATGAGTACTTCAGGACGTAAGTTTGTTTTGCGGATGATAGTTGTGGTGTCCTTGGCTACGGTACCAGAATCATCATTTTGGGTGTGAGATGATGATGGGGCTTTTGGCTTCTTCTTCCTGGTTGTCGCAGAGCTGTGTTGAAGGCATGCAGGGCCATTATAATCAAAAGTTCCATTGACAAACATTCACCTTGCATTTGGAAAGGGAGAGTCCGCGGGAGGTGCCTCTCCGATGATGACAGGCTCCTTAGAGGCTATCACAGCCGCTGTCAAGTCATCATGAGCTAAATTGAGCCCACAAAAATATTAGCATGTACCTCTGATAGCTTTTGTTACTTTGACAACACGCATTGTCTTTGCCTTCAATGCATAGGCAAGTACACCAACTTCACGTTGTGTGAGTCCTGCAACACCTTTACTCTGTGAGTTAGTATTGTGAGACTCTCCTGGCATCAAACTTAAGTGCGCAGGGTACCCCTCAATGCGTAGATTATCATTAGCCAACGAACTAGCCATCAATATCCAGGGGAAGGGTCTATCTGCAAACTTGCCACCGAGTTCCGCTGGGGAAAGAATCATTAGGATTTCACTATGAGATATAATGCGTTATGAACCAACTTGTTTGATTAACCCAGCCTTGAGTGACTTCAATGCATCCTTCTCTTTGCCTGCCTCAGATGAGCTCACATCCAAGACTTCTATTGGCGCAAGGTCATGATCCCCTTCAGCATCCTTGAAGGCCTGTTCCACAGCAGCAAGTGAGGTGGTGTTATATACATGGGCCTTCATATGCCCAATGATTGCATGGTCACTGGCTCGGCAGCGCTTCTCAAAGAACTACAGAGGGTATTAACAGATATTAAAACTTTTGAGGTACGTAACACTTACACCACCGGCACCGGGCGTCATGTGAACATGGCCAAGTGATGCATCTTCATTGACAATATTGCCGCACATGACAAGAGCTGCCTCGAAACCTTGCCTGGCAGCGGCTCCATCAAGCTACAGGTAAGATGCTCAGCTCGTTAAGAAAATATTATGGAATGAGATCACTCACAATACTTCCTACCCTCTTGTAATTTTTTTGGAATGATTGCGTGCATTGTGCAATTGTTTGAGTATCTGTCAGTATGTCGAGCTCCTCATAGGTATCGAGGATGTCCTGATAGGTATCTGGGTAGGTTTTCTTGAAGCGCTCATAGCACTGACACCGGATACCAGTGCCTGTAAGATCGATAATCAGCATTGAGTGAAGAGTGCATGCACAGTATAAATGAATCACTTACTTGGTGTCATCAGACCATCCTGGGGAGGAGCACTGTCACCAAGCCTTGCAAGTTCCTGGCATGTGCACCCCTTGAAGTACCCTGCGTAAAGATTCCAGTAGTTGGTGCTATTGATCACTCGACCTCGACTCTTCATCCACAGGTTGATTACCTGGTACAAGGGCATGTTCGTATTCTTGGCGGTGTCATTGACGACAGCATCCAAAGCAGTGTAACCTTCTTCGAGTGCAGAGTTCGTCTCTAATGAACGGCGACCAGTAACAGAGGCACCATCATCATCCATTGTAAGATCAGACTTGACATAAGATCCTCCGGTGGTCGATGGACTGAATGTGACTGCACGCTGACATGGTCCACTAGCCGAAGGTGGAACCAAACCCTCTGCAGGCTTGAGGGGAGTTGGTGGGATGATATGCATCATTGGAACAGCTCCTTGAGCTGGCAAGGAGCTCACTGACGAAAAATCCCAGGGCCCATCTGATCCACACGTATCAGGTTGTAAGCTTCCCTGAGAGCTTGGACCTGCAACTGCAGGCATGAGAAGCGGTGAGGTTGGTAACTGCGAATAAGATGCTAGCGGGCTAGGCAAGAGTCCTGGAGCATTATTTTCTATCAGAGGCGATGGCACGGACCACAATGGCCGGGCTTCAGATGGTATTGTGAGAAGGTTGTAAGGACCCATGGAGTTTGAATTGAGAGCGCCATACTGTGGCTGCTGGCTGAATACATCCATGTTTTGAGGCATGACTGGCTGCTGCTGCTGCTGGCCAGTGGGTACCAGTGTGTTGGAGAATAGATCCTGTACCTGCACAGGGTGCTGAGCAGGCATATTCTTGACCAAAGGAGAGTTGTGATGGCTGGAGGGCATTGAATCTAGCAGCAAAGTCAGAAATCTGGGGAAAAGTCTTTAATGAAGAATTACCAGGAATGAGGCTATTAGTGGTATGGTCACTGGGAGCACAGGCTGCTTGACGTCGGATAGCAGCATCCCTTGCAATACCAACATCCCGTGATGTTGGCTTGGTTGTGCTGCGTAGTCTTGATGGAGTGAGTTCTGCTGGCGGATCCTTGTATCGACCACCTCCGAACTGTTCTTGGACATATCCTTCCTGCATGTACTCAGAGCCTGTAGCAGCAGGTGACAACACAGGAAGGTATGCAGGAGGTGAGGACGCCTGATCATCAGTAGGGTCAGAATAGTAGTCTGATAGATTGAGCATCATGGCCTTTGCACGACATCAGAAAAAATGGCATGTAGCAATGAAAATACATACCGGACTAGCAGATACAAAGGTGGGTGAAAAAATGAGGACACAATGCCTCGTACTTATGGCAAATTTTGGTGTGTGCGAAATCCTTAATTTCATTGAGACCAAACAAGTTAGAATAATGGGTAGGAAGTACAGAAGCAAAGAACAACGTACCAGACATCATGGAGGTCCACTGAGGAGAGCGTAGAGGGTGAATTGGTAGACCTCTTGGAGGCTCCAGAGGCTCTAGAGAGGGCTCAGAATCAAAGTAATTTTGTGACTAAAGATCACATTAATCTATGGCTGAAACCTTACTTTGTGCCCAAGACAACACAATGTCAGACAGAATTAGGTTATTCCCAGAGTATGAACTATGTCCATGTGCTATCTACAGGATAGACTCTTGATTAATGTCTAAGGCGCTTCATAGGGCGAATGTCACTCTCACTAAATTGCAACTCTGAGTCGTCCTCATAATCATTTGCATTGTCAGTGCTGTCGTCATACTTGGAACTAGATCCCCCCTCGACAGAAGCAATTTGTGGGATAAGTTCCCTGGTATGCATAGCGGATAGTTTGGGGACTGCTCGAGAAGCTGGGCGAGGAGGTGGCCATGTGATTTCCACGATGACTTGGGTATGACGACGAGGGGCAGGCAAAGAAGATGGATTGAGATGAGGAAGACCCTTTCTGTCAATGCGACCATCAGCAAATGCACATTGCCCATGGGAGTGCATAGAGCAAGCTGAGGGGGCATCTCCAATTATAACAGGGTCCTTTGAGGTAGTGAGACGTATACGAGCAGCATTGCTCACCACTGCTCGGATGGTGAGGGTGCCTGCCTTGAGGTGGTTGATGAGATTGGCACGATGTTGGTGGCTCAGATCGTGAATGCCTTTGGTGCGAGAGAGAGAGGGACACAGCTTGCCAGGCATCAAGGTCTCGTCAGGGTAATTGGTGAGGACATACCTAGGCGAGCTAGTTCCTTTGGGAGCATTTTCCAGGGGAAGTCAGCACTTGTGCGCCCACCGAGTGATGCTGAAATAATTTGATGATTAGTATGAATGTGTAATGATTAATCTTACCGACAAGTGCCCTCATCCCACCCATGATACAGGGTATCCCATCAAGCTTCTTCCATTCTTCACCAGGACAGGAGTCTCCAGAGGCTTCAGTAAGTTGGACATCCTCTGTTGACACGGCTACATCAACAAGCTGGAAGCAGGTCAGCAAAATTTGAACATCCGATTACACTATTACTCACAATCCGAGTAAAAGAAAAAGATTGTGAATCTGTGAGCGTGGCAACATCGATGAGGTGAGGTGATTTCGATGTGCTGGTCACTGTCATGGCCATTTTGCAGGAGGTAGTGTTTAGATGACGTACAGGAGGTAGTGTTTAGATGACGTATGAAAGTGGCACCAGCTGTAGATAGCAATCAATCGATAATGTGCAGACCATGTGCCAGAGAAAAGTGAGGACAATTCCAGTAAGTTCAAGGAAGCTCAAAAAATTGAATTGAACTTTGAAGAAGTGCGGAGTCAGTGTCAAAGTGACTTTCCAGAAATGGTAACTGTAACACGTAGCGCTAGTAACTACAGTTGATTCTGATTGACTCACGTAGTTCAAACATAGTTGAATTCAATTAAATCATTTTTGAGTTGTATACACCTCTGTACACCTTCAAACACATCATATTGCACAAGATTCTCACTCAGGCTCACCATGGTCTACCAGAGGATCAGTCCTGATAAAAAAATGAGATACATGTTACGCACTCAAATAGATCTGTTATGCGGAGCCCTAAGAGGGGCGTCGTCCGCTAATGTTCATGACGTAACCGGAAGGATCCGGTATAGCAAGTGAGACCGGCGATGACGAGTCAGCAGTGATCACAGTACGTGCGTGTCACGTGACTTCTAAGACGGATGTCTTTGAAGTCGCTCAAGGTAAGGACAGTCTTGTCCGAACGATGAGGTCGATTGAGGTAGACTTAGTCGCAATGAGCAACTAAGAAAAGATACTAGAGACTGAAGCCAAAGGGGTGTTCAGAGGGAAGTATGTTCCAGGGAAGATTGAGTAGATTCAAGTTAGAGAATCTAGTACAGGGTGACCGACTACTTATACTAAGTGGAAAGGGTTAAGGGCAAGGCTACCGCACAGTAGGTAAGGGTAAAGGGGAAACGAGAATGGTATAGGTGCGTTGGCAACAGAGCCGGATTAGTGATGGATGGTCGAATGTGGAATGAGACCGATAAACGTTGGGACAGACCAACGGTATGAATACAATGTGCGGGAATCCGCAGTCAGAAGGAGCAGAAAGAGGAAAGCCACATTGGTGGCACGAGTCAGACCGACTTATAGGTGCGGGACCACATTGGTGGTCGAATCAGGGGAGGAACGTGTGTGCACGTGCGTAGGTAGAGGTAGAGGCGGGCGATGTGAGGGACGGGAACGGTCCCGAGGATCCGGTCAACGGAAAGTCAGTAAAGGAGGGTGAGCCGGTAGATGGTGAGGGCGAGGACGAAGGGAAAATGATAGGGGGGCCACATGACCGATGTTACTTGTAACAATACAAACACTTGAAATTCTTTTCGTCAGAGCATTATATCTCTGTGTGGGCCTAACATGGGTGGTATTTCAGATATTGCGGCTCTTCCTCACTATTTACCCATGAAATCTGATGCTTGGATAATGGATTGAGACACCTCCATTGCCTATCTACTACATTCCAAGATAACTTGGCAATATGGACAATTACGGTAAGTTCAAAATGAAACTTCAGATTATTAAACTTCGAAGAAGCACAGTGTCAGTGCCCTCAGCCTACCAAGTAATGTAGCGCTACTAAGGAGGCTCGAGAGGTTGCGAGTTTAGCAACCAGAGGCTGAAGAGGGTTTGTAGCCTCTCAGGAGGCTTGCTACAACCATTTGTTGGCTCGGGCCAAACAAAGCCGCGGCTCGAGCATGCACGAGATGTCCCACACCCAAACCACCCATGACTTCAAGCCAGAATTTGCCCTGCATCTGACTGACCATAAGTGTCGTATCAAGGCGCTCTGCACCTGCTAATACTAAGAGCCGTGTGGAGCGAAGCCCAAGGAATATAGACGAAAGTGACGGGAACCAACCTGCAAGAAGATCGGTATGAGATGTAACTCAGTGGGTTCATGAGTTTCAGGAGGTAACCAGCTGGCAGAACAGGGATGACGTTACTAGGAGCGCGAAGGATATTGGAGTATACATGTTCAACGAGGCTACTCGGTGCACATGTGAAAGACTTCTGCATGAGCTCTGCAGCGGTGTGCGCTGTTTCCTGACCGAGAGGCACGAAAGCGATGTTAGTGGGTGTACGAGCTTCATATTGGAATGGAGGGGTGAGGGTGTCGAGGTCATGTGTTCCGATAGCAACAAGGCTTCGCCTGTGCCCGATGGTTTGGTGTAGTTTGTCTTGGAGGTCAATAAAGGATGCATAGCTCATGGACGTGAATTTGATGTTGCGAAGCACTGCACATGTGAAGAAAGGACGGATGTGTTGGGTCTGGGAGTGGTAATGTTTGTTAATGCAGACAATGCGAGGGGTAAGCGTACCTCTTGAGAGACGGTCATGGTGATGAGATCTTTCCCCTGCACTGCAAAGGAACTAGATGACCTCGTGATTGTCTGTGCAGACAGGGACACGTTCCTGAAATTACCTTGATTTTGTAAAGGAGCTTTTCCCTGATAAAATGACTACTGAGTTTAATGAGCCAATCAGCGCTTGAATAACAATGTTTACATACAAAAAACATATCCTAATACCTCCAGTGTACATGAAAATCGTCTAGTGTACATATTAAGATGTTCCATGACATGCTGGTTTGAATGGTACTAATATATCTTCTCTATTCAAACTGTATTTGGTGAAATAAATCAGCTCTCCAACATTCATGTTAGTTGCTTTAGCCTGCTTACTGAGATAAGTTGCGCCCTGCCTCTTTACTTATGGGGTGGAAAGCAAAACATCTCACTCTTGCTGATAAAACTGCTGCAACACATCAACACACCACAAAGTATGCTCGATCTGAAAGGTGCAAAGAACTCTTGCTTTGAGTATTTCTTCTCTAAGTACTAATACTACGTGTGCAGAGGTAAAAACACTCGTTGACTTTGGAATTTGCACATATATGCCAAAGCCCACAGTCGAAAGGGTTCAACAAAGCCCCTCATTGATGCTTCCAAATAACCTACCCTTGATTTCGATGTTGAGCTCCCACCCCTTCCATCCAATCTAATCAACCTCGCAACAACAGATCTTCCAGATACCTACCTGTTTCAACAAGCATCACAAAGTGCCGACAACCTTGACAAATCAGATCTTGCGCAATGGGATGTCAATCTGCCATATCATGCTCCTCAACCTTTGGACACCCCAGCAGAAGTTTGCTGGACACAAAACCTTGTCCAGGTGATTCATGGTTGACGATGCCGAATGAGAGGGAGGAGGTATATGAGCGTGCTAAGAAGCACAGTTCAGAGGGAGTGATGGATCTTTGTGCTGAGTTGAGGGAAAGTATTGACATGCTCTTGAGGCAGTGGATGATATTGCATGACTATGTTGATGGTATGGAAGATTGTGACAGACACTGCAGGATGGCACAGTGCCTCTTACAGTGGCGTGCTTGCAGAATCTATCGTTATCACAATGAGGTGCACATGATAATGGCAGGATTAAATCCATATACATTGGACAGTGATATTAGCTAGCTAGGATACTGTTACAGGCATCCGTAACACCTACAGGAGCCTCAGCTCTGCCTACGCCAGCCCCTGCTCTGCTAGACTCCCCACGCGGCGGTGCGCCGCCCGTGCCTAGAAAGACAGCGGTCTGGACCGCTGTGACCCCGCCCCTGGCGCTATGACCCCGCCCCTGGCCTAGATGGCCTTGTACCTGATCCATGGAGGCTGTACGCCTCATGGTCACCCTAGATCAGCGCATGTATACCACATGTCGCTTCATGTAGATCCGGAGCGCCCTTGGCGCCTCATGGTACTTATGCGCAGTCGCACTTAGCGCTGCATGCTTGATCAGAGGTTAAGCCTCATGTACCTTATCTGAACCTCATGTCTTGTTATCATAGATCCTTGATATACTATAGATTACAGACTGAGCTAGAATACCTATATGTAGCACATATAAGTAGACAGATTATTGTACTTAGACTTTACTTTAATCTACTAGGTTCATCCCCAGAACTTGTTCAACTAAGTCTTCCAACTTGGTTGTCTAAGACCGCACTTCTAAGTCGCTCCCCGCTTCTTAGCCGTATCCGCTAGCCCTGTATCTTGACGAGCGCCGTCTTACCGAGATCACCGGAGGAACCCTTGACGTTCCGTCAAGCCGAGAACCACCCTCAGCTTCAGTAGGCTCACTCGAGCCGTCGCTGAGAAGACCTATCCTAGTTCGCACACGCCGACCGACAGTCAGCGTAACAGATACTGGGATCTGAAGTATGAGTGTTCTTAGATAATGTTGAAAAGCATGCATGTCTTCCTCTCTAAGACCCATGCAGTGGTACCCGTGCAGTGTTGCTGCAATTACAGCAAGCACCCAAACACCGCAGTCAAAACCATTTGTTTGGACTACTTCAGTCTAAGAATGTATCAGATGAGATCGCTTTTCACTCGATTGAGGTAGCAACAATACTTACGATCAGAGGATGTGCGACCCACCCATCAAAGTCAATGTTGACATGAACCATGTGATTGTGTTGTCGAGCAATGCCCAGAAGACGAGCAATCAGTTTCATGATGTCCTGGATTAATTTAGTCCATGCTGAAATGAATTAGATGAGCTCACGAACCTTAATATTGACTTTCCAGGGCTTCCGCTCCACAAAACTGTCAAATAGATGGAGCTCCTTGCTTCGGAGGTGCACAACACACAGAACCCAGTGGCCAACATGTGATGGTCTATGGATGGGAAGGATCCATACCTCTTTGGCCCAGTAACGTGTCCATGACATGTTTTGCCACAGAACATCATGAGGTGCATTATATCGGATGCGCAGGAGGTCATGAGTTGAAAGGATAGCAAACTGTTCAACCATGCGAGATAATTGTACTGCCTCTAGGTAAAGAAGCATAGCGCATCCATTGATGCAAGTGTCATTGAGCAGCGCAGTCTGAGAAGCAAGAAGTGCAATATCCTTTGGCTCAAATACTTGACTAGGACATCCATGGTAAGGAGCAGATACTCGTGTCTCGACAGTGCCTGGAATGATGATCCCTGCATCTGGTAGAGGCCTTCGGTCAAATGTGATGTCCTAGAAAACTCATGAGCATGGATTACAGCGTGAACATCAGAAAAATAAATGCTACCTCAGGGGATTGCCAGCAAAGGTCGGCCTTAGGTTCATTCATGATAGTGTCGACATTATCATCCTCACCTCCAGTGACTCCACCAGTCAGAATGTCCATAAGGACAGCATCTTCAGGTTTGAGAGCTGCGTGATCAGCTTCAAAGAACACTTCTTGTCCAGCCTCTTCATCCTCAGTAGGTATGATATACGAGACAGGAAACGTATTGATGCATTCAAGAGGACAACCTTCGAAAACACCTGATAGTTTTTGAGCTAGGGATATGGCATCTGTTGCGCAAGATGTGAATCGTGCTGCAGGTGCAAGTGAGCTCATCCAATGGGTTTGAAGATGCTGAAGATGCTCCTGCCGCTGGCGAAGTGGGACTAGGAAAATTTCATCTGCAATGCACTGAGCTTGCATAAGGACAAAGTGAAGTAGGATACTTACTACCGGGTGTCAAAAGAGCAAGTTCTATTGCTGAAAGCTCATCGCCAAACCATCTGCAGAGATTGTCTGCCTCCAATCCAAGACGCTGCTTCTCTTCAATACATCTATCTCTCTTCAACATCGCACAAATTCCATCACGGATATCTTGGTCCTCTAGCCAACGAGGAACATCACCTGTCAAAGGGGTGATCCATACATCTTCCATCAAAGATTGATCATTACATAGATCATTGAGCTTGGTTGGAAGTGGCATTGGAAGCGGGATGCTGTAGGTTGGGTCATAGAGCTCCTCGAGGCGCTCACAATATGCATTGAACTTGCGGAGTGCAGTCATCAAGGCTGGTTGACACTTTGAGATTGCCTTGCGAGTCTGTTGATGAAGTTTAGTGACTACCAAGTATCATCAATGCCATCAAATAGAAGTATTACTAGTACCACCTACCTAGTGCCTGTTGTGCGCCACCCACTGCACGATCCAACTTATCCCATTCAAAGAAGCTCCCAATAGCACGTTTGCGAATATTGATCTTGATGTCCCGTGCTAAAAGAAGTGTCCGAACAAAGTCAAGGTTCACACCTTTCAACTCTGGAAACTGGTCATGAACATTCAGCGATGCATATAACACCTCAACTTTGGCCATGAGATGTTGATGACCCCGTTCAAGGCTGTCGAGTGCCTCAAGTGTATCATCTGTGGCATCAGCTTTGGTCATCATCTCCCTTGTTGCCTGCAATGCCCTTTCTGAGGTGTCCAGATCTGCTTGTAGAGCAAGAACAGTGTCTAACTCTTTCTTCAGGCATGCAGGTGCATCTAAATCAAAAGCTCAGTGAGGCTCAAGAGGGCTGGGAGGGTACATACGAGCACGAATCGATAACTGAGATTGTCTCTGGGAGGCCCATTCATTGCATAGCTCATTGATAGGCACTCCACATTCCTCAAGCATGCTCTGTGCTGCTGTGCCTTGCTCGCCAACCCCACGTTTAAGTCGACGCTTAATCCAATCTCCTAGATCTGTACGCATTTCAAGTCCAATAGCAGCTGCTTGTCAATCAAGCAACCACAGTCTACGCTGACACTAGGACCAGCTGTCAATAAATTCCATTAGTAGAACATCGAAAGAACTTACTGAGGAAGAATGCTGGATTCCTATCAGCCGAACAAGTCTTGACCACAACCTTTCGGTTCCCTTGCCATCTGACAGCCCAAGGCCATGGCACATTCGTGGGTTGTACTCAAGTTGACAGGCCCATTCATGACCATAGGCATGCATTGCTGTTGTGGCAAAGCGCAAGCGCTTCATGATAGTTGGTGGTAGGATGTCATACTAGTAGAATAAATCAGAATCTGATCTCCAAGTCATGAAGTGACTCACCTGATGCAGTGATCGTGATAAGACGCACCCAACATCATAAAGTGTGACAACAGTAGCTCTTGGAGGTAGTAAGGCAGAGAGATGATCAATCAAGGCGACAGCATACTTCTGCTGCTCGCCAGGAGTATCTATGTTGGCAAAGAAGAGAGGAATGTCATGACGGCATATAAGTGCCATAACCCCGGTATCATCGAAGCTATCCATCGAAGACTTCTGCTTCTTGCCATCAGCAGCTTCATAAGAATTCTCACATTTATCAATTGCATCGTGGGGCACTAATGACTTGTGCAGTCTAGGCGGAGATTTGCGGCTTCGAAGGATACGATGATCAATAGTGTCGACTTGTGCTTTTGGAAGAAAATATGAGGTGTCATAGAAGTGTGGTGAATCACCAGCTGATCGCCGATGCCAGTGATGGAAGTTTCCATCTGTTGCCACGTGTATATCACCTCCTTCGCTCAGGTCCTGACCAAATGCTATCCCACCAAAGCATGCAGGACATCGTTGTGTAAGGATGGAGGCACAACGCTCACGAGGAATGAGTAGTTCTGGTGCAGTGGCATCAGAGGCTGAAACATTCTGACACTCCCGGTGTTCAGCCTCTACACGGTCCCAACATGCTGATAGAGCATTTTCGAGCTGACATTCAACTTCTACTTGTAGAAGGTCAAACCATTGAATGGCTTGACCAAGGCTTCATCGGAAAGGCTCTTGGATAACCTCATCCTGTAACATTAAGATGAGTAATTGATACGCAGTTTAGGCAGGATCCTTACCTTTGAGTTTGTGATGCGGAATCCTCATCGTACATAGTGAGTGTGTAGTGCAGAGGCAAGTGCATTGACAGCATCACAAGAGCGTTCGAAAAGGGTTTGATAAAAGGCGAGTAACTTGACAGACACTGCCATGCGAGGTTGTGAGGGAGCCATTGGGAATAAGCCATGAAAAACAAGGACTTGAGCTTGGGTAGCACATCTACAGCTCAAGACCTCAACGGAAACAAAATCTTACAGCGATTTAAATTATTTAATTAAATGTGCTATATATATGAGTACTTACAATCAAAAAAAGACATATGATGGACGTGCGTTTTTGTGCGCATGTATGTGAGCGGCACAAAGATAAGGCCAGTGTGGGTATCCTTTGAAGAGGTGCTCCTAGTGTCCTCACAGTGTAGTCAAGCTGTACCATGACAAGAGTGGGAATAAGAGACTTCCAACTGTTATATAAACGAGTAGATGTAACATCAGGTTGTGTGCGACGGCTTGGTGTGGGTTGGTTATCAGTAGATTCAGTGACCGGAAGTACATCATCATCGTGAAACACATCTTCCCAGGCATCAGTGAACTCAGTATCTGGCTCGAGGGCAACAGTTTCTGTGTGCCTCTCTTGGACAGATGAAGTGTCTTGAGACTGAGTTGAGCCCGCCATCAGACTGGCCATCTTAGCAAGCAGCTGGCGTTGTTTGACCCTCTGGCCTGGCACTTCCACTATCACTTGAGTTTTTCGTTTGTCCCTGAGTTTCCGTGGACTGGAAAAGTGGATGCCCAGTCCAGAGGATGTAAGTTGAGCTGCACGGGTCCCTGTACATGGAGTCACTGGCATGATGAAGAGAACCAAGAATAATCAACAAAGAGTCTGTGAGAGAACACAAAAGCATATGCATAGATAGTAAAGAAGGCTTGAGCTGCGTGACACTTTGGATCATCCTAATGGAAGGCAACAAGGTGCCGAGAGGTGTGCAGCGAGGTGCCAAGAGGTGCGCAACAAGGTGCGCAACGAGGTGCCAAGTGTGCAACGAGGTGTGCAGGAGGTGCACAATGAGGTGCCAAGAGGAGGGCAATGAGGTGCTGAGAGATGAGGAGGGACGAGGTGGCAGTTTCCACATCTGTAACCACACTTTAGGGCTTGGAGTGCAGATGCTCGTAGTGCTGCCGCAGTCCGGTCCAGAACCATGGTTCGAACCGGACTTTTGGTCCGGTTCTCCGCGGTTCGGTCCATGGTTCTTGCACCAGCTAGAACCAGACTGGAAAACGGTTCTCGGTTCTAGCTCTTCCCAAACGGTCCAGTTCTGGTTCAGCCTTCCCGAACCATTCCGAACCCTTATCGACTTCGACTTCGACAACATCTGCCTCGACATCAGACTGTCATCTTCGGGATTCACGTTGTTGATTAATCAAGCTACATTTAGCCTTTTCGAAGGTAAGCACTAACTAATTAAACTCTCAAGTCTCTCACCAACTCACCTCTATAACAGGAGGTTCTGTTCATTGAGGACCGGCTACAACACTGCGCAAGACTACCTTTTACTGGAGGTGGATATATTAGGCGCGATCAAGGTGGATTTTGGAGGGATTGTGTCTTGCACTATGCTGCAGAGGTGCGTATTATGATTTGTACTCTGAATGCTGATGGCTCCCTCAAGGGCCAGCACTCATCGCTACCAGTGCACAACCCATCACACACCACGCTACCTGCGCCTATGTTGATGCCTGCCACCTCACCGCATCCCCTCCCACTCGCTTGCTGTTCTTGCCGGCTGGCTTTTGCTGGCTGGCTCGCCGTGTCTCACTCACCCACTGTCTCTCGCTCACTGTCTCACATGCCCGCTGGCTGCTCTCGCCCTCTGTCTCTCACCCTCTGTCTCTCACCCGCTGTCTCTCACCCCGCTTTCAAACCAATATTCTGCGACGACTCGACAAGAGAACAGAGGGGATCCATAGGAGCGGCAAAGACACGCACGCTAATCTACTGCCCACCCTCCTTCTCCTCCAGAAGACATGCCATCAAGCTGTGATACACCTCACCACTCTACCCCAACGCCACCCTCTCCACCCACATCTCAAACACGTCATCAAGCACCAAAAGATCAGCGGCTACAGAGGCAGAGAGGGGTATGTAGCCATGTCATTGGAGTAGCTACTCAATGTGTAAACTAGTATTTCAATGTTTTTTTTTTCATGCTCGCCGCTGAAAATTTTCGGGTTCAGTTCGAGTTCGGACCAGAAAAAAACCGAACTGGACCACAGAGAACCGTTCTCTGTGGTCCAGTTCGGGGTTCGAAGATTTTGCAGAACCAGACCATGGTCCGGTTCTCGGTTCTCGTCCAGGACCCTCTGAACCAGACCAAACCGGACCACGGCAGCACTAGATGCTCGCATTCCCGAACCCTAATGTATGGGTCTATATCAATGTTCCGCTTGTTCGGAGAGTTCAGAGTTTTTTGTCTAAACGTAAAATTGTTTGAGTGTCATGAGAGTGCCACACAAGCACACTGTAACATACCTTGTGAAAATTAAACAATGGACAGCATAGACAAGAGCTTAAGAGTTTCTGAGATGCTGGACGAAGTAGTATAGCACTTTTGAAGGATTGAAAGGGTTCATGTAGGCACGCAGGGAGGTGCTGGAGGCCCACAAGGGAATGCAAGAGCACAAACTGTGATTGGATGGTGGATAAAGTGGTACTAGAGGCCTATTGGGAGGGTTAATGGAGGTGCGCAGGGAGGTGCTGGAGGCCCGGGAAGGAATACGAGAGCAAGAACTATAATTAGATAGTGGGAGGGTGGGTCTCGGAGACTAGTTTCCCATAACATAGAAACCAGGTCTCTTAAACCCTTTATAGGCACCGAGAAGTGCTGCCTGAGGTGGAAATTTTCGGGTCAAAAAGTCGAACGGGCGTTTCGAAAAAGTGAATCTTTAGACTTTCTGGAGTTCAAGGACTCCGCTGGCTCTATTAATTCATGTATTTCAAAAATTGCTATCAGGATTTGCAATTAATTTGAGGGAAGGAATAAGGGTAGCATCCGGCGCCGAGTCACCACAATATCGCCGCCTTCTGTTTCGTCAACAGAAGGGTATATTATTCGTGTATAAAAGAACGATAGTCACCGTATTCCAAGCTTCACCTTCCTTGAATCCTAAAGCGGGATCCCAGACACGCCGCCAGATCCTTTTGCTCCCGGGCCAGTGAAGACATGATGAGGCGGGCACAAATGTGCAGGACAATGAGTATGCGGGTGTGCAGGAAGAGGGGCGGGCGGGAAACACAGGAAGGAGGCGGATGAGAAAGATGGGCGGAAGGACAGCGAGCATGGCATGACCATGAGGTAGACTTAGGGCGGAGCCTGAAAACAATGTTCCAAGGTAGCTATATGCAGCGGCGGGGAGACGGGAGGTGCTCATCAGTGCTTGAAGTCAGCAATGAGCGCTCGAGCTACCATATGTGTGCCTATGTTGTTGTGAGTATGCTGTGCAGGATTTAACCACATAACTCACCTGCACGCCTTAGGGTCCGGAATCTGCCAGCAGTAGTCGGTCGAAATTGAGCTGGCAGCTCGAGGGACATATCGCAATAGTGAGTCATATCTTTGGTATCATGGCTGATGGGGCAATACCTAGTTCGAGGCTATCAGTACAGTTGCTTTCGTAAAACTTTCGTACTGCTCGAGCAATATGAATGTATCTGAAAATAATAGGCTGTTTCTATTCTTGCTCGTGGTCCACTGAGCAATCAACTTCTAAACTTCGTGGCTGCGCTGGCAGGGTCGCTGCATGTTCAAATGAAGAAGTGATGAGTAAGATTGGGTTTTCATACAAAGGTCGTAACCACTTGAATAGGTTCTTGCAGGTTCTGTCTCCATTTGTGTCATCCGACAGCAACAACAATTCTGCCAAATCATTCAGAATCGTGCCAATGCATGATATAAAAGCTGGCCGTTGTCCTATAGTAGTCCCCCATCCTTGGCGATATCATTCGAGAACCCCTTCAGAAGATTCCACATCACTTCACACAGCAAATGCATTTCTCCCTCCTCGCCATTGTTGTCGCTTTGACAGCATCCATGTCTGTCAATGCAGCAACTCCATGTTTGCCTGGCAATGATCCCGAAGTGACTTGCCAGACAACTAGCGAGTGCTGCAGTGGCTATCTTTGTTTATATCGTGGCGTGAGTATGAGCAGGTCACTGTGCATCCATTGCTCACCTGTGCACCCTAGTCTCCGAAATCAGGCAAGATCTGCCAGTTACCAGTAGCACTCGATTGAGGATTGAGCCGGCAGCCCGAGAGACACGTCGCGACGGTGAGTCGTGTTTCTGTTTTCGCTTTGGTATTATCAGGGTTGATGGTACAATATCTAGTTCGGAGACAATCAGTAAAATTTGTATATATACAAGGACTCGCCTTCCGTTCATGGAGTTACGAAGGCGTAGGGCTATGCCATTCAATGTACTTACAGTAGGAAGTCAGGAAATGCAACGTTCGCACTTGGTTCGCAGTCTTGTTCTTCGTTCGCCTCTGATAATAAGCACAACGTCATTCTGACTCTCGATAACGCTGTACACAATTGACCGTAAGGATCTGTTCACAAGTCGAGCACGGTTCGAATTGCTCGAGTGTAATGGGACGAACTGTCTCGGAAGCGTCGTCAGTAGCAATAACCATGTCAGAAGGTCCTAATGCGATGACTTTGACAGTCATAATGCACTGATCTCCAGTGATGCTCTGTACAGTGCCCTGGACGACGACATTCTTGCCAGCAGGAGTTTTGCTGAAGCGTGGATAGCTTTTAGGATAGCATTTAGATACAGAAAAGCAAAGGCAACGTACTAGTCTGACTTCCAACATATTTATTCTACATACTACTATGTTTATACATAGGTGAACATGATAGTATAGTCGGTGTCCAATAGACCTCCAATTTACATGATCGAACATCCCTCACACCATCCCTCGCTCAGTAATCCCACCTGCTCCAACCATCCGGCGCACCCGTTTCTCGCTCTACTCTCACCGGTACACCCAAGTCCAAGTGCGGTGGCTTTGATGGCGCCCGGTGAACGGCGCACCTCTATCGTCAGCTCATTGTCCTCCTTCTCGTCCATTGGCGCGGTGTAAAACCAGAGAAGTTTCTGCTCCGATGCGAGAAGCTCCACTCGGCCCTCGGATGCAGTGACAGTGATGTCGTACCAGTCGTCCTTGAATACGACTGGCAACAGCGCCGCTTGAGAAGTCAAAGGAAGGGTGAGCGTGGATGATGTATATACGCGAGGTGTTGTCGTTCCTGATGTACTGCGGCTGCTCCCTTCTTGCTCGATATCCATGGAATCATCGACTTGGTCCCGGGCTTTAGAACCGAGTGCTTTACTCAAGCAAGCGTCTGAGGCGAAATGGACGAGAGGCAAGAAAATTTCAGTGGGTAAGGAGCTATCCTTGCACAATCCTTTCTTTCCTGGTACTAGGTCATCATCATCATCGTCAACAGGTATATCTTCTGCGTTGACCTTGATAGTAAGATGGAAGGTCGCTTTGGATATGTCGAACTGGATATTCGTAGCAGTACCAACCACTGCTATTGGCCACGGACGACAGAAAGCGCGTACGGCACGAGCACCGTTTGTAAGGAATGAAAGGAGGGAGGCGGGTTCGTACTGCACAGGCTCGACCTCTTCGACGCTAGAGGTGGCATAAGGCGAAGAATACGTTGGAAGAGTTGATATAGTCAAGGTTGACGCTTGTGCTGGCGCTAATGAACCCATTGAAAATTTGGAGGGTATCCGCAGGGCTGGGACCCTTTCCGCTTCTCCTGCACGTAGGTCATCGCTACACCATAAGCTGAGATCCTCCATATTCCACCCATCTCCCCACGGGTGCGAACTATCGGGGCAGTATGTCCATACTGTCCAGTTCAAGCAGTTCTCACCATCCGCCGCGTTTAAACTCGCATCAAGCGCACGCTCTTGCCGCGAGTAGTCGCCCTTGTACTTGCCACCATCAGTGTATCCATACGAGCGCTTAGCATCCATGTCGAAAGGTGTTCCAATCTCTCCAATGATAGTCGGGTATCGCGCTGGACCGGTGGGTGGAAGCGCACCTAGTTGCGTCGCGTCTGCCTTGAGATAGCCGAGTTGGGTTTGAAGGCTGCTCCGTATGGCGCGTTCACCTATGCGTAAAGCCTGTAACTGCGTTGAATATTTCCCCCGTATAAGACCAAGGGCATCCGCGTTGAACCAGTTCCAGTGGCGTGTCACGAGCGTCAGACCATCGTAATAATGCGTTGAATAGCATGCCCTACCCAGCAACAGCTCCTCAGGTATCGAAGGAGGCTGGGCAAACACGGGCGGCTGCACGAACGCGATGGCTTGTGGGTGGTGAGCTCTAATTGCTTTTAGGTAAAGAGTGTATTGGGGAAGGAAAAAGGCGCGCAGAAAATGGACGGGTTCTTGTGTGCCTGGAACATGTGCAAAATAGTTGGGCTGCAGAACGTATCCGCTCTCCACATCCCATACATTGTGCAAGGCCCATATGCATTTGCCGAGTGTCCAACCGGGGTCACGTCTCCAGCCCCAGCGCGGGTGAATGTTTCCTGGCTCTGTTGAGGGATCAGCCCATGCCTTGACACCGTTGGGGTCGATGGTGACACTGCCGTCACGCTTTGGACCCATGGAGCCGAAAGAATAGTTATCAAGCGTCTGGACCTGGCCCATACCGAGACGAAAGCTCTGCGCTGGGGACGGAACAGTGCCCTTCTTGAGCGTGGAACCCTGTTGCTGTGGATATACATTGAGGTCATCCCATGAAATGAGCCCTTCTGCTGGTTCGTTCATACTGTCCCAACCGATGACGACTTCGTCAAGAAGGTCACCAGCTGCTGCCACTCGCTGCGCCAACTTTGCAAAAGCGTTTGCGAAATGCGTCTGGAGGTATTCCTGAATGTTGACTCCATCAATGATGCATTTTGGCGCGAAGGTTGAGCCGCCGAAAAAGAGCGCGAACATGGTTTGCGAGACAAGTTTTCCGTAATTTGTTGACCATATCATAGCAGGCATTTCTGCGGGGTTGCGGGACGCGGGAGTGGGGTACTCGCAATGAATTATGGCTGCTTGGGTGGCGCTGAATGCACATGGATTAAAACCGCATGCAGCAAGTGTCCAATAGGGCGCTCCTGAACCGCCTGAAAACCGAGACCACTGAATGATGAATTAAGAAACAGAAACATAGCGATGTCTTTGTGAAGAAGCTCACGGTATCTTGGTGAGGATTCAAATAAACTTTGAACCCATGTGCTTTGCATTTCCGCAGTATCTCTATAGTATAATCCATAAAATCATGGTCATATTTCCCTCTAGTCGAACCACTGTCATCACAGGCTGGAGACTACGTTAATCAAGCACTCACGGTCCTTCATGTTCTAGGGCCTCCCAGGTTACGGGAAAGCGCAACATATTGAAACCCCAACCCCGCAGGCGGGCGAGGTGTTCGTCCGCCTCATCCAGCTTCAGCGGCCGGCCTATGAAGCTCTCGCTACCAATCTTAGCTTCTTCCCAGAATCCATCTAGGACTTGAGAAGGCTGGTTCACGGGTGCCTTAGAGGAGCCAGATAGGTTTACGCCACGTAATAGAAGGGTACGACCAGCGTTATCGACGAAGTTACCGTCGAGCGTATGGATGAATGAGGCGCTTGCAGATGGCACACGAGGCATAGTTGCGACGGCAGAAATTTTATTAATCCGAAATCCTTATTTTTCTAACAATTTCGCCGTCGTTTGAAGCGTAGTAGTTGTACTGGCGTGGTGAAGGACTGTGGAGAAGTGCCAGCTCCAATCATCGTACCACAAGAAACAAAAGGCACACAACAGGCACAATTAATATGAATTACCGCCGGTATTTCTACTTATGGTAACAGCTGCTCCGACGGGACGGCGTCGGAGGCACTTTCAAAGTTTGTACCACCTGCACCCTGGTCTTATCTCAGTCAAAATAGCTTGGAACCAAGCTCAACACAACCGAAACAGAATTATCAACAAGTAGGCGGCAAAACACGACGAACAGTTTGAGGTTCATGACAGGAGCTGCTTCCCTAGTAGACATGCGTGGCAGCGACACCGTATGGAACTGAAGAACACGCACGCGTCGACGGCGTGCTTGCAAATGCATGTTGCGACTTCTCGCTTGGCGTCAGTGACCCTTCGGCTTGGGAAATGCGAATTCGTGGGATTAACCACTGTAGAGATAACTCAACTTAGCCTGACCTCGTTTCCTCGATAACCAGAGTCGGACAATGGATTTGGGGCTGAAAAACGTTCATGTCCTTGTAACAGGTTCAGTCAATCCTTCGTCAGCTTGCTTGATTTCCTCATCCACGTCCCAGGCGCAAGCGGAGGCATTGGTCTTGAGACCGTCAAACTCTACCTGTGTAATTCCATCGCCTTTGTGCCTTCAGAGATAAGACTGATATTCATCTTTTCTTTCCAGCCCTTGGTGCAAACGTGACTGCACATTACAACTCTAACTCCAAACCCATCCAGAGTCTCCAAGTCAACTTCCCTGCACTCCAATGCGTACGGGCAGACCTCTCCTCTGAGTCTGCCGTGAAGAGTATGTTCGATGCCCTCTCAGTGACGCTGTTCGGCCCTGTGGCAGTCATCGTGGTCAACCATGGCATATGGCCGCCCCAGGACGTACCTATCGTCGATATGACCATCGAACAATGGGACCACACGATTAGTGCAAACCTCACCTCAAGCTTCCTGGTCTGCCGTGAGTTCTTGCGCCACTTGCGTACAGTAACAGAAAGCGTGAAAGATAGGGCTGCAATTGTGCTCACCGGGAGCACATCAGGCAAATATGGCGAAGCGAATCACGGCGATTATGCTGTCAGCAAGAGTGGTGAGTTTTATGCTTGTCGTGAAAAAGCTATGTGCTGAGCACGAGTATTGGCAGCGATGATGTATGGCTTGACGACGACACTCAAAAGTGAGATCGTGAAGATCGCACCCAGGGGCCGTGTGAATTGTATTGCACCTGGATGGGTTCCGACGCCGATGGTACAAGAGGCCCTGAATGATCCGGCCGTCAGCGGACCTGCATTAGCCGCGTGAGTCATGGTCATTCTGTTCACCTACTTAGTGGCTTATCTTCTATATCAGCACTCCGTTGAAAAAATTTGGGACACCTCTGGACGTTGCAAACCAAATAGTGGTAGTATCATCATCGATGGTCTCGGGACATGTAACAGGGCAAGTGATCTTTGTAGAAGGCGGTTGTGTAGGGGACATTTGAACAACTAATATGGCTGTGGTTCGTACCAATACAGCATGATGAAAGCAAGTAGGAAGCAGACACGTGAGGTATATGTTGTGAGCTCTGCAGTACGAAGATCGTGTGAGGCAGAAGGTTCAAGTTACCAGACAAAGGGTTGAAGGAGGGCCGAAGACCAGGATAGCCGCGTTCGCACCTTCTCATACCACCTAGACTCGGAAGCCAGGCTCAGCGTTCCGAAACGAGTCTTTGCACAAGTATAAGCTGGGTTTATGTAAAATAAGCTTGACACTAAGACATCCGATCGACGCAGTCCATGATCGAGCTAAAATTCAATGAAATCAAGATTGCGATCGACAAAATAATATTGCAGCACGTATGGGGATTTCACACGCTTGTATCCCTGTCCGGCCGAAACGTATGTTTTTTTTCTAGATAAAGTTGTTTTCAACACACGTACCACTCAATTCCACTGGTTTCAATGAATCTGTGCGAAGTAATTCGTGAGCAAAAATTAGTACGGAGAACTCATATTAGGCACCCAAACGATAATCGATAAATATTGGAGGCCGACGTCGACGCGCACTGCGACTGAGTACTGTTTATCTTGTCAGCGCAGCCATATTTCTCCTTCGAACTCTGCATCAATTTCCATATTCTCGCTGAGATCTGAGAGCTGACCTGGAAAAACGGATCATCAAATACAACATACCTACCGTTAACGTTGATCCCTCCCCCTTACTCCCGCGGCCGAGGCGCTAACCATCTACCCTGCAATACCCACACGCTGTTCGGTGGTCTTCCCGCGCGCGCATTCCACTATCCAAAGTTTGCTTGCAGCACGACAACATTTAACGAAAAAAATGCATTGCCGCACACGTTCTTCGTTTCAAATGAAAATGGACGAAGACAAAAACCTGATCGGTTGCCAAACGGGCCCTAAGTACTAACTCCGCATCAATTCATCCCAGTAAGAATGGGAAGAATAGAGCATGCCTTTCCATCGCATCCGGCTCGTGTCTAAGTTCATTTTTTATTGCAGCACTCTCTTGAAAACACTTGACATCACAAACAACGGTGCGCATCGCCTTCCTTGTTTCTTTCGTGATATTCATATCTATCTCTAGGGCTTTCTCTGCCAATATTGATGGCTCAATCTTCCTCGAAGTAGCGAATGAAGTCAAGGGTATACTTTCGTCCACCAATGTGGCCTTGTAGCAAGTGATCACCACCAGATCGCATCTTGTTCATAAGGAATCACTTCATCAAATATCTAACGACTTTGTTATACAAGATTACAATCTAGGATGTTCCACATCCGCTCCGAAGTCTATGCTCATTCATCAGATTCGGACGCTTAAACCCCCGTCCGCAGCCTGGACAAACAGCCTTAATCTTCCCTTCGTGCACCTCGTTGATGTGACGAGTCAGGTTATCCTTGTTGACCAGTGTCGAACACCCGTCCCTGGTGCACTTTACTTTGTCTTTTGCTTGGCTAGCCTGCACAACAGGGGCAAACAGTCGCGCAGCGGGTTTATAGACGGAGTCGGAGGTGCCACGGGGCGATGAATCTAGAAATACATTGTGAGTGTTTCAAGGAAAACCTGCGAATGATAGCAAATTTACCAAGGCGAGCATCCGCACTCTCTAATGACGATTTCGCGACACGCGGGTCACCGAATGTCGGAAAGCCTTCAGAGTACATGCTGTGCTGAGGCGTTACATAGTCGGCAAAATTGCGGGTGCCGTGGGGCAATAGGCCTATACGCGGTAAGCATTCAAAAGAAAGATTGCGTATACAGCAGCTTACCTTCTGGAGAACCTGTACCCTCTGACAGCGATCCTGTGACCCCAAACGATGTTCCATTGAATACAGGCTGTGGCACGAAGCCGCGGTTATGCGAAGATGCAAACGGTGGAATAGCATTGAAGTCATTGAGGCTAGCTTGGGAGTCGATAATGGTAACACATCCGCCCGAATTCTCCATCGTGACATCTGACTGGTCATTTTCAAGGATATTCTTAAAGAGGCTGCGGATCTCCTGAATCTCCTGGATTTCCTCGTGCACACGACGCTCTAACTTGTCTAGGCGGTCGAGGCACTGGAGACATGACTGCCGGACTAGTCTCGTTGAATGTTGGTCAGCGGCCTGCCCTGGCCATGAGGACGATGGGTTTTGTAGTGTTGATCTGGATGAGTCCATGGTGCGCTCGTGTCTTTTTCTACGGTGCACACGTAAGCTGTCCATCTGCAGACTCTCAGCGACAAGTGAAGTGCTGCGAATGCGAGAGAATATTTCGAGAGTTGGGAAATTGAAAACATCACCCCGAGGCTTTTATCATGTGCTACATGCCCGTGGCGCGTCTGGCGGGCGTAGTCTAGACTACCTTTATCCAGTGAGTAATTTCCTTGCAACCTGCTACCTCGTGTTGAATGGATTCGTCGGCAAGCCTTCCCGGAAATGAAAATGGAAAATGGAATTCATGGCCTGCGATTCGAGTCTTATCAACTTGACTGCTATCTATCATAGATTCGGATCACTCAACAGTCATGCGTGGCCTGTTTTCTTCCAGGTGACGGTCAACACGATATGGATGAATTTCCATACATCCCCGAAACAATAGTGTGCTATGTAACTGGACGACTCCCATTAGAAGTCGGCGTGACTTGTTGGTCGTCGGGATATATCTAGCTACTGTGGTAGTTCTATTCGGACGGTCTCCACTGCGGTGACTTCCTCCAGATCTTCTTAACCAAGACCTACATTGCGACAAGAAAGGATCATTTAGGTTGGTAAACTCATACTTCATGATGTTAACCTGTTCTGGCAGATATGGCAGCGATACGACAGGATCCCGCTTTTCATCAATACTGATTGATATTGCCATTCCGAATCGGCTTCCAAACATAGCCATGCTAGTCCATATGTTCTCTTCCATGAAATCCGCTATAAAGAGCTAATTACCGCCTGCCTTTATTCAACGACGTGACATACCATCAGTGCAATTCACACCGGCACCTTACCTGTTGGTTTACTGTATGGTCATTACCTCAACGCCACCTCGCCATAAAATTTACTTCTCCCTGGGACTTTAATTGACTTCGCTGAGCGCGTCACATCGTGATGCACAGCCAATCTGCTTTGTAACACGTACTTCGATTATTATCCTCGCCTGATACTTCCCTCGTCATGCGTGCCATTTATCGCGGAGTTTTTCTGGGTCTTGGTTCCATTTTCACTGCCGCAGGGGTTATACTGTCGTGGGCAAAAATAACGCAGGATTTGAAATAGAATTTCACACATCACGAAGGTGTACTAATGCCGCAATCCCCCCTACGGATTATTCTAACGTGAATAAACTCACCGCATCTGCATTTAAATGTGTTCCGGTGTTATTCTGTGAAAGGAGGAACTGGTACGGGGGCAACAACAGCAGGAGTATCAATCGTCAATATTGTTGCATCAATCGTTGATCGATCATCTTTATGAGATACGGACGGGAAGCATCATACATCCAAAATAATATACGTCATCTCGAGTGCTTGATTCGTCGGGAACTTGAAAAAGCTCTGGTCCGATCTATCTCACCACCACTCCAATGGAAGAAGAGAAGTAAGACTCGCTAGAAAACTCCAATGGTAGAGCTGTCATCCCGAAGTCAGCTGGCACACGTACTCGTCCGGCATCGTGAATACGTAAAGGCATCCGACCGGAACGAGGAATTAGTGTCGCCTAATAGGATCATTGAAGTGATCTATACCCCAGAAAGACTTCCGTGGATAACGCCATGGTCATGCACCGTCACAAAAGCTTGGATTGGCGCAAGAAATAATGGAAAAGTCAATGTGTACGATAAAGAACTGCGGAAATGACTTTCAAGAGCTGCATAATTCAGATACCCATGCCTGCATATGGCGTCATCCGCGGAAGGTATGGATGATATGGATGATCGATCACACGGACAGGCGAATGCACCGGTACACGCCTTTTACATGTACATGTAGCATAGGGTCGTCAGTAGTCAATTGGGCTTTTCTAGTCACTTTTTACTCAACCTAGCTAGATCGATGTAACCATGATGACGGTTCCTGCTGATTAGTGCATACTTGATTCCAATTCCAATTTTGGTAAGACACAACGACAATACTGTGTGGTGTTTAATCACATGCGAAGACCGTAAGCTACACGTGGGTTAACACATAGCATCTCTATAGTGATATATCAAATCTTGGACATGATGCATGAGCAATGAGATCTGAGAGGTCGTTGTGATAACTCAACCCGACATTGATCGATAAAGTTACAGTGACAATCTTCAATGGCAGGGATATCTGGACGCTTAGGCTTGACACCCCTAAGGATGGCCACAACCATGCGGTGATCACTGCGAATGTTACAGTATAGCTGCCGGCCCGATAAAACCTGACACGAGAGCGCTGCGGCAATAGACCCAAATGAACTTGAAATATTAGTTTTGGTGAGCTATGTAGGCACTGATTTTCGGTACCCGGAACCTCGAAAAGTTTGGGACCAGCCAATCGTACGTTACTCCCGAATCCCGATCTAAGAGGTCCTGGTTAGGTCGGAGCATGTGAGCCTGTGGTTCACTACAAGGGCTCATTCGTTAAGAAGTACGTTGCAGGAACGAAGACGTGAGAAGCGTCACATATCTGCACACCGCGCAGTTGCTTACACCTGTGAGATCTGCATGAGCTACTTTGTTGCAGTGGACCGTCTATGCGCCATTTTATCTTAGTGCAATGCAAAAATGATATGACACGACTTACGATATTGGAGACCAGCAGCTACACCAGCAAGGTGTTACGACGCCCGTGAGTTGTGGTGCCGCTATACCATTGGGGAAGACTTACCAGACTGAATTTGTGGGCCTGTCATGGTTTTCATCATGACATGTGCTCAAGGATCATTGGGCATTCGTGGATATACGATAGCTGGTACTGGACCGAACCCGTAGGCAATCCCGCACAAGGGAAGAATGTTATTATGGCGCACTGGTCTCCACTTGCGGAAGTCGACCATCAACGTTCAACCTCTGCAAATATTTTCGTATCATTATAGCGGGTGTTCTACATCATATAGGCCCACCTTGCTGATGATATCCTCAAATTGGTCGTCCTCGGTTTCGATCCTCACACATTCAACCGCCACCTTGAGATTTATTATCAGATGTAAATTTGATACGAAACTGATAGCAACCTCCGTAGTTTTGTCTTTTTCTAAGAATCTGCACTTCCATGCGTCAGCGAAACTGTCCTGGGCAATAGCATAAGTCAATTCCTTGACAACCTTCATGGTAAGGTCGACCAGGCGTCTAAATTGGTTGAAAAAATTGCCATGCGCGTCAGTCTCATTCAAGTTGGAACTCTGCAAAAAAAACTGCGTCTACTCACTGACGTCTACATCCAGGTACGTCGAGCTCGACGTTTCTGGTTCCGGTTGGACTTTCCACCATTTATGGGCAACACACTAAAGATCCAGGTGGGAAGGGAAAGTATTTGTCGGACTGGCAGCGTAATGAGGTCGGATCTTCTAGGCCCAGGGCAGTTTGGACAACCAGAAGAACGAGAATATTCGCAAGATCCCTGCCCTTGTGTTGACGTTCAAGAGCTGGCTGTAGACTAGCACCAAGGCGCTGGCATTCATGAGAGTTTACCACAACCACAGGAATATGCCGTTGTACCAACATAAGGTTAGTCCGAAATTCTGAATGACGTTGATCAAAATTTCTAGGGTTTCCTTCTTTTTGGTCGTCCAACCTAATAGTACGACCGTGTCATCTGCAGCTCTGCGATTGATCAGCACTTCATGCGAAGACGGCTTTGATGGCATTGACGGATCAGCTAGATTCTCTTTCCGTCCTTCTTGTTCAGCTCTTGCTTCAGTCAGTGGTCCCATTACAGCCCGTCTAGCAGGTGAGCACCACCCTGCTCGAGCAACCGTCGAAGTGCACGTCCGCCCGCTCTCATCAGTGCCAGGAACTGCAGATCTCGATATGAGATATCGTAGAATGCTCGTGTCTTCTCGCACAACATCCTCGCACTTTCATTCGGGTCATCGTTTAAACCCTAACGAATCCGATCTCCAGTTATTCCCTTCTTGGAGCCGTCCAGCATTGCTGGATAACGCTCCATCGAGTATCATTAATGCAGGAGGTGTCTGAGTGCAATGGCTTGATGCCTGTAGATATCGTAAAGAATATCTGTGTGTCACACCGGAAGTAATGACAAGGAGCTTTATCAGAAAGGACCCAGGGCAATGCTGAGGACACAATCATTGAGACGTAAAAATACGCACTTGAAGCATGATACCTCCAAAGGGGTATACGTCGCTACCTTGGGTACTAGGGAAGCCCACAAAATTACTTGATTCGTTGGAAACTCGGAAAAGCTCCGTCCGATTTGAAAGAAGAAGACAAATAAGACTCGCTAGAAAACTCCGGTAGTAGAACTTCCGTCTCGAAGTCAGCCACACATGCCAGTGCTCGTCCGAGATCGTTAATAAAGATATTCGACTAAACCGAGATGGGATCGAGTGAGTGATCCATACCCGGAAAGATAACGCTATGGTCATGCAGGGTCGTAAAAACCTTAAATGGCGCAAGAAAAGTCAACGCGTACGGTAAACGCGGAAATAAATTCCAAGAGCTCTATAGTCCCGTGAAGCAGGGTCAGCAATCGTAACAAGTGTAGTAATGGCCGCTCACCGGTGCTCATCATCGCCTTTCGGGTTGAGGCAGTGATTTGATGGTGGTTTTGCTCCAAGCAACGTGTCATGGTGCCACTCTCGACCCACATATGGGGATACCAAGGCCGGTAATGGGATAAATCTAAGTGGCATCCCAACAATTGGCACAACGTTATCGTGATCCAACTCCAGCATCCAGTCTCTGTATGTCACATTCAGTACACCAGCAGAGAGTCCAACCCCGAAGGACTTGCCTTGTCCTTCCCTTCGCCCTTTAAATTACTTCCGTGTATGCGAACAGATTGAACTGCCAAGGGTGTACGAAGTCTGAGGGGGAATTTAGCTTATTATGCGAAGACAGGGCGATTACGAATTTTAGCACTAGTGCGTCACTCCTATTCTTAGTAGCATGCCATGGGGATGGAATCATTAGTGACCGGTCAGATCCTCGGATGAAAGATGCATTGATCATCTGGAGTGTTAAAACGCCGCTAAAAGCATAGCCCACCGTATCTCACGTTTGCAGTGCATGTATACCAACGACACCTTGTATAGGCCACAGAAATGATCTTAGCTTCCATTGCTCGCTATGGTTCTGAGGCGGTCACTAGTGGTAGAACATGGTATCGGTGTAGTAGATGCTGAATGTCCTACCGCAATACAGAGAAAAAATTCGGCGAAGTCACCCCGCCGACACCCAAAGACTAGTAAATTACAGTCTTCTGCACATGTTTAGCAACCCTCGCTCGAACTCCTACGCAAGTTTACACACCTCGTATCAGCGCCACATCTCGTGCCTTCGCGCATGCACAACCCTAAAACAGCTGCCAGACCAGCTCTCGCAGCTTCGCATCCTGCCTTTGGGACCTGTAAGCCAATGAACAAATGTTATATACAATAATCGACTTGGCACTAAACCACATGTACTGTTGACATTAGGTCAGCTTACAACGACAACAAACGAGAGAGAAAAAAATAGTATACATCGGTGGATGCTTGATTGGGTCACGGTGCGTGTATTGCGTTTGATGGAGCTAATAGAGACTGCAGCTGTGAAAAGCGATTGTAAGAACGTTGTACATACAGCGCGGATCTCATGAGTGGGAGAAAACAGGGTCTCAAGAGATAGAATAGGTCTAACGCTACAAACTGGATCACAATCCTTACCTGATCCAGTACCACTGCCGAGGGCAAATTTCCAGATCCATCGCTTGTATGGTGTTCGGAATCCTGATGAGGAGCAGCTTGACTTTGCGAGATGGAAGTTCATTGAGAGAGGTATGACACGTTTTATTGGTAACACGGACACCTGGAACTAAGTTCGGTGTGAACGTAGTTAGCGATTATTTTATGATAGAGCGACATACCTTCAAGTTCACGTCTGAATCGCTCTTCATGACTTGCTTAATGCAAGTGAGAGGGAGTGGAGTAATATGGTGTCTCTTGCTCTGCTGCATCTACTTGCCGCTGCAAAAATGACCGAAGGAAATCATTGAGGGGCTCCCCGGACTGCACGTATGGTGGTGGGCGATATTAAAGAGTAGGTGGGAAGATCTGAGGGTATTAGTAACCTTAACCCTAGACTAAGGGCAACCGGGCTCAACGTCGACAAGCGCTCAACGTTCCAACGCCCATCCAACCAGCTTATTTTCCACTTGCCACTTTGTCACATTGGACGCGCTGACTCAGTTCAATATGCACGGTAAGTAGAAATGACTCTTTGTTACAGGAAACTATACGTGCTGTGACTATGCAGCAGACTCAGTCAAGCTCGGTTGAGTCACAGCTTTAGTATCTGCAAGGCTGTGTCTACATATACATAAAGCGATGCCCTCCCTTCAGTCTCAATCCCATGGAAAGTGTTTTGGGAATTCAAGTGGATAGGTCCGTTAATATCCCCCTCGTTTATTTGCATGTCATGAGTAACTATCGTAGTTCGGTTGACTTGGAGTTGAAGTCACACAACATAGAATGAACAGCTGTCTTCCGTGACGACACTGTGCCTAGGGGAGGCAAGAGACGTTGCAAGTTCATATCGAAGTAGCGAGCTGTGGTGAATAACTCTAGATGCAAGGTTTTGATGGAAGGTTAGGGTTTATTGCTTGCACGTTTCCAGACCCTTGATCCGTGGACAAATATATTTTTGGCCATCAATCACAGGCAACTACTTCACTATATCCCGCAAACTCCTATCATTGGCAGTCTGTCGATTGCTTTTGATGCATGTGGTGGATTAGCTCTGCGTTAAATATGGCTCAATTGCAGCGTGGTGAGTCGCCTAGCGCTCGTCTGTATCCCCATGAAGGAAAATGATTTATGTACACCAACCTTTCTTACTGTGTCTTTCCCCATGCGGCGCAGTAGTAATAGAGCATGATTTCGTGGTGTTGGTCCATTCTTTGTTTTCAATTCCCAAGAGGGCTGGCTGGATCAGATCCATGCACTGGTAGTAAAGATCTGAACGCGGACCATGATGATGTTCCAAACGATGCTGTCAATGGGTTGTCATTTCGTGCTTGTTGTCAAAAATTATTAAATATTGGGATATCAGATATATCAATGTGAACGTTGGAATTTGGAGGCCGATTAGTACAAACATGAATACACAGCTAGACGTCCTCCGTTTCTTCCATTGGATCCGCAATTAACCGGCTGACTTTACCCGATGAGCTTCCTTATAGCAGCACTACCCGCAACAATAGTCAGTTCCTTGCCGCTTGAATCACCTTCCTGGGCGTTCCGCCTCGTCGTGCAGAGTAAATGAATCGACTTCAAGTAGCCCGAACAGAACGTCCCGGACTCCCGTGTTAATAATCGTAAATTTCGCTCTCCGCCACGGTGACTACAACATGGACTGAACTACTAGTAGTCGGGTCCTGCGGCGTTTTTGCCTTGAGACATCCACATTGGTCATGATGCCTATATCATTTCATTCATTTGCAGGAGACTTAAAGGCATCGGATTAGAGAAGGAACTTGAACACAGCGAAGGCGCAAGTCAAGACATACATTTTGCTTTTTTCTTGTCTCAAGTCAGCATTGTAATGTCGAGTTCTGCTCGCCCACAACCGCCTAGTGTGAGTGTTGTTCAACTCTTGCTTAGCTGGGATTAACTTGAAATCAGTCCAACCATACTGAGATCGAAGAACCTCCACACCACATAGACACGCTCGGCATTGTCGTTTGTGGAGAAAGCGGATCTGGCAAAAGTTCATTGATCAATTTGATCGCTGGGACGAATGTTGCGAAGACATCTCCCGATGCTGTGGGATGTACGACTGGAACAAATGTATACGACTCGGACAAATTGACAAGTCGCCAGGCCGGGACGTTGAAGGTAAAGCTTATCGATACAGCTGGTCGGTCCAGTTCACCCCTCTTCGTGGCTATTACTGAACTGAATTGCAGGTCTGGATGAGGGCATGGAAGGGACGGTCTCAGACAAGGAAGCTCGAAAAACATTGAAGACGCTTCTTCGAACTCAGACGGAGCAAGGCAACGTCCATCTCATCATGTACTGTGTGCGGGGTGGGAAGAAGATTCAGACACTCCGCCGGAACTACGAGTTAATCCGCTCCCAAGTCAAGAGCAAAGTTCCAATTGTCCTTGTCGTCACATGTTTGGAATTTTATCGACCAGAGATGGAAGACTGGTGGAAGGTCAATGAAAAAACCATCTCAGACCTCAGGATGATCTTTGCTGGCCACGCTTGCATCACTACGATGGAAACGGAAGAGCTTATGTTTGTGGAACGCCGCAACCAGTCATACGACGCTGTCTGCAACCTCATCAAGCAGTGTTGCCCATCAAATAACACAGCCGTTCACACTGGATCGTTACAAGACACTATTCGTGGGGTCCCAATGTACGTTATATTCCATACTTTGTATATTGTATTTTCCTCACATTGGTAAGTAGGGCCCAGCGTGACAGTGGAGGGTGGTACAGGCGGGTATTAGCTACCATTTGCTTGGCTTAGTCGGTAGGGCCTTCGGCACTACCATCATCATCCCCGACCAGGCCGACGGTGATGATAAGGAGTCTTTTTCGGAGTCTGCGTCTGTGAATAAAGCGTAGTGGTTGTACTGGCGTAGTGAAGGACTGCGGAGAAGTGCCAGCTCCAACCATCGTACAAAGGACAATAGGCACAATTAATATGAATTACCGCCGGTATTGTTACTTATGGTAACAGCTGCTCCGACGGCGTCGGAGGCACTTTGAAAGTTTGTATTTACCATTGGAACAAAGTTCAACATAACCGAAACAGAATTATCAGCTGCAGCAAGTAGGTGGCAAAACACGACAAACAGCCCGAAGTTCATAACAGGAGTTGCTTCCCTAAACATGCGTGGCAGCGATACCGTATGGAACTGAAGAACACCCACGCGTCGACGGTGCTTGTGAACGCATACTGCGGCTTCTCGCTTGGCGTCAGTGACCCGTCTGGCGCGAATTCGTGGGATTACAAACCATTGTAGAAATAACTCAACTGAGCCTGTCCTCGTGTCCTCGATCATCAGGGTCGGACAATGGATTTAGGGCTGAAAAACATTCGTGTCCTATTGTATTGCACGTGGATGGGTTTCGACACCGATGCGTACAATCAGAAGCACTGAATGATCCGGCTGTCAGCGGACCTTTATTGGCCGCGTAAAGTCACAGCCGTTTTCTTCACGTATCTACTTAGCGTGGCTTACTATTTCGTACGACAGCACTCCGTTGAAAAAATTTGGGACACCTCTGGACGTTGCGAACTAAATAGTGGTAGCCTGAGTGTCTTCATCGGTAGTCTCGGGACACGTAACTGAGCAAGTGTGTAAGCATCTGACCATGTTACACAAGTGATCTTCGTAGAAGGCGACTGTGTAGGGGACATTCGAGCAACTACTATGAATGAGCAACGACTAGTCAGTGAGGTGCGCTCGCACCTTTCCCATGCCACCAGTAGGCCGAGCTCAGCATTCCGAACCGAGTCAAATTACACAAGTAAGCTTGCATCACGCAAGATGAGCTTACCACCCTAAAGGTCTAGATCGACACTAAGACATCCGATCGACGCCCAAGTTCAAGCGTGCCGCATCGAGCTAAGATTCAATGAGATCAAGATTAATATTGCAATTATGTTGATCGACAAAATGATGCACGCACGTCTAATAGGGAATTCACACGCCTGTAGGGACCTGTGAGCGAAAATTAATACGAAGAACCCGAAAGGCATGGACAAGGCGATGCGGATCAATGCCGCTGAGTTGCCGCTTGCTGGTGAGGCTTGTCGTTGGCGTACTCAAGTACTCAACGTTCAACTTTCGACCTCCAAGGGATTATATCTCCAAGGGTGGAGGTGTACTATGTAGTCGTGGAACATATAATAGTCATGGCCCGGGACATGCCGGCGATAGGGCATCTTATCTAGGCACCCGAACACGTCAACGCTGCGACCGAATCATGATTTTTGCTGATTTTCTTGTTTGCGCACCCATACATCTCCTTCTCCGCACCAATTTCCATATTTGCGTGGAGGGCTATACTAGATGGACACCTGGAAAACGGATTATCATCACATACAACCAATGATCAATACATTTCCTACCGTTGACCCCTCCCCCATACTCCTGGGGCGCTAACCATTTCCTACCACTCACTTGCCCTGTAATACCCACACGCTGTTTGGTGCTCTTCCCCCGTGCGCATCCCAGGACTCACTATCCACAGTTTGCTTGTAGCGTGACAGGTATTTGATGCATTTCCGAACGCCTTTTTTCCGTCTCCAATGAAAACCAAACCGAGCGGTTACCAAACGGTCCCTAATAACTCCGCATTAATTCCTCCCAGTAAGTTGAATGAAAAGGTTCGAGCATGCCTTGCCATTACCTTCACCTCGTGTTTATTTCCTATTGTAGCACTCCCCTGAAAATACTTGACATTCCAAACAACGGTGCGCATTGCCTTGCTTGTTCCTTTCGAGATCTCTACATTAGGGCTTTCTCCGCCCATTTATGGTTCCACCTCCCTCGAAGTAGCAAATGAAGTCAAGGGTGAACTTTCGGCCATCAAGATAGCTTTGTTATACAAGATAATAATCTAGGGTCGTTCACAAGGACATGCATGGTGCGTCATCACATTCGTCCGCGTGAAATCCTTTTTGCATCTTGGACAAACAGCCACAATCTTCTTCTCATGCACCTCGTTAATGTGACGACTAAGGACATCCTTGCTGATGAATTTCGGACACTTGTCCCAGGGGCATTTTACTTTGGGGCGTCCTACTTTGACCTTTGCTCGGCCAGTTTGCACAACAGAACCAAGCTGTCGGGCAGCGGATTGCCCAGCGGGCTCACGCACGGGATCGGACGTGCCATCGACATCGAGCGATAAATCTATGGATACATTGTAAACGTCTCAAGGAAAAGCTAGCAATGATAGCAAATTCACCGAAGCGAGCACCCACACCCTCTGATGAGGATTCCGTGACTTCCATGTCATAGGATGCCGTGAAGCCCTCAGAGTATATGCTATGCTGATGCGTTACATTGTTGGCAAAACCACGGGCGCCGTTGAGCAATAAGCCTGTATACGGTAAGCGTTTAAAGCAAAGTTTGCGTATACAGCAACTTACCGTCTGTGCCCTCTAGCACCGATCCCGTGACCCCGGACAATAGTTCGTGGGGTGCAGACTGTGGCACGAGGTAGGGGTCGTGCGAGGACATAGATGGTGGAATAGCATTGAGGCTATTGAGTCCAGCTTGGGAGTCGACAATGCTATCACGTCCACCCGAATGCATAGGAGAATTGCGAGCGCCGTAGGGCAATAAGCCTGTACACGGTAAGCATTTGAAGGAAAAACTGCGTATAAAGCAACTTACCTGTTGTACCCCCTGACAGCGATCCGATGACCCCGGACGATGTTCCATGGAGTGCTGCAGGCTGTAGCATGATTTGGCTATCATGCGAAGATCCAAACGATGTAATAGCATTGAGGTCATTGACTCCGGCTTGAAAGTCGACGGTGCTATCACGTCCACCCGAATGCTCCATTGTGAAACCTGATTGGTAGTTGCAAACGGGATCCTTGACGCTGCGGATCTCCTGCATTGCCTCACGCACGCCATGGTCTAATACGTCAAGGCGGCGGTCTAACATGTCAAAGCGCTGGTCTAACGTGTTAAGGCGATGGATGCACTGGAGAATTAACTGGAGTGCTAGATACTGGTCAGGCGGTAGGTTTTGTAGTGTTGTGCGTGAGTCCATGTCTTTGATGTAGCCTAATGTATAGGCGAGTGCGAATGGGGAGAAGACTTGTGAGAGTCAGGAAATTGAACGGCTTTATAGTATGTTCATTCCACCTTTTCCATGGCACGTCTTGCAGGTGTAATCTGGCCTCTGGTCGCCCTGTGCCAAGGCCAGTTCTGAAATGAAATACACGCTACTTTGACGCGATTCGAAAACGGCACGATCGGAGACCATCGGAAGTTACCTGTCGTATGAGGCAGGGTATACTAATTCACAAGAGACGGCCAATTTTCAGATGTCTACCGTTAATGATTGTAAAATTACGTTGACCATCACGTCATTAGCCATAGCCATATGATGTAGGCGAGTCCTCGGTGTTTCGTCTTGACACACATGATGCACGTTGCTGAAACAAAGTAGCCTGCATGATCCATATGTATGACATTTCAGCTTGTGTAGATGGCCAAATAAAATATACATTCATTCGTGACCAACATAACCAGGTAATATACTATGTACTAACTCTCTGGAATGAAAGATGAAATGTTAAGACGCAGTCATAAGTATCTCTCTCTCTACTAGCCAGCTGTACCACGTATACTACTCGTTCAACCTCTACATAAGATATTTCTCACGCTTGCAGTGCATGTTGACCAACAAGGCCGTATAGCATGAAGTATGCCACAGGGATGACCTTTCCATTGCTGACTATGGTTCTGAGGAGGCCCTTGGCTCACTAGGGGTAGAGCATGGTGTAGCAAATCTAATCGGTGTAGGTATGACAGTAGATGTCGAACGTCCTACCGCAAAGTGCTGTGATGCTGTTAAAATGTAAACCTTCAACCTACGCAACCCTATGTCAAATCTATGATGTGAACTACTAAGTGGGTCATGGTGCATGTATTGCGTCCGATGGCGCTAGGGACTAAAGATCCGAGAGTGGCATGAGGGAACCGCTACTTCGGATAACATCTTATTGAAATGGCCCTGGTTTGGATAACGGATCGAGGAACTGGTGGTGAGAAAATAGACCCGAAGGTCATTATAAAAATGGAAATTCACGGCCATCCTACACAGTCGTACACGTGGAGTCAGACGAAGCTGACCAGCTGGATCTAAGCGCTATCCTATAACCAAATTTTTGGGGGGAGGTTGTCCCATCTCGGTCCGTTTAAAGTGGAGAATCAATTATAGACTCCGATGTCACAACACAGCTACTACCCTTACACCCAATGAGTACTACTACACAGAGATGGCTACGACAAAAGGTCAGCTCATATACTCACAAGGATCGTGTCCTTCTTGACTTTGATACTGCTCCCGCCCGTTTCACATAAAATCAGATGTCTACAGTTCAGTGACCATTAGATTCCATATTCAAATCCCACCAGTTGATCTTTGAAACTCAACTTCTACTATGTCTGCATGGCGTCTTACCAATATCCTTTCGCGGCGCTTCATATAATATCCCCATCGCTGTATGGGTCACAAAAGAGTATCCCCGCCAGCCCCCAATAGTGTATGTTGTTCCAACCCAGGACTAGACCGAGTAAACACGTTGATGTGAGTGGCAGATGTAAAGTTGAATATATCCAACACTGGGAAAAAAAGAGCGAGGTAAGTTCACTTACCGAAATAACCACCAATCAGAACAAATTCATTCCCGAGCAAGGCATGTAATCTATCAGCTTTACTCGAAGCATAGCAACAAGAGTTCTCCCGTGGTCCGCCAGTCTACGCCAAACCAAAAACAATTCCATCATCGTCGCCGTCACTTTTACAGGAAGCAGCTGTGAAAAGCAATTGTAAGAACGTCATACACCCAGCGCGGTTCTCAGGAGTGGGAGAAAACAGGGTCCCAGGAGATAGAATAGGGTCTAACACCATAAAGTGTATCACGATCCTTACCTGATCAAGTACCACTGCCGAGGGCAATTTGCCAGATTCATCGCCTGTATGGTGTTCAGAATCCTGATGAGGAGCAGCTTGACTTGGCTAGATGGAAGTTTATCGAGAGGCACGACAGGTTTTATGGTAACACGTACACCTGCGACTAAGTTCGTTATACTCGACCCAGATCCTCTCGCAGCACCAGTCCTCGTACCACTCTGAGTCAATCCCGTAAGCCCCTCCTCTCTCGGGACAATCTCTATAAGGAAGTCGAACTGGTCTGACTTCGCAAGCGGGACAGTGTTCGACGCTTATTTGAGTCAGTAATAATAAATGCACGAGCAGTTATTTCCGAAAAAAAAATTTGGTGGCGAAGTTGCGTGAAATTTTATGTGACAAAGTGGCGAAGAGAACGTGAACATCAAGTTTCTGTGGCGGAAAGAATAACACCAGACGCACTTTCACAAATCTTATAGGCCCAGGGCAGTTGGGGTAATCACAGAATGCGAATAATACTAGGCATTGCGAGATTCCTGCCTTATATCGACATTCAAGGGGCTGTTGGCTGCAGTAGATACTAGAAACCAAGGCGCTACATTGATGGGAGTAAGGCAGAAACTTAAAATGGTGACCCGCACTGTTTTGTGTGGTACAGTATGCGTAGTGCTTCCCCATAGGCTATAAATCAGAATTCGAAATTCTTGAACTGCTCAAGGTTCCTTGGTTCCAGCTGTGTCTTGTGCAGTATCAGAATGCATAATGCCCCAGAGATTCAAGACTTCCATGCTCTCGGATATAGCCGCTATGGTCCAAACGAATTGAGGATCTCCCGACCAAATGCAATTTAATGCTCCGATGCTCGCGCAGCAACGTTAACTGTATCACAAAATTTCGCCAATTATCCGAGTGCCATTAATATTGAATCCTCGTTCCTCAGGAGTCCAGAAAATCGACGTAAGTTCCTGATAATATACAGGACTCAAGTAATAATTGGTATCACATCGCCTCAATTGATCATGACTCGGAGAATTATTACCACCGGAGAAGATGCACTTTGTTAATAGTCACACTTTCTTTGATTACTAGCTAGTTGTAAAAGACGTAGTCGCCTAAGACTCTGGCATGTTATACATGAGCACGTTGACAAGCCAAGAAAATGGGTATCTGCCAAATACCACTCACATCGATTGGTTAGTATATTTCGCTTATATATTAAGTCATTGCAGAATTTGAGTTCACTGTATCGTGACTCATGCACATGAGTGGTTCAGATGGAGTAAGAAGAATGGCGTACAGCACCAACATTCAAAGCTGCATGCAGAGCTACTAGCTGATTATAAGACTCACGTAAACTCATCCTGAACTATAATCGAGATCATCATCATCTCATAGTGCGTATCCGGATCTCGCGCCGAGCTCATTGAAGAGGTAAAAAACCACGTGTTTGTAGCACTCCCCTGAAAACACTGGACATTGGAAACAACGGTGCGCATCGCCTCCCCTGTTCCTTTTGAGATCTCCATATCTATCTCTAGGGCTTTCCCTGCCCATTGATGGCTCAACCTTCCTTGAAGTAGCGAATGAAGTCAAGGGTGAACTTTTGGCCACCAAGGTGGCCTTGTATAAGTCGTATTAAATGAACACCATACAATATACAAATCTAGAATCTTCCACATCTGGTCCGAAGGATGTGCTCATTCATCTGATACGAGCGCTTGAACACCTTTCTGCAGCCCTGCACAGACAGCCTTAAACTTCCTCTCGTGCACCTCTTTGACGTGACGAGTGAGGTTATCCTTGTTGAGGATTGCTGAGCACCCGTCCTGGGTGCATTTTACTCTATCCTTTGCTTGGCTAGCCTGCATAACGAGGACAGGCAGCTGCGCGTCGGGTCCGACTAAAGAATCCGATGGGACATGCTCCTCGAGATAAACGCTTTGGAAGGGTTGCGGAGCAGGTTCATAGATGGAGTCGATCGTGCCGTGGAGCGAGAAACCTAGGAATATATTCTAAGCGTTTCAATGAAAAAGTTGCGAATGATAATGAATTTACCGAGGCGAGATTTCACACCCTCAGGCTCCAATGATGATTCCGTGACACGCGGGTCACAGAATGCCGGAAAGCCCTCAGAGTACATGCTGTGCTGAGGCGTTACATAGTTGGCAAAACCGTGGGTGCCATTGAGCAATAAGCCTGTACACGGTAAGGGTTTAGAGGAAAGACTGCGTATACAGCAAATTTACCTTCTATGCTCTCTGATAGCGATCCCATGACCCCAAACGATGCCTCATGGGGTGCAGGTTGTGGCATGAAGTAGCGGTCGTGTGAAGATCCAAATGGTGTAATTACGTTGAGGCCATCGAGCCCAGCTTGGGAGTCGACGGTGCTATCACATCCGCCAGAATCCTCCATGGTGACATTTGACTGGTAGTTGTCAAGGATATTCCTAAAGAGGCTGCGGATCTCCTGGATTTCCTCGTGCACACGACGCTCTAACCTGTCAAGGCGGTCGAGGCACTGGAGATATGACTGCAGGACTAGTCTCGTTGATTGTTGGTCAGGGGCCTGCCCTGGCTGTGAGAACGATGGGTTTTGTAGTGTCGATGTGGATGAATTCATGTTGCGCTCACGTCCTTGTCTGTGATGCAGTGTAACCTATCTCTCTGTGAATTATAGCCGAGTACGAATGTGAGGAGAATACTTGCGAGAGTTGGATTGAACGAAGGACGGCTTTTATGCTCCATGCCTATGGCACGCCTGGCAGGCGTAATCTGGACTGCCCTGATTCAAGGAGTAATTTCCTTGTAACCTCATGTTGTAAATTGGCAAGTTTTGAAATGAAGTGCGCACCGCTACACCTGGAAGATACGCGACGTAAATGCCAGTTCGTTAAAGTGGAATTTAGCTTACTTTGACGCAATTCGAAAACGAAGCGATTGGAGACCAGCAGAAGGTCTTACGACGTTATGGGATGGTGTCGTATCAGGCAGAACTTGGTGCCAGTGTGAGCTGTTGTGGGAGAAGAATAGCTGGTACATACTGAACCAAACGCATAGGTAATAACGCACATAAGAAGAGTGACGTGCTTGTGCCAGTTTCCATTCGTCCAAATCCATCAACTCCGTGCGGGTGGCAAGGGTGGCGACCATATCTTGATCATCGAAAACTGCGTCGATGATCTTCATGCTGGATGAAAAGAAGCAAGGTCTGATTAGATCTGAGCGCTTTATGGCGTTATGAATACCAAGAATCTTTTGATTCACTAATCACTAGTATTTCATTGGTGGATTGGAATAGGCCAATATGGCAGTGCCGCAGGCCTGCACTGGTACACGAATAAGCCATTGCCTCGCTTCTGCAAATATGAATAATTTAGCATTGCCAATTCTAAATCAGTTGGAATGGAAGTCTAGTGGATCAAGTCACGTTAAACCACGCTAGTCCTCCGTCCTCTTCCATTGAATCCGCGATAGAGTTAATCCCGGTTGACTTTACCCCATGGGTCAGGAAGTCACTTACCCGATCGGCACAAACATCACGCTTGATTCCAGTGGAACAAGATCTTGCAGTCCTCGTAGCAGCACTACCCGCAAAATTAGTCACTTCCTTGCCGCTTGAATCACTTTCTCTGGGCGTTCCAACCCATCGTGCACAGTAAATGAACGATCGACTTCAAGTCTGGTTTATGATGTTGTAGCTTGAACAGAATGTTTCAATTATGCACGTTATAACCGTGAATAGTTCTAAACGCCATCAGGTAATATAGCAAACCTTGGAGTGTGACGCTCGAATCATGGATCCCACAAGTTGGTTCTTCTAAATCGACGAACCCTCATTTGATGTGCACGGAATCCCAAGAAGTCGATGGCCATACTTATCTGGTACAAAAACATGAGTTAACACATAGCATCTTTATATATAGGGGCGCATCAAACCTCGGACATCAGCGATGAGAGATCGCTGTGATGACTCAACCCAAAATTGCTCTATAAAGTCCCAGTGACAATTGTCAATGGCAGGGATATCTAGACGCTTAGCGCTTAGGCTTGACACCTCTCGAGGATGGCCACAAGCACCTAGTGATCAAGTACTGCGAATGTCACAGTATGGCTGCCGGCCCGATAAAACCTGACACGAGAGCGCCGCAGGCATACGTAATCGACAGACCTGGTATGTGATGAACTTTAAATATTAGTTTTGGTGAGCTAGGCACCGACCTTCGGTATTCGGAACGACCAGGTTACTCCCGAATCCCAATGTAAGAGTCCCGGTTAGGTCGGAATATGTAGTCAAGAGCCCATGGTCAACTACAAGAGCTCTTTCGTCAAGTACTGTTGAGAAGTACGTTGCAGAAACGAAGATGTGAGAAGCGTCACATATCTGCACACCGCATAGTTGCTTACGCCTGTGAGATCTGCATGAGCTACTTTGTTGCAGTGGACCGTCTATGCGCATGGCATATACTATCGGTTTATCTTAGTGCCATGCGAAAATGATATGACAGGACATACGATATTGGAGACCAGCAGCTACATCAGCAAGCTGTGACGACGCCCGTGAGTTGTGGTGCAGCTATATCATTGGGGAAGACTTACCAAACTGAATTTGTGGGCCTGTCATAGTTTTCATCAAGACATGTGTTCAAGGATCCGTTGGGAATCCGTAGAGATACGATAGCTGGTACTGTGCCAAACCCGTAGGCAATCCCACACAAGGGAAGAAAGTTTTCATGGCACAGTAGTTTCTATTACTTGCGGAAGTCGTCCATCAACCTCTGTAAATATTTTCATATCATTGTAGCGGGTGTTCTACATCACATAGGCCCACCTTGGTAAAGATTTTCTTGAAATTGTCATCCTAAATTTCGATCCTCACACATTGAACCGCCACCTTGAACCTTATCATCAGATGTTAGATTTTACTACGAAACTCGTACCAACCTCCGCGTTAATATCTTTGTCTGAGAACATGCATTTCCATATGTCACCGAAACTGCCCTGGGCAGTAGCGTAAGCCAATTCCTTCACGACCTTCGCAGTAAGGTCGACCGGGCGTCTAAATCGGTTGCAAAAATTGCCATGTCAGTCAGCTTCAAATTCTACAAAAAAGACTGCGTTACTCACTCATTATCATTGACGTCTACGTCCAGGTACGTCGAGTTCGACGTTTCTGGTTCTGGTTGGACTTTCCACCATTTATTGGGCAAGGCACTAAAGATCCAGGTGGGAAGGGAAAGTACTTGTCGCACTGGCAGCGTAAGTTGAATGAGATCGGATCTTTTAGGCCCGGGGCAGTTTGGATAACCAGAAGAACGAGAATATTTGCAAGATCCCTGCCTTTGTGTTGACGTTCAAGAGCTGGCTGCAGACTAGCACCAAGGCGCTGGCATTCATGGGAGTTTACCACGACCACAGGAATATGCCGTTGTACTAGCATAAGGTTAGTCCGGAATTCTGAATGACGTTGATCAAAAATTTAGGTTTCCCTTCTTTTTGGTCGTCCAACCTAATAGTACGACCATGTGCATCTGCAGCTCTGCCATCGATCAGCATCTCATGCGAAGACGGCTTTTATGGCATTAAAGGATCAGCTAGATTCTCCTTCCGACCTTGTTCAGCTCTTGCTTTAGTCGGTCTCATTACAGCCCGTCTAGCAGGTGAGCACCACCCTGCTCGCGCAACCGTCGAAGTGCACGTCCGCCCGCTCTCATCAGTACCAGGAACTGCAGATAAATCTCGATACGAGAGATCATAGAATGCTTGTGTCCTCTCGCACAAGATCCTCGCACTTTCATTCATATCATCGCTTAAGCCCTAGAACATCTGACCCTCGGTTATGCCCTTCTCGGAGCCGTCCAGCATTGCTGGATAACGGTCCATTTAGGAGGCGTCTGGGTGCAATGGCTTGATGCCTGTAGATATCGCAAGGAATCTGTATGTCGCACCGGAAGTAATGATAGGGAGTTTTATCAGAAAGGACCCAGGGCGATGCTGAGGACACAATCACTGAGACACACTTGAAACATGACACCTCCAAAGGAATATACGTCACCTTGAGTACTAGGAAAGCCCACAAAATTATTTGATTCGTCGCAAACTTGAAAAAGCTCTCGTCCGATCCATCTCAGCATCCCTCCGATGGAAGAAGAGAAATAGGACTCGCTAGAAAACTCCGATAGTATAACTTCCATCCCGAAGTCAGCCACACATGCTAGTGCTCGTCTGAGATCGTCGACAAAGATATTCGACTGAACCGAGATGGAATTGAGTGAGTGATCCATACCCGGAAAGATAATGTTATAGTTATGTAGGGTTATAAAAGCTTGAATTGGCGCGAAAAAAGTCGATGCATACGCACCGGTGCTCGTCATCGCCTTTCGGGTCGAGGCAGTGATTTGATGGTGGTTTTGCTCCAAGTAACGTGTCAGAGTGCCAACAAATTATACAGTCTTCTGCACACGTTTAGCAACCTTCGCTCAAACTCCTACGCAAGTCCACATACCTCGTATCAGCGCTACATCTCGTGCCTTCGCGCATGCACCACCCCAAAATAGCTGTCAGACCAGCTCTCACAGCTTCGCATTCTGCCTCTGGGACCTGTAAGCCAATGAGGACAATAAACGCGAAAAAATAGTTTACATCGTTAGATGCTTGATTGGATCACGGTGCGTTTATTGCGTTCGACGGCGCTAATAGAGACTGCGGCTGTGAAAAGCAATTGTAAGAACGTCGTACATACAGCGCGAATCTCATGAGTGGGAGAAAACAGGGTTCCAGGAGATAGAACAGGTCTAATACTACAAATTGTATCACGATCCTTACCTGATCCAGTACTACTGCCGAGGGCAAATTGCCAGAACCATCGCTTGTATGGTGTTGAGAATCTTAATGAGGAACAGCTTGGCATAGCTAGATGGACGTTCGTTGGGAGAGGTACGACATGTTTTGTTGGTAACACGTACACCTGGGACTAAGTTCGGTGTGAACGTAATTAGCGATTATTTTATGATGGAGTGACATACCTTCAAGATCGCTCTTCATGACTTGCTTAATGTAAGTGAGAGAGGGAGCGGAGGACTTCCTGTAACCCGCTGTCTCTTTCTCTGCCGTATCTACTTGCCGCTGCCAAAATGAACAAAGGAAATCATTGCGGGGGACTACATGTATGGGAGAGTAAGTATGTGGGAAGATCTATATTGGTAACCTTAACCCTAGACTAAGGGCATGTTCACCTCGCCCGAACATGGTGCGCCGAGGCGTAAATTTTGCGAGCTAAGTACTGATTAGTTGTCTTTTGGACGTCATCGATATCCTTATTGGAAGTGTTTTTGAGATGGCAAGATACTCTATTGGAGAGTTATTCATTATCCTTGGCGTCTACATTAAGGATGTAGACACCAATGATAATGGACCACTTTACTAAAGATCAAGGTGGGAAAGGAATATTTGTCGCATTGCCAGCGCAATGAGCCCGGATCTTTATAGGCCTGGGGCAGAGCATCTCGGGGTAATTCCTAGGTTTTGCAATATTCTAGCTGCGACGTTCAGGGGCTGATTAATGGCGTATAAGCAAAAGCATGGGAATTTCAATACCATGACTACTTACAGGAACGTGCCGTTGCATCACCGTAAAACAATCGTACATAGTACCGCTTGCGTGGATTCGTCAGGTACTGCTTCCCATCCAATTGTCATGAACTGCTCAAGGTTCCTTTGTCATGCCCTTGGCTATGGTCCCAGATCTTTCCCAATGCTCGCACAGTGATTAAAATTTTAGTGTCGATCAGGGATCTATCTCTAATTATAATCATCCCAGTGCAATGAGGCAAGTTCCTGGTAATACAGGAAGCAAACAAGTCAATATCACATCGCCTTGACTCGGAGTAAGAAGAATAGCGCACAGCATCAACATTCAAAGCCGGATGCAAACTCAGAGCTACTAGTAACTGGTACGTAGCTATTTTGCCTGCTCCGATGACAATGGCTTAAAGGTAGAGTAAGGGCAACCCTAGTTTATTGGGCTCACTGCGCTCAAAGTTTCAAAGCTCAACGCCTAAAACCAGTTACACACAAGCTCCAACTTTTCTTCAAAATACTTCAGACACTCCAATTTCGGGCAACGTCACTTGGAGTATCTCCCATCAGTTCTCCGCCCACTCGAATCTAAAACGATCCAACAAGCTGGTGAGACTTCAGCCAGACACTACGGCAGCAACGCTGACTTGATTCAGAATTGATCACTTGACAGATTTAACTGGCCAACTAGATCGCACGCCACTTCTTTTGGAGGCCTGAGTGACATCCGGCGATGTACATGGGACAGGAATGGTAGCATCATTGTAGTGAGTGCGTCCCGATTTTCATGTTCGAGTCTGATAAAGTCACAGGTAGCTGTGAAGTCAATCAGGAATCAAGCACTAGATGAAGAGCGTGCCAAGAGAAAAATTAGGGTGCGTCAGCGTGCTCCGTACAATTCAATGTTGCTTATCGGTTGTTATAGAGGCTTCGCCGTGAGCTCCAGCTTTGGTCGAGACTTACACGACACATCGTCCCACGTACCAGGCTTTGGCCAATTCGTTGCCTTGGTTTGCTCCTGGTATGACAATGGAACCCCTTCAGGTTATCCGGAATCCCATGATCAAACCGTGTCCGCAGTCAATCGTTTCCAACTGGTATGTCTTGCATGATCTGTCTGAAAACGTACTCATGCCTTAGCAGCTCAGTCATATTTCTGCGGGTCTTCAACACGGTAAGTGACTTGCTTAGTTTTGCAGCATATTTGATAATGGTTCTTTGTCTCAGTTCACCCGTGCTCTCAGGGCGATCTTACTAGGGTAGAGTCCGTGGGCACATCTTATTTCACGTCCGCCCTGGATGGCACTGTGTGGTGAATAGCACCCGAACTTCTTGTTCCCGAAGAAGGCGCAATATGATCCCGATGCATACTGGGGTGGGTATTAGGAGCGGCGTAAGGTAGCTGCTTGAGCTCATTTAACTTAACTATTAATAAATTGCAACCAGCAGCTATCGAAAATGTCGTCAAGTTCAAACTGCAGCATTGCCCGTTACGATTGGGACAAACGTCACGACAAATCGAGCTTGGGTGCCGCAATCAACGTTAACGTTGCACTCCAGATTGCACTCAATCAAGTCTAATTATTCTGTTTAGAACTATTCTAGGCTAACCCCAGGTGCAAACAAACGTTTTCTTCTAGATCGACACTAAGACATCCGATCGACGTCTTCGTCACAGTCAGGGCTCGAGCTAAGCTTAAGATCAAGATTGCATCTCACGGCACTATAGGAAATTCATACGCCTTAAGGATCCGGCCGAAATGTAGATGGAGTTGTCTTCGATACACGCACCCCTTATAAGCTTAACTTCACTATACATATTTTGACACAGGTGCTAAATTTGTAAGTGCCAGGAACGATTTTGCACTGGCTCCCTGATATGTCAGCAAGAGAAGCAAGGTACCCGGACTGAGAAGGCCAGGCAAGTGCCGAGACCAAAGGATAAGAAGGATCCACCACTGATATATCACTTACTATGTATCATAGCGGACTATGGGCTGTTGGATATGATGTATTAGACCAACCCTATAGATTATGGTCTTTTGATATATCAAATCACTATATGGCCTGACAAGAACTTTGGTGAACATTCTAGTCGAAAAAAAAAACACGGCAGTATACGAAAAAAAGATAGCTAGAGTGAGTGCCCAGGCTGCCTTCGTACAGTCCATGACACCACCTTTCTTCAAATCTCCAAACATATACCCGTAAAAAGCTTCAACGACATGTTTTGCGACAGCATCATCGACCTCCCATAGCGTGCCAATGATGCTCTTGAACCCTGAAAACTGAATACCAGCTGCGAGGTGGATCACTTCGTCAGGCGTCTCCTCATCGCCTACAGCAGTGTGACAAGCTGATAAGAACGCGAACTCGGCCTGCGGAATATGTCTCTCCATGATATCGAGCAGCGTCAAATGTTCGTCTCTCATGACAAAATGCGAATCGTAAGGCTGTTTAAGGTCCTGCTTGCCATGACAAGCAAGGTGCACACCCAGGTGTTCTTCTGCAAAGCTGAGAGTGCACCTGCTCGGGTGGCTTCGTCGCCAGAAATAGTGGTGCGGTCAGCTGTCGCAGGGACGAGCTTATGGACAAGCTCGAGCTCGCTGTCGACAGCCAAGAGCGCGTTGCCTTTCCCTGCACCCGGTTGACCCTGTCCGATCGCCACAAAGGACGGAAGCACGCGCTTCTTCATCAACTGTCTAGATCTGATCAGAGCCGAAAGTGTCGGCGTGTAAGAGCAAATGTAGAGATCCTCCAGGCATGGCTCCTTCCCAGAACGATCCGCCTTTATTTGAAATGGGTGAGCTGCATGGAGAGGAATGGACGTGAAAGCTGCAGTGGGACACAACCAGATTCGAGAGCGACGCTTTAGTTTGAGAGCGTGCTCGAGTACGTTGACGATGGGTAGCATGATCTGGTCCCATATTATCCGCAAGAGCACTATTAGATCCGTCCTCGACTCCCCTGGGTTCATCCGAGATGAATCTCGTATTACCCTGGCGAAGCGATCCTTAAGAATCTTGAGGTCTGCGAGAGCGATGGACGGCAAAGGAACATGATGGGGGTCTCCTGACGTCGGGACGATGATGGCGCTGCACGAGTATTGACTCGCAATGAGGATGATGACCGGTCCCTGGCGTGCTGCCACTTGGAGGTCTTCATACGAAGGTGGAAGCAGGAATCGCGAAAATGCCGGAAGATTGCGTATCTCAGCTACCGCAACCTCCCATTGCCCTGTAAGTCGCCTATATTCAATTGCTGCCCGATCAGTAGCAGCTCTGTCGACGATGGTTGCAGGACTCTGTGCGGCATTGGAAACGAGTTTGCTCAATTGCAAATAATTGTGCGCCAGTCTCGGATTTGCTGACTGAAGGTCTTCGACTGGAGTCCTGAGTCGAGAGGCCAGCGACCACTGCTGGCCACGGCCTTGCTCCACAAGTTCAACTGCTTGTCGTAGATTGTTATGACGTATGGCGCATGAGGCCGCATCCGCAGGAAGTGAGCGTGCATGAAGAAAAGCTGTTGCAGCCTCACGCCGTGAGACGATCGACGATCGCGTCATCACGTGGCTGTCGAAAAGCTCAAAGCATACTTGGTATGCTTCGAGGGCAGAGTCGTGTTGATGACTCTCAGCATCAGTAACCCAGCCCAAGGCGCCTTTAATGCGTCTCGGAAAGCCTTGAGTAGGATGTCTTGATGCAAGTCTGAAGTTCTCTATAGCGAGCGACAAATCAGCAGGGTCGTGTAGAATCCGGTGACGAGACAAATAAGCCTTCTGCAGCCACATGTAGCTGAAATACCTGTCCGGGTGTGTCGAGGACAGAGCCGCCAATGATTGTCGGCAAAGAGTAATGGCCTCCTCGACATCTTCATTCTTCTGCGTTTGCGTAAAACGAGAGCAGAGCGCCGAACTCAAGTTGTAAAGAGTTCTATGGCGCTCTGGATGGTCAAGCCGCATTAACCGAAGGCATCTGCGATATAAAACAATGGCCTTGTTGAGATCCTCGCTAACATGCAATTTGTCATATCTGGTGTCGAGCGCGAGGGCAATGTTGTTAAGCGCGGTGTCACGATGTGGATGCCCAGGTGGGCGCAACGTCGGTGCTTCGCAATAGAGGCTGATAGCTCTGGTGATGTCTTCACTGTCGCCGCATTTGTTGAAACGGTCGACAAGAATGCCCCCTAGGTTGCCCAATAAGCAATCACGAGATTCGTGCCCAATAGGGCACAGGCGCAGTGCTTCTTCATGCAAAGAAATGGCATCATCGAGGTCATTAGGTTTGCCTTGGTGATCGAAGCGCGACGTGAGTGAGAAGGCCAAGTTGTTCAGGTAAGCATCACGGTCAGCATGTCCCTCGGGGATCAGAGACACGGCTTCACGACGAAGTTGTATGCTCGTGTCAAGATCATCGATGCTGCCGTGCTGATCAAATCGTGCTTTAACTGCTTGTGCAAGCTCCATGAGGGCTCTGGGACGGAGTTGATGGCCCAGAGGACAGAGCTCGAGAACGACTCGTCGAAGGTGGATGCCCTCATCAGATGCATCTATTGGAAGATTGTTGCATTCGGAGATCACATAATAGACACCGTTTTCCCCTGCCGCGATGCTACGAAGATAGGTGCCCTCTGGACATAGAGGCAGTAGTTTATGATAGAGTTGGGCGGCTTCGCGGATGTCGGCAGCAGTCCCTTTCTTGGAGTGGCGCCAAGTCAGCGCTTCGGTGAGATTGTAAAGAGATAAGGAATGATTGGGCTGCGAACGCAATGTAAGGGCGTCGCGGAAGAGGGAAGTGGTGGCATCAATGTCTTCAAGATCATTTCGGATGTAACCTTGAAGGCGGGCGCACCCGAGGTTGGTGAGAGCCGTGGCATGATGTGGATGGCCGGCCGGACACATGTCTAGAACCAACTGAAAATGCTCTAAAGCACATTTCAGGTGAGAGACACTCTTGCGTCTCATGTATTCGGCAAATTGTGCGTGGCCCGCATCTGTGTCTCGAGCAATATCGCAGTCTACGAGGGACTGCAGTTTGCGTCGTGTCAGAAAAAGCTAAAGGAGAGATACCAGCGTCACTCACATTGAATAGTGCGTCGTCCTGATCGTCGCAAGCACGTACAATAGCGGCCTTCAGCTTGATGGAAGGGTGAACACCGCGCACGGGTGGGAAGGATAAATCTACGGGACGTTAGTATATGCTTGACTGAGAAGCGAATCACTCACCGAATAACTCATGTCCATGATTGAGTAGCTCATTCCATGACATTTGAAGTCTTCCAACGACCTCACCACCGCCTAGCAATCGACCAAGCTCATAAGATGCTCTGATCTCTACTAACAACGTAGGTGAGGCATGTGATGACCTATAAACCAAATATCAGTTCTTGCATAGCGTCAGAAAGTCTCCATGGACTTTACAGAGTCGCAGAATTCCCCCACACCACAGATTTTTCAGACGATAAAACACTGATGGCTGATTTCCAGCATCTCCGGGAGTCGACATTGACGGATATGTAGATGCCAGCGGGAATGCGCTCGGAAGGGACTTGAAGATTCTTTCCACTGATAACTGTAGGGCGAGGATGATGAAACAGATACGAAGGTAATATAGAGGGACTCGCCTTCAAGTCTGATATATTGTTCTTCTAGGCCACTACGTGTGATTTTGGGACGAAACGGACGACGAACGACACGCAGCATCTGAAGTTCAGAATGAACAGCAGAAGGGGGTGGGTGGAATGAGTCAGACTGTGGATGGAGTTCGGCTGAGAGAGAGAAGATGTTGAGGGTTCAGGCCACGCTGCACGTGTATTTCATGTTGTCGAGGGCTAGAGTATGATAGACGCTGGTATGACTACACTAAGCGCTGGGAATGGAGATCATCGACCAGGATTAGCGGAAGAATCTAAAGTAGACCATGCCATGGCTAGTCTTCAGCGAAAGTGGCCAGCCAATGTCGAAGTCGGCATGGGAGTCTCAGAGTGATTGGACTTGTATCGTCCTGCTTAGTTAGCACAGGGCAAGATGTAGAGTCGAAAGCAAGAATGTAACCAACTGCATGCTTGTTCGGTGAAGGATGGTTGACGAATGTTCAGGATGCTGTGGCCGCTGCCAGGATTCACTGCTGAGAGATATCAAACTAAACATTGTGGGAGAGAAATACTGACTATATCATTGGCACTGGATGAAGAGGCCAGCGAGACCATCGCGCAGGGAAGCCTGAAAGGTGATGGAAACATATTAATATCATTTAGGCCGAGGACATGGTTATTGGCGTCGGTATGGCTCGACGCAGGGATTACAGGAGTGGACCGCTGCGGTAAGCACATCCCCGAGACTACCATCCGCTATTGGAGGCGAGACCTCGGGTACGCTACTGAGGTTGCTTAAAAGTCGCATGAGGAAGTGCATTGCTACGAGGTATTTTGGACTTACTGGTTGTTGGGACGGTCTATCCTGCTTCTCCACCACCACCACAGCTTCCTCTTGATATTCTCCAAGCAAGACATATAGTGGAAAAAGAATGGTAGAATTGTTCGGGTTAGGGATCAGTGGGAGTAAGCAGGGTAGCACTACCTAGTAAAACTACCTGATACCGTGTTAGGTTCCCGCACGTCCTGATTCGTAGAATTTCACGTCACGACAGTGATGACTCCACCCAACACTGCTCGACAAAATTCCAGTGACAATCTTCAATAGAAGGGATATCTGGATGCTTAGGCTTGACACCTTTGAGGATGGCCACAACCACCTGGTGATCACCGCGAATGTTACAGTACGGCTGCTTGCCTGATAAAACCTGGCACAAATGAGAGCATTGCTGTACAGTTCGGCTGGTTGACGTAATAAAGCATCATAAAACGCACAATACACGCACCAATCCCTCCAAAGTCCACCTCGACCGCGCCAAACACCATCAACCTCCAGTAAAATGTTGGAGCTCATTCTCACTACACCATTGTGGCAGTCGCAGTTTTCTCCGATGAACGACGGACGGTTATGGGCTCGTACGACAAGACACTTCGTATGTGGGACTTGAAAACAGGGGACGTGTTGAAGCAGATGGAAGGGTATCGCTGTGACCCGTGGCTTGATGTGTATTCTGTACGCGACATGGAACGTGTGAGTTATGTCCATTACGCCATTCCAGCCTCGAGTGATTGCAAATTGGTAAGACTCTGTCTGCTGTCAACGTTCAAACTATCATGAAAGTCAACCTGCAATTGTATATCCTCGTGCTTTGACATGCGGGTACTGGATGATGCACTCTGTGACGCAGTTTTCTCCTTCAAGAATAGTGACAGGGTAGAAATTCGGTGACAAGTAGTAGCATGTAGTACCCACTGCACGAACACTTGCATATGTAGAAGCCGTGCACCTGTGTCAGGAATGAGCTGGTGCACGGTGTCGACTCGGAGGTTTTCACGGCACCTAGTTGCTTTTCTTGGCGTTATTAAAATAAGGCCACTAGATTTGTGCCCTTGTACTCGATAAGTGCCTCGTCATTCAGCGCTCAGCCTCAGCGCCTTAGCTGTATTTCTGATCCTAGAAAAGCCGTACCTCCGCCCCTTGAATACATCTGGGCCTGTACAGACCTCAGAAGACACCTCAGACACCTCGTATCAGCGCCACATCTCGTTGCCTTCGCGCATGCACCCCACCCAGAAACAGCTGCCAGACCAGCTCTCACAGCTTCGCATCCTGCCTCTGGGACCTGTAAGCCAATGAGTAAATACAATAACGACTTAGCACATTTAGCACTAAACCACATGTACTGTCGACATTAGGTCAGCTTACAACGACAATAAGCGAGAGAGAAAACTAGTATACATGGGTGGATGCTTGATTGGGTCACGATGCGTGTATTGCGTTCGATGGCGCTGATAGAGACTGGAGCTGTGAAAAGCAATTGTAAGGATGTCGTACACACAACGCGGTTCTCATCAGTGAGAGAAAACAGAGTCACAGGAGATATGGGGTCTAACGCTACAAACTGCATGACAATCCTCACCTGATCCAGGACCACTACCGCCAGCTTCATCGCTTGTATGGTGTTCAGAATCGTGATGAGGAGCAGTTTGACATGGCTAGATGGACGTTCATTGAAAGAGGTACGACATGTTTTATTGGTAACACGTACACCTGCAACTAAGTTCGGTGTGAATGTAGTTAGCGAACACTTGGAATTGTTTTATGATGGAGCGACATACCTTCAAAAGTTCACGTCTGGATTTCTTAATGCGAGTGAGAGGGAGTGGAGGATTCCTGTAACTTGGTGTCTCTGTATCCACTTTCTGCTGCCAAATGAACGAAGGAAATAGTTGAGAGGCTTCCCGGACTACACGTATGGGGCGACATTAAAGAGTAGGTGGGAAAATCTGTCGGTTGTCGGTTCAGAATCTTCAGATTATTAGTAATCTTAACCCTAGACTAACTTAGGGCATGCTTAACTCTGATTAGTTCTCCGTCGTCATTAGAAGAAGTGTGTTTGAGACGCCGAGAAACTCTATTGGAAAGGGATCTATTATCATTGGCGCCTACAGATGTAGACGCCAATGATAATAGACCACTTCACTAAAGATCAAGGTAGGAAGGGAAAATATTTGTCGCATTGGTAGCGCAGTGAGGCCGAATTTTATAGGCCCGGGGTAATTGAATAATTACATTTGCAAAATCCCTGCCTTAATATCGACGTTCAAAAGGCTGGCTGGCAGCACATTACGAATAAGGAAAGCTGGATTCATGGGAATCTAGGGCCGCCGCAGGAACATGCCGTTTGTACCGCTTGTCAGGTACTGCTTCCCATACAATTGTTCAAGATTCCTTGGACAAAGAACTCTGCCCTTGGCTATGGTCTCCTATTACAAAGTGTGCCAAGCGTTACGTATCTGCTCCGTGCCAATCAGTAGCTATATATACAGCTAATCTCTCAAATCGAAGAGGTAAGTTCCTGATCTGATAATACAGCAATACTTGAAACAAACATCGCCTCGACACTGCTCCCGCAGAAGCCAATAGCCGTACACTTTCTTTAGTTCCTGAGCTACTAGTACGAAATGCCCCAAGGCTCCATATTATAAGTAAGCCAAGAAACTGCGTATCACTCTTACATAAAATGCCACTCACGCCGATTCATTGTATTTCCTTAAACCAATCGCAGAATTTGAGTTTATGAATATTTGAATAATGGCGCACAGCAACAACATTAAAAGCCGCATGCAAACTCAGAACTACTAGTAACTAGTATGTAGTTACCTTGTACTTACACTACTATTGATTCCGAAAGAGCTCTAAAATGATGATGATTTCATTGATGCTGCTAGCGTAGTTGTTTTGCCTGCTCCGATGTGACAACAGCTTAAAGGTAGAATAAGAGCAACTCTAGTTTAAATGTCCTATTGGACGTGCTGGATTCCCTTATATGCAGGTACATATCGTAGAAACGACTCTTCGTCGCGGGAAACTATACTACATAGTGTGATCATGCGGCAGACCCAGTCAAGCCTGGTATAATTTATTAGTACAGCTTCAATACTATGTACATGGTCCTATATACATATACATAAGCGTTGCGGTATTTTCTCTCCAGCCCGAGTCTCAATCCTATGAAACATACAGAGACTCTTGGGCGATTTTCGTACACGGAAGCGGCTGCATCACGAAAATCTTTTGCCTCTGCGTGGTTTCAGTCACGAATTTGGGCTACTTCCAGCGACCGTTTTCCGATGGATACACAATGACTCACTCACTACATATCTTGAACACCATTTCACAGAATTGACCATCAAACGAATGCACGAGCGTGCTTGAGAAACGAAACGCTCGTATATTCGTTTGATAGTCGATTCTGTGAATTGGTGTCCAAGGCATGTGGTGAGTGAGCCATTGTGTCCATGGGAAAACCATCGCTGAAAGTAGTTCAAATTGATGACTGAAACCACGCAGAGGCAAAAGATTTTCGTGATGGCAGTTGCTTCCGGAAATCGCCCAAGAGTCTCTGTGAAGCGAGCGAGCATGCGTATCGCATGCGAAGGGGAAACCAAAACGTACTCGAGTAACTCTGGCCTAAAAATCGTCACCTGCGACATCGACCCTTATGGATTTGACCGCTATCTGTCATGGATTCAGATTGCTGGACAGCCATATGTGTAGCATGCTTACCTCCAGGCCTTGACGGTTAGATGCAGTATAGGTGCATTTCCACACATCCCCGAAACTACCTTGCGCTATTGGATGAGGTGAGTCCTTGGATACGAATCCCGTAAGGTCGAATAGGCTGCACTAAAAGTCGTATGAAGAAGTGCGTTGTCACAGGGTACGATGATCGTGGACTTGCCAGTCGTCGAGGTCTATCTTACCACCACCGGTGGTAGCGATCATGACAGACAGGCTGCTTCTCCACAACAACGACTTCTTCCCGACCTTCTCTGACAAGGACCTGCAATGGGATACGAATGGAAGAATGATTTAGGTCAGTAGACTCATGTGTTGTGCTCTTTTAACAAGGCAGGCTGAGCGCAGAAACAATAAGACAATAGTATATTAGTACCTCCTTTTGTAGGTTAGTAACAGAGGCAGTGAATCAAAAGTCACGTCAGGCGTCCCGTTCTCTTATCTCTTCCATCGAATTTGTCAGAGCATGCTGTACCGGCTGACTTCACCCAATAGGCTTCCATACAGCATCACTGCCCACAACAATAGCCACTTCCTTGCCGCTTTACTCACCTTCTCTGGGCGTTCTGCCTGTCATACACAGTAAATTTGACAGGTCCGAGTCCGGTTGGTAATGCTGTAGTCCGAACAACGGAAGTCCTATTGGAATGGTCGTTCTCCCTTGACCGCCACAGCACAACGGTAACTAGTCGTGCGTTATTTTTGTCTTGAGACAATACACATTGCTAGAACAGGAGTAGCCTGCGTGATCCTATATCATTTCATTCATTCGCAGGAGACAGATTGAACGGCCGTACTAGTACACGTACTGTCATAGTTTTAGACACATGACCAACACAACCAAGTAGCGGTCGGCAATATAGCAAGGATTACGATAGAGTCCTGGATCGCACAAGTTGGTTCTTCTAAATCGACGATCGCGAACCCTCATTTAATGTGCACGGCACAAGAGGTACACGTGCAACTTAGATTAAGTACCTCTGTTCTAATTAAAGTAAATATGGCCCAATTAATATTGCAGCGTGGTGACTCACCTAGCGCTCCATGAAGCAAGATCATTAATGCACACCGAGTTGTCTTACCGCGTGTTTCTACGCATTACCTCACGCGCAGTGATGCAGTGCGGATCAATATTATTTCGTGGTTTTGGTTTATTCTTTGTTTTCTATTCGCTGGCTGACTCAGATACCACTGGCGGTACAGACCAAACGCGGACCACAAACGAAGGTCAGCCACGGTATGATAACTATAAATGAAGTTATGAACGGACATACCAGTCTCGGATATATCATATAGGACTGACTCCGACTGAGGTCCAGAAAAATAAGGATTATGTGAGCGCGTTTCGGGAGTAATCGGAATACTACATACAGAATGGGCACGCTGACGCACCTTGGACGCACCCTACTTTTTTTCTTGGCATCCTCTTCATCTAGTGCGTGATTCCTGTTCGACTTCACATCTACCTGTGTCTTCATCAGATTCGAACATGGAATCAGAACGCACATACTAGCATTACTTTCCTATGTACATCGCCAGACGTCACTCAGGCCTCCGAAAAAAGCGGCCGGTTAAATCTGGCAGGCTATCCATTCTGAATCAAGTCAGCCTCGATGCTGTAGCTGAGGTCATACCGGTTTGTTGGATCATCGAGTGGGGAATTGACTGCGGAGAACTGGTGGGAGATAAAGTCACGTTGCCCGGTATTTTCGAGCAAAGTTGGAGTTTGTGTGTTCGTTCCACTGACTTTTGGTGTGGATTTATGGTGAATAGTGTTTTCGTAACCAACTGAACGTTCATTCGTATGTGACAACTCAGTGTTACTTATTGGTTTTTATAGAGGCTTCGCCGTGAGCTCAAGGTTTGGTCGAGACTCACATGATACATCGTCCCACTGTACGACACTGTATCAAGCTTTGGCCAATTCGTTTCCCTGGTTTGCCCCCAGTATAACAACGGATCGCTTCTTGAATCCCATGGTCAAACCGCGTCCATAATAAATCGTTTCCAACTGGTATGTCTTGCATGATCTGTCTGAAAGCGTACTCATGCCTTTGCAACTCAATGATATTTCTGCGGGTCTTTCACATGCCTCAGTTCACTCGTACTCTGCTATTCAGGGCGATCTTACTGGGGTGGAGTCCGTAGGCACGTCTTATTTTACGTCTGCGCTGGATGGCACTGCGTGTATTTTTTTCCAGGTTTGCTCAAGATTACGTTGCTTCAACGCTGAGTCTCACCCTTACGCCAGGCATTGACGGGAAGACCACCGTACTCCGAGCTCAAGCGAGCGCACAAGTTGTGGTCACAATTTCTCTCGGGACAAAACCGTCGCGTCCTAAGTTTCACGCGATCATTGGTCGCCATTGGAGTTTTATTCTGAATTGCTGGTCCATCAAGACCGTCCTCTCAGCAAGTAGATGAATACATCAAAAGCCAGTTCTACCTCTTACGGGCGAGCAAATTCTAAGGAGTGAACAGTCTGGTCCCCAAAATGTCGACCCGATCGTGTGGCCACGCGCTGCATCATCAGTAGAAATTTTCTGGAGTGGGAAGCAGTCCACTGGCGCTGCACTCAACGTCACCGAGGCGCTTCCTCTCCTCGTTTGCATGTAAGTAGTGCTTCTTGATGTGGAAGTACCTCGATGACAGATGGACGATATAGAATGTCAGGTACAGATGGTATAACGTGGCATCAATGCCATCCCACTCCAGCCGCGGTGGTGTGCGCTTCGACTGGACGCATGCGATATATACCCTTGATTTAGAACTTGATCCGAACTTTGGGTCTTTTTACGATTGGTCTTGGCGTTAATCAGTCTGCGTCGTTGCTTACAAGATGTGTACAGCTCTCGTTCACCCAAAACCTGACTTATTTTGAGAAATCTATACCTCTGCTCTGCGAGAAGTCACGCAGCGAAATGGAAGTTGACGAAATGTTCGGGTGATGCACTGAACAACGATTCATGGAGTATCCACATTTTTAGCAACCCACATCGATATCTTGACTGGAATTCTGAAAATAGCAGGTGACAACACCCATTGGTCCCACGTGGGCAATGTTGTTAGATTAGCGGAGCGAGCTTGGGCGGCGTTTTAACTTTGAATTGGCTAGTTTGAATCCTGACTCTACCGTACCCCAGTGATGCATCAAGCTTTACTTGTTCCTGAAGTCCTCCTGGAGATATTCGCCTATGTGAATATAATGCCATCTACTGAAACAACATCGACCCGGGAATTGCTTGCAGCGCTTGCAAGGACATGCAAAATCTTCTACGAGCCTGCGATGGATTTACTGTGGACTGAAATCGACGGGTTAGAACCACTGCTAGGCTGTGTAGCGAGGTTACATCCACTGATATATCATAGCGGTACAACGGTCAGTGCATGACTTCATTACGCTTTGTTCATTTCTTTTAGGCTCACCGAGCATCTACATAATAGTGGGACGAACCCTGGGCGAAAGGTGTCGAGCCATTATCTGCCCATGAGGCCCGTGAATTTCTGCGTCACTCCTCCCGTATACGCACATTGGACATACAATCTGATCATCCGCACCTTCTCTCTGTCATCCCCGCCGAGGCATGCATATTTCCGGGGCTGAAATCATTAAGTCTTACCACCGTATATTTGAACCTCTTTCTGCCTCACATGCTGCACCGATGTCATCTATTGAGCGTCGACGAGGATCTGCAATCTTTTGTGACACGTTGCATTGCTCTGGAGCATTTATGCATCCACACTCCCGAATGGCGCCACGTTGACACCACAGCAAATGAGATGTCCCTGCTATCCGATAGGATTCATTGGTGCACACGGCTTGTAACTATTTCTTGTCCAATGCTCGACTGGGCAACATGGAAGCATCTCTCCCACCTCCCTACCCTTCTCAATTTGGAAATTAGACAAGGGTGTAATGACCCTCCTTCGCTGTCAAACCGAGATATCGTGAATTTATCATTCCTTAACATCACAAGCCTTTCCTTTCAAGAGCTCTATGATACTGCAGATATCATCACAGTCATGCAACACTCGCAATTTCCCTCGCTGAAAGAGTTCGAGTTTGAAGCCAAATATATCTCTTCAGAAGAAGCCGAGCAACTCTTTCATGCTCTGTCCCACTGCAAAGCGTGTCGGACTCTAGAAGAAGTCACCATTTGTTCTCTTAATGAGGGACACCTTGTACCCCCAAACAGCGAGCCTTTGACACCAATTCCGCATTTCCTTTGCTTTACCCAGCTCCGAACCCTGGAGCTCACATTTTATAATTCCTGCATCCACCTGGACAATGCCATGCTCTTGCAAGCCATGTCTACTTGGCCGCACATCCGCACTCTGGAAATCGATCACACAGGTGGCTATTTTTCTTCTTCCGAAGTCTCCCTCGGTGGATTATTCACAGCGCTCGGTCTATGTCCAGAATTGCATAGACTACGAGTTCCAATCAATCTTGCAACTATCGACATCGATCCTGATGCCGAGCCAATACAACATACCTCCCTACGGTCATTGGCTTTGGACTTGTCCGGGTCTCAAATAGCAGATGCTAAAACTATCGCTCGCATTATTTCCGCCTGGCTCCCTTGTGTCGACCAAGTTCAAAACCTATATGGTTTGAGCTGGGTTGAAGTCAACAGGTATCTTAGATCTTTGAGAACGGCTACTGTGCCGGATGTTGTGGGAGCCTCCTAGAATAATTGAGTTCGGAATATCTTCACGTCCGGGAATGTGTCATTAGTACGATTTCCAACACGATTACGTGCGCCATCTGAGCTCCACCGTTCACTGTGCTCGACGGTCCCCTCCCTCCTTCTGTATACCTTTTGATATCCGCATCTGTAACAGCCATGTGATCACACAACACAGTACGTGCTTGTTAAATTCAACAACTACATAGAAGGATACATCCATGCCATATGATGAGATACCATGGCTATGTCTAGCGCGCTATACAGATAGTCTAATAATCATATAGAAGTGATAATGAAGAGAGGAAAGCGTGTCAAGAAGAGCGAATGTTCAATTTAGATGTCGTTAGTCGTAGATAGAAATGGTTTCAGGGATCCGGACATCCCGGCGTATATCTAGGCACCCGAACAATCATATTACATAACGCTCGAAGGTCTGCCGAAACATTGTCTCCCTTCTCCGTTTCTCCCATTTATTCTTATACTGCTTCCTAGAACCCTTCCTTGATTATATCAAGCATCAAAGCAAGTACAACACCAGAACGGGACCGCCTATGGAAGTGAACCACACCGATACCAGAATCACCTTTAATATCATGTAGCTTCACCTCATCTCAGCCTTGCTCGCTCTGTCTCTGGGCTGCGAGCCCCTCGGCTTAGTTCAACGATCGAATCATGGATCCCCCAAGTTAGTTCTTCTAAATCGACCAACCATCTTTCAATGTGCGTAGAATCCCAAGAAGTCGATAGTACTTGTCTGATACAAAAACATAGTTAACACATAGCGTCTCTATAGCGACACATCAAATCTCGGACATCAGCAATGGGAAGTCGCTGTGATGACTCAACCCAACATTGCTCGATAAAGTTCCAGTGACAATCTGCAATAGCAGGGATGTCTGGACGCTTAGGCTTGACACCTTTGAGGATGGCCATGACCACCTTGTTATCATTGCGAATGTTATAGTACGGCCGCTTGCCCGATAAAACCTGACACAAATGAGAACAAGAGCGCTGCAGATGTAGGGTATAGCATGGGTATGGGCCACACTGCGGGTATGGGGGTCACGGGTATGGCGGGTATGGGTATGGTGTTGAGATGTGGTACCTGTGGTCATACCGTACCCATTAGCACGGTATATGGGTATGTTTACGGGTGTCTCCGATAGAACTGAGAGTGGAAAGGACGGGATGGCCGAAGAACAGGCACAAGGGGAGATGCGCATCCAAAATGAAATGATAACGCAAGTCGATGTGTTTAGTGCGAATGTGATTGGCAGCTTCTGTCGACAATGCAATAGCCCCCGTGTTGTCAGCATAGAGTTTGAGAGGCAGCGTGAACGTGATCTTCAAGCATTCGCAGAAAGACTTGATCCAAAGTCCGTCTTGGATCGCTCCCGTTAGTGCCATGTACTCTGACTCCACCGAAGACAAGGCCTGTGTTGTCTGCTTCTTCGCCGCATGCGAGATAGGACTACCATGATAGTACCAAACGTACCCGGTGATCGAAATGCGGTCCTCTGGACAAGTGGCCCAGTCAGCATCGCTGAAGCCGTGGATGGTGATGTCTGTGTTCTTTCCCCCGTAGTGCACACAATGGGATAGGGTACCAGAAAGATAACGAAGGACTCGTTTTGCGGCGGCGTAGTGCCGAAATTCAGGTGCGGAATTGTGCTGAGACAGCTTCATGACGGCGAGGGCTATATCGGGGCGAGTATACATTGCAAGGTAGAGTAATTCACCGACAAGCTTGCAATATTCGGTTGGGAGATTGTCGATGTGAGGATGAATGTCTGTGTTGCGTCCGAAAGGATTGACGGGGTCCATTGGGAGTGAGACGGGATTACAGTGACGAAGGCCATGTTCCTCGAGAAGGTAGACAATGTACTCTTGCTGATGCATCCAAAGCTCTCGAGTCGCACGCGAATGAACATATTGGACGCCCAAATGCTTGACAACTGGCCCTAAGTCCGCAATTCCGAAGCGTGCTGCAATGCGACCTTTGATCCAGTCAAGGAACTTGCGGTTGTTACAGCCCGCAAGGCCGTCATCAACGTGCCACGCGATGATGCAAATGACGTGCACCCCCTCAGAGTTGACGTGGTCATACACGAAGACAGCATAATCGGCTTCGCAATGCAAGAACCCCAAATGGATGAGAACCACACGCAAGAGCTCATACCAATCGTATGCAGCTTGTTTCAGTCCGTAGAGTCAAGACAAGAGATGGCATACCAAGCTTGCCCCGTTCTCAAAGCCAGGTGGTTGGCGCATGTACACATCTTCACGCAGTTTTCCCCACAGGAAGGCGCGCTTCGCGTCGAAACTGTCTATCTCCCAGTCGTGAGCTGCTGCGTGTGCGGAAAGGAGTCGGATGGAGGATGGTCGTGCGACGGGTGCGAATGTCTTGCCGAAATCAATGCCTAGTACCTGCAAGAATCCCTGCGCAATGAGACGGGCTTTGTGCACAGGCCCACCTTTCGCATCCTCCTTAAACTCGAGAACCCATCTACATCCTATTGCCCTGCGTCCTGCCAGAAGCTCCACCAGTTCATACATGTTCATCTCCGACATTAAATTGATCTCCTTGCGCATGGCGTTGAGCCAATCGTTAGCGTCCGAACATTGCATTGCTTCATTGAAGGTGGAAGGAGGAATCTTCATGTTGTAGTCCGAGGTGAGAGGATTTCGGCGAGTATCGCTACGGATGGTGACACAAGCGAATTCCGTGGCGATGAGATTGGCGAGCACATGGGGATAGCCAACTTCATCCTTGTCTGGGACAATGGCATCAGAATCAGCAGTCGTACCTTCTGGAGCATCAGGCAAAGTATTCACCCCCTCAAGAGGCACCTCCTGAATGCGTGCTTGATGCAACTCACGTTGATGCGCTAAGCGTTCATGATCGGATGCCAACTGCTCTTGGAAGATTTGACCACGTGCCGTGGGCAAGCGCACACGTTCAGATCGACGTGCCTCTGTGGGTAGAGATGCTGGGGTGGAAGACGATGTGGTCATTGAGGACACTGCCGGATTCACAGGAGTTGAGGGTTGTGCAGGAGCCATTTCTTCGTCGTCCAAATCATCTCCGTCAGTTGGGAAAGGACGACCAGAGAATGTTTCGTCAAATATAACGTCCCTGGAGTTAAAGAAACTACCGGTTGCCGTATCACGACAGCGCCATGCACGCCCGTCTGGGGCATAACCCACAAATATAGCTTCGCGTGATCTTGGACCCAGCTTCTCTTGGAGTTCGGAGGGTATCCGAGTGAAGCAGCGTGCACCAAAGACACGAATGTGCGAGAGGTCGGGTTTAGCATTATGTAGCATTTCGTACGGTGTTTTACCTGCAGGTAACGCGCGAGACTCTGTGCGATTGAATAAATATGCTGCTGTTAGCGCTGCTTCTCCCCAGAGATTACGTGGGAGCCGTGCGTAGTTTAACATTGCGTACATCCTTCCCTCAATTGTGCGAAGCACGCGTTCTGCTCGTCCATTCTGTTGATGGAAATATGGTGCCGAGAGTTGACATTCTATCCCAGCGGCGTGTAGTTCAGCAGTAAACATGTCATTGAGAAACTCTCCACCGTTATCGGAGCGAAAGGCGACAACACGCAGACCCAAACGAGTCTCCCACCTCGCGCGAACAATCTTCCATGCCTCTAAAGCTTGGTCCTTGGTGGCCAGAAGCTGAAGTGCGAGAATTCCCGTGTGATCATCAAGGAAAATAATGAAGTATCGTTTGTGGTGAGGTGTGAGAACCAGGATGGGACTGCACAGGTCAGAATGAATGAGCTCTAGAAAACAGGAGGCGGGAGACTGCGATGTGGGATGAGGCTGCCGTGGGTGCTTGCCAATGATACATGATTCACAGCATGACATGGCGTTGTGCGAGTCCAGGGTAACACCACGAGCAGTGAGAGGAAGGCGACAGACTGATTCTCCTCCGGTATGACCCATGCGTGCGTGCCAGATGTCGTAAGTCAGCGGAATACGTGCAAAAGCAGAGACTTCTGACAGTTCAGATGTGAGAGGTGTTGACTCGGAAGGAGGGATGAACTCGAGATCGATATAAAAGAGACGTCCCAACATAGGAACGGAGCCGAGAGATTCTCCCTTGTACATAAGCTCACAACGCGAAGGCTCACCCCGAAAGTTGCATTCCCAACCTTTTGCTAACATCCACCCAACTGAGAGAAGGTTCAACATGGCTCCTGGCGCATGAAGACAGTTCAAGAACCGAACTCGATGTCGAGTACCGCCAATCTTAAGCCATGCGACACAATCACCGCGACCGGACATGTGAAGAGACCCGTGGTTGGCCGTTTTGACAATGACAGGATCCTGAGTAGAGTAAGTCCAGAACATGGCGCGGTCACTGATGAGAGTGCTAGTGGTGCCGGAGTCAAGAATGGTGGATAGTGCATGAGTGTGGGCAGAGATGTCGTCAGGCAGCTCCTTGATGCCTGCACACGATAGGTCACATATGTGTGCGGCTAGTGCAGCAACAGCGGGTGGTGGATTGGATGATGCCGGTGAAGGAGTGGGAGGAGTGACTGATGCTACTGCGGCCGTCTCTTTCTTCTTCTTCTGCCAGGGTGCCTGTCCCGCCATTCCTCCACCTTCACGAAAACAATGTTCTTTGTCGTGATCCCCGCGTCCACATCCGGTCGTTAAGCAAAAGATTCCTTGAGGATTGTTCTTGTGCTTCCGCAATCCGGTGATAGAGTTAACGTTGGAAGCGGAGGAGGTGGACACAGAGTTGGCATACTCGGATCCGGGCCCAGATGCAGCAGTGGGATGGGTGTTGATCATGCGTGAGGCCTCTGCAGTGATGCGTGCGGTGCAACTCTCGAATGTGAGAGCATTTGTTTGGAAGGAGGCCGAAATGGGATTCCCGCTGCTGAGTGCAGAACTAACAACAGTGGCAGAAAAACTATCGTGCATGCGTTGTTTGAGTTGCATGCAGAACAGTTGCCAGGCGGGAGATGTAGGAAGCCCGGAAAGGAGATTAAACACAGCCTCTTCGTCCGAATAAGCAGCACTCATGCCAATCAGGCGATCACGGCAACTAATATGCTGACCGACGTAGTTACTTGCGTCATGTGCATCTTTCATGCGAAGTGCCTGTATGCACCTTCGAATGACAAATTGAGAGCTGACGTTGTTACGATGGAAGTGGTTTTTGAGAATTTTCCACGTGTCACACACTGTGATCGAAGCATTGCGGGGAATTAGAAGATGGATACTTGGTGCGAGCTTGCAGAGGATGATTGTCTTAGCCTTAGAGTCGTTGATGAGCCAGGCTCATATAGCTGCCTTCTCGGCATCAGTAGGAGTTGTTGGAACAGCTGCTACAGGCAAGACCGAAGCCGTTCCGAGAATGTCACTTGGATCTGCATTTTCGGTGACATGACACCAGAGGTCATCATTCGTTAAGACGAGCTGCGCCTGCGTCTCCCAGGGAATGTAATTTTCTGCTCCCGTCAACTCTGGTATGTGGTCGTACTTTCCCATCGTTGGGACAATGCACAGAGTGAATTTGAGCAAGGAAAAGAAGATTTGAGTTGTTCCAACATGAGGGATTCCGTATCTTTCCGGTTTCTGTGTCGTTTAAGACACAGGGCTCATAACCTGTTAGAAAGTAGCGCGCTCAGCGTTGATAAGCAACAACTATATTCACAATTAATGTACCTGTTAGAAAGTAGCGCACTAGGATCAAGTAAGTACGAGGCTCAGAGCAAGATAAACAATACGCGTACCTCAGCGTTGATAAGCAACAACTGAGGGACACAAACGACGACAAGACGAGATACTTGTAGGATACGGAAAGATGGAGCTTGAATGTCAAGAAGAAGGTAACCATACGGTGCCAAGAATGAAGCACATGATACGACGAAGTGGTGAGGTTGCCCAATAGCCAAATGCAACGTTAATCTGTCCGAATGCAGAGGACGACTTATCTCTGTCCGGATGCAGAGGACGACTTATCTCTTCAACAGTCTTCAATGCGAATACTGAGATATTCGCACCTTTGTCTAGGTCCCGCCTGTCCGCTTCGATATACATCACTTTAACTCTACATTTCTCAATACTCCCTCCATTCACTCCATCATTATGGTTAATCAGACGGCCTCGATCACCGAGTCACCCCCTGAAGCTCGAATATTTCTGACTACAAAAATGGGTAGATGAATGGATTGAGGCTGCCGAAAATCTCATTGGAGAAGAGTACATAGATCGTTACAAAGACCAGGTCTTACCTTCGACTCCAGCTGCACATGTCTTGGCAGAAGACAAGGTGCAACAATGTGCTGATGACTTTGGTGACATATCTCTTGGCATAGCGGCATCTCTAGTAGATGAGCTTGACAACTATTTGCAGCAACCAGTGGAGAATACCAAAGTCCCGCTGCAATGGTGGGTCCATAATCAAAAGACATATTCAAATTTGCACCGGATGGCACTTGATTACCTTAGTATTCCTGGTAGGTTGTGCACCATTGCTCTCGCTAGCATCACAGCTTATGTATTACACACCATAGCTACCTCAACTGCAGTTGAACGTGTATTTTTGCAAGGCCGGCACCTTCTGCACTTTACTCGAAACCGCTTGTCTCCAGCATCAACCTGTGCATTCCTCTGTCTTGGCTCATGGCTCCGCTGTGATCTGGTAGTGCCCAAGGACCTTACTAAGATCATGAAGTCTCTGAAGAAAAGAAAACGAGAGGACGAGAGCATTGGGTAAGGTTATTCTACGTAGTTTCACTATTTTTTGTTTGTGTACCCGCGGGTAAATGCAACACCGCGGGTAAGCTGCCATACCGCGTGTTAGTATGGGTAATACTGTACCCGTATCTGTACGGGTACAGTGTTGATCTTCCGACCTGTGGGTGTACCTGTGCTATACCCTATGCAGATGTACGTCGTTGACAAACCTGGTATGCGATGCATCCAAATGAATAAATGTTGCTTTCTAGTTTTGGTGAGCTAGATGCATCCTCGGTGTCCGAACCTTCGAAAAGTTCGGGCGCAGCCCATCGTACGTTACTCCTGATGTAAGAGGTCCCGTTCAGGTTGGAACATGTAGTCAAGAGCCCGTAGTCTAGAAGAGCTCTTCCATCGCTATTGATAAGTACATTGCTCTAAGAGGCAACAAAGGTGTGAGAAGCGTCATATATTTGCATACCATACAGTTGCTTACACCTGTGATATTTGCATGAGCCATTTTGTTGGAGTGGACTGTGCGCCGTGTACTATCAGCTCATCTTAGTGCAATGCGAAAATGACAGCATATGATATTGAAGACCAGCAGCTACATCAGCAAGCTATTACGACGCCCATGAGTTGTGGTGTAGCTATATCGTTGGGGAAGACTTACCAAACCGAATTTGTGGGCCCCAGAGAGACCATCATAGTGTTCATCAAGATATGTGCTTAAGGATCCGTTGGACATCCATGGAGATACAATAGCTGGTACTGGACCAAATCCGTAGGTAATCCCGCACAAGGGAAGAACGTTATCATGGCGCAGTGGTTGTTACAGTAACATGGCACGAGTCCCCCGCCAGCAGACAGCCCTCTGCCACCCGCACGGCTATAGACGATAGACGACACCGGAGCCTCACCACCTCTACTGACGACGATAGAAGATGATAGATAAGAGACGATAAGCGGCAACTGCCGGCTTAGATAAGCGGTCTGGACCGCACGTGACATGGACATGACGACGTAGGTCTAGAAGACCTATTTATGTTATCAAGATAGAAGGCAAGCCTCGTGTTGCCTCATGTACTGATAGAAGGATACCACGTGGATCCTATCTCTGATAGAAGCCCGCCTCATGGACGCTATCTCTGACTCATGTAGATAAGCATATTAGAACCCAGCTTTAGGCTGAGCTTAGATACGATAGAGTAGCCTTATATAAGGTCGAAGATTAAAGTAGATGTTCCTTACTTTAATCTTACTAGGTACAACCCAGAACTAGTCTAATCAACTAGGTTTACCCTTGAACTCCTTGTCCCGCTAAAGCTACCTGCTCGACATCGACTCGTACCTTCAGTGACGCCTCTCACTGTCTGTAACCCTGCTATCATCTCAGCGTAACCCCTCGTTAACCACCACGAGCTACGTTCGAGTACGCAACCTTTGCTTGTCTGTGAAGGCCGACGACTCTCAGCACTTGGTACCACTGTCGTGGTTGTCGCTGTTTAGATCATCCTAGTCGCACACGACCGTTTGTCGTAACAGTGGTTTCCACTTGCAGAAGTCGTCCATCAACCTCTGCAAACATTTTCATATCATTATAGTGTTCTACATCATGAGCATGTCGGCACACCTCATTGACGATTTTCTTGAAACTGTCATTCTGAATTTCAATTCTGACACATTTAATTGCCACCTTGAAACTTATCATCAGCTGTCAGAATTTACTACTAAACTTATACCAACCTCCACGTTATTATCTTTTTCTGAGAATATGCATTTCCAAACGTCACCAAAACTGCCCTGCGCAGTAGCATAAGTCAAGTCCTTGACAATCTTGGTGGTGAGGTCAACCGGGCGTCTAGATTCATTGAAAAATTTGTCACATCAGTGGGGAGCTCTGCAACAAACTATGTCTACCCACCCATTATCACTGATGTCTATATCCAGGTGCATCGAGCTCGACATTTCTGTCTCCGGTTGGCCTTTCGCCAATTTCCAAACATCACCACAGCCTCCTTGAGTGAGAGGGTATGTCAATTCCTTGCCAACCTTGGTGGTAAGGTCGACCGGGCATCTAGATTTGTTGGAAATTTTGTCACATCAGTGGGGAGCTCTGCAACAAACGATGTCTACTCACCCATTATCACTCACGTCTACATCCAGGTACGTCGAGCTCGACGTTTCTGTCTCTGGTTGGCTTTTCACCCATTTCTCAAGTAGCACACTAAAGATCCATTCGAAAAGAGAATTCATATCTCGACCTGGCAAGGTAATGAGATCAAAGCTTTATAGGATTGCTTTTGATGCATGTGGTGGATTAGCTCTGCATTGGATATGGCTCGATTGCAGCGTGGTGAGTCGCCTAGCACTTGTCTGTATCCATGAAGGAAAATCATTTATGTACATCAACCTTTCTTACCCTGTCTTTCTCCATGCGCAGTAATGGAGCATGGCCTCTTCATCCTTCATCAGGATCATTTCGTGGTGTTGGTCCATTCTTTTTTTCAATTCTCAAGAGGGCTGGCCGGATCACATCCATGCACTGGGAGTAAAGATCCAAATGCGGACCATGATGATGTTCCAAATGATGCTGTCAACGGAACATCTCGTGCCAAGAACATGAGCTTCTAGAGTACAGATTTGTGAGTGATTTTTTAAGATCCTTCCATTGTAATTCTTCTGGTGCATCTTCATACCGATCTATGGAAGGTACTAAATCCTCGTCTGGTACAGCAAGTTTACTTTCAAGAATGCCAACTCAACTTTACACCACAGATCCACATCATAAACCAGTGGGACGAACACAGACTCCAAATTTTCTCCAAAATGCTTCAGACACACCATATTTGAGCAACAGTATCTCCCACACTGGAAGTAGCCCAAACTCGTGACTGAAACTGAGCAGAAGCAAAATGTTTTCATAATGCAGTTGCTTCCAAAGTGCACGGAAATCACCCAAGAGTTTTTGTGAAGCCATGTGGTCTGAGCATGCATATCCCACGCAAAGGGGAAGCCGAAAACGCGCTCGAGCAACTCTGGCCCTGAAATCGTCAGCTGTGTCATTGATCCTTATGGATTTGACTGCTACCTGTCATGGATCCAGTCTGAGATTGCTGGACAGCCGTACATGTAGCATGCATGCCTGCAAGCCTTGACGGTTGTATGTGGTATAGGTGCATTTCCACACATCCCCGAAACTACCGTGTGCTATTGGATGAGGTGAGTCCTTGGATACAAATCCCGTAAGGTCGGGTAGGCTGCATTGAAAGTCGCATGAGGAAGTGCATTGTCACAGGGTACGATGACCACGGACTTGCTGGTTGTCGGGGTTAACAAGGCAGGCTGAGCGCAGAAGCAATAAGACATTAGTATAATAGCTCCTTTTGTAGTTAGTAACAGAGGCAGTGAATCGAAAGTCGTGCTAGATGTCCCCCGTTCTCTTCCATTGAATCCGCAATATGCTCTCATCGGCTGACTTCACCCGATGGACTTCCTTACAGCAGGACTGCCCGCAACAATAGTCACCTCCTTGCTGCTTTGATCACCCTCTCTGAAATGCGTGTCTAAAACGGCTGCCGGGAACGGCGGGCTGATGGGGGCACACCCAGAGCATTCGCGATTTCGGTACATCAAAGGACACCGGGGGTCCAAGTAGAATAGCACGTATTGTCCTACACACCACGTGAAACCGCAGATTGTTGTGGCAGGGGATGAGGTACCTGGGAATCAGCAGATTCCGATGAAATCTCGCTGCAATCACATGAAAATCTCCTAGCCACGAGCTCTAGGATACCTTCCTCAACGGACACAAATGGAATAAAATAAAATACAAACACCTTCTCTGGGCATTCTGCCTGTCCATGCACAGTAGACTTGACAAGTCCGAGTTGGGTCGGTAATGTTGTAGTCTGAGCTGAACGGGACTCCCATTGGAATGGGCATTAATGACCATTCTCCCTTGACCGCCACATCACGGCGGTGGCTGCAACACCACTATAGTCATGGTTTTTTTTTGTCTTGAAACAATACACATTGCTAGAAAAGAAATAGCCTGCATGATCCTATATCATTTCATTCATTTGCAGGAGACAGATCGAACGGCCGTATGCGTACTGCCACAGTTCTGACAGATCTGAAGGTTCTACAACTAGTGCTGCCGTGGTCTGGTTCGGTCTGGTTCAGAGGGTCCTGGACGAGAACTGAGAACAGGACTGTGGTCCGGTTCTGCAAAATCTTCGAACCCCGAACCGGACCACAGAGAACGGTTCTCTGTGGTCGGGTTCGGTTTTTTTCTGGTCCAAACTCCAACCGAACCCGAAAATTTTCAGTGGTGAGCATGAAAAAAAAATCATTGGAAGACTAGTTTACACATCAAGTAGCTACTCCAATGACATGGCTACATATGACTCTATGCCTCTGTAGCCACTGATCCAAGAGCTAACTGATTCGATCTATACAAATGGTGAGAATGAAATAAAACACAATAACAACCAATGCTTACCGTCGATGTTAGTGGGTAATGTGAACCTGCGGCATCTGATCCAGACAAGCAATTTGAAGTAAGCTGCCTTGCAAGGCACACATCAGTGAGAGTGTTTGTTAGAATTGAAATCATTTTACCTCCGTCGTCAGCAAAGGAAGACATTCAGGACAATGAGAGAGGTACGTGCGGTTTGAGTCGCACCTCCATTCTCAGATGTTGCCGTCACCTTTTTTTATACACAGAACAGGGAGAAAACACCTGCGCATCTCGAGTGAGAGGCGGCGGGTGAGAGACAGCGGGGTGAGAGACGGTGGGTGAGATACAGCTAGCACGCCGAAGAGAGGTAGTATCACAGCCACCGGAAAAAATGTGTTCGACAGCAACAGCTGAGCCTGGAATAGTGAGAATATCACGAGCCAGATGTGAGAGGTCATTGAGGTATGTTGGGAGTGGGCAGCGCACCTTGTTCGTCTCCTCGACAACTTTCTTTCTCCCATTCCTCTTCTCCTTTCTCTTTCCCCTGGCGTCTTCCTTTCTCCTTCACCAAAGTGTCGTCTGCATTCGCCTTAGCCACACCAGCATTTTCTGGCGTGTGCTGGGCACATGGGCTAGACACTGGTTGTTGCTGGAGTGGGGTAGTGGTTGCAGCAAGTGGTGGTGGTGGTGGTGGCGGCACGGTCAACTCAATCAGTAAATAAAATGAAAATGGATATACAAATAACTACCTTGAGGACAGAGTCTTGAGAGTTGATTGATTAGTACTAACCTTCAAAAAGGCTAAAAGTAGCCTAATTAACCAATAGTGCAACTCCCGAAGACGACACTTTGACGTCGACATAGAGACTGACGTTGTCGTAGTTGAAGTTGAAGTCGACAATGGGTTCGGGGTTTGGAATGGTTCGGGAAGGTCAAACCAGAACTGGACCGTTTGGGAAGATCTAGAACCGAGAACTGTTTTCCGGTCCGGTTCTGGCTGGCGTGAGAACCATGGACTGAACTGCGGAGAACCGGACCAAAAGTCCGGTTTGAACCATGGTTCTGGACCGGACCACAGCAGCACTATCTACAACTCCATTTTGGATGTGGACACTAGACTCGTAACCAGTCTGGACTACGTCTTTGAGATGTTACGAGTCTACGTGGACACATGACCAACACAACCAACATCAGTGAATTGATGAGTCCGTGATATTGTACCCGTGGTAACTATAGACGGATATAATTCTGCTCCTAGTAAATATGGCAATATATACTGTGATAAATCTGAGTCGTTGGTAAATAGCCATTCATGTCTGCAAATCTAGATTATTGCGAGCAGTTTATGATAAGGTTGTGATGTCGTAGCGTGATGGCCGGCAAGAGATGGTAGCGTAAGTATGCCCCCCTTGTCGAGCATTCTCATTCTTCAATATTTATGTCATAAATTATATGACTATTCAAGGGTTTCTCTCGGAACATCAGTAAACTACAACTTTCCCACAGAGGTCGCAAATTTGAGGTCTAGCGACAGGAAGCCACAGGGCTCTACAGCTCACACAGGCTTACAAATGACAGCAATAAAGCGCTCACAGTTTGGACAGACTCACAATTGATAGCAACAAAGCACTCAAGTAATGAGGCTCCTACTAGTATATACTCGTTACTCGTACTAGTAGAACCTTGACACTTGCCGCAGTCTGACTTCATCAAACAAACACGCTGATATATGAAAATCGGTTACATATAAAATTTTCATTGAAGACAATGTAAACATAAGCCTCGCATACTACATAGTATATCAAATATATGGATAATGCAATATGATGATAACAACATGACTCCGAATATCGATTAATCAAGAACAATTGTTGGGCGCCAGCCCTGCGATACTTTCAATCCTGAGCAGAGCATCAAGACCAACAATATTACAAGAGAGTGCACAGACTTACCTTGCGCACTTGACCAACCTTGTCCTTGTGGTGGATGGCTGAATGCGACGTGAGACCAACCGCAATCTTTAAAAATAATCCTCATGCATCCCAGCCCTATGTCCGTCTCATTGATTTTCTTCTCAACAGCTGCTGCTTGAAACTTGAGTAGACGCGCGGAAACCTCATTCTCCTGTAGCACACAGTCTGCAAGTGTCTTCTGTGCTCGGAAAACATCTCGCTTTGCTCTTACGAGATCAAGTACAAGGCTGGCTTCAGAGTCAGTTGGTTCATGGGTACTGGACTATTGAAAAGTAAGGCGTGATATGGATGATAGAAACGAGAAACGAAGACCCACCAGTGAATTGACAGCTTCAAGGACTCCATATAAGTCGCACATACTGCCACTGGCAGGAATTTCCACATTAGAATCATTGTCACGCTTAGTGTAAGAATGATGAGCAGGATTATCGGAGGAGGAAGCAAGTGCTGATAGTGATCGCAAAGTAGTAATGTCAAACTTTAGCGATGAGGATAACATGGAGGGACTCAGACAATGTAAGGCAGGCATCTGGGAAATGCCGAATGCACATCGAAAACCAAGTTTGCTTTTCTTAAGTCCGCGACTTAGATATCAGTACCAGCGCGCCGTCATGGCCCCAGCTCATTGTCCGTCGTGCAGAAAAGAATTTCGGAACCATACATCTGTCGCTCGTCATATGAGCCAACCACGGTCTGGATGTAATAATTGGCTAGAAGACCTGATCAAACTCAACTCTACCTTACCACTCACCGAAGATCCCATGGCAGTGGACAATACTATTGACGAAGGCCCCTCTTACGAACAAGGAGAGGATGTAAGTTTCTATGATTTGAGAACTGAAGGAGGGCATTTGGACTTTGAGGCATCTGGACACAGCAGAACTCGGGACGAGGTAGTTACCGACTACTTTCCACAGCCCCTGCTGGCTTTTGAGGAGGGTTACACATTTCTAAGCCTATTCGACGCAGACAAAAACAGTGTCTATCGTAAAAAAAATCTATACTATCTGTTCAGCGATCGAAGGGAATGGCAGCTTGCATTATGGCTTCTTCATTCGGGTTTGAGCATGGGGCAAATCAACGATTTCCTAGCGCTTGATATTGTAAGTCTTGAATTTGAATATCATCACGACAGCTTAGCTCAAAGAACACTTAGATCGATGATCTTCCTCTAACCTTTCACTTGGCAAAAGATTTATGAGGTCGAGCTGAATCATTACCTAGCGGTCCACGTTGGAAGTCTCAAGTTATTCCTACGTCACACCCCACAAAGTCTCCAGCAGTTCTCTACTGGCAGGATCCACTTGAATGCATCGCTTCTCTATTCAACCATCCTTTATTTCACAATCGCATAGACTACATGGCTTGCAAGGTGTATAACACAGCGGAGAAGCTCTCTCGGACATATACCGAATGGATGACAGGTGAACATGCCTGGGAGATGCAGGTATGTGATTCAGTCTCTCCTGAAGTCATTGCTTCATGCGTTCTTGTAGTCTGCACTTCCCCATGGCGCAACTCTCCTTGGTACCATTCTATCCTCGGACAAGACATGCATTACTGCATTGTCAGGCGACCACATTGCGCATCCTCTCCTTATCAGCATCGCCAACATTCATATGGACATACGCCTAAAATCATCTTCAAACGCCTTCCTTCTTGCTGCCTTACTTCCAGTCCTGAAATTCATCCACAAAAATAAATGAATGAGAGGTGTGTTGCAAGACCAGCTCATTCATCATTGCCTGGACATCGTATTAGAACCTCTCAAGTTGGCTGCTCGAAATGGTACCATGTTGTCCGATCCCCTCGGACACAGCCGTTACTGTTTCACGATGCTCACTAGTTATATTGCTGACACGCCAGAAGCCATGATGTTGGCATGTGTTGGTGGAAAGACGTCCCCAGTGACTATGGCGATGTACAAATATTTTGGGGATCCCTTCCAACATGAACCCTGGACACGATCGAAAACTCTTGCACAACTGGACATGGTGCATTCACGCGCTCGTCCAAATGATATTGAGGCCTTTTTCCGCGAGGCGCAGAAGTTTCGCCTGAATGGCATAGACAAACCATTCTGGTCGGACTGGTTGTTAGTGGATCCGTCCCGGTTTCTCACACCTGAATCACTGCACCACATTCATAAGCAGTTTTGGGACCATGATGTGCAGTGGATTATCCTTGCAATGGGAGGGTCCGAGATAGATTTTTGGTTTTTGGTTATACAGCCCACCACTGGTTATCGACATTTTCACGGAGGTATCTCCAAACTTAAGCAGGTTACAGGTCATTGTCACTGAGACATTCAACGATCCATCATCGCAGCCAGTGCAGATGCAGTACCTGCTGGAGTTATTGTTGCTGTACGTGCGCTCATGCACTTTCGTTATCTCGTGCAATCGCTGTGTATTGACGACAAGGATCTTGGTCGCATTACAGCTGCACTGAGCGAGTTCCATGCGAACAAACATGCGATCATTGCTGCTGGTCTTCGTCAGGGAAAAGGCAGTAAAGTCATCAACAATTGGCAAATCCCAAAACTCGAGCTTATGCAGAATATCGTGCCTAGCATTCGCAACTCTGGAGTTATAGCACAGTGGTCTGTGGATGTTACCGAGCATGCACACATCACCATGGTCAAAGACCCAGCAAGATCTACCAACAATAATAACTACGACCCACAAATCTGTCGTTATCTCGACCGTGCTGATAAATGCAATCGGTTTGAGCTTGCCACTAGCCTTTTGGATCATTCGCAGAGGGAAGACCCAGGAGTTGTTGGAGATGAATTTGTTGAGGAGGATGACGAGATCGACGATGACGTGAATGACTTTCCTGCAGAGCTGCTGTCCTCAATTCAAATTCCCGCACAACCACATCCTATCACGAATTACTTTTCACTCGCAAAAATACTCCAGCACAAGGAAATCGGATCGGTACCTGTCCCACTATGTTCTTTTACCATTGGGCGCACCGCTCTTCACCTTTCTTACAATCCATCCATCAGGAATGCCACTGTCAATGAAGTTGCTATCATGTTCTGCCTACCGGACTTACGACCAGCTATCGCAGATTTCCTTCACCGTGAGGCAACCTATGGTAATCACATACACTCAATAAGCGGTCCTAGAAGATCCACGCATGACACTCAGCTTCCATTTGACCACCTTCAAGTGTGGTTCAAAATTTGTCTGCAGGAGACTGATTTTCATGATCCCGATAATGTTCTACCCGTGCAAACGCTCAACTGCGCACCACCTTGTGGCCCATGGACTTTAGGTCGTTATGATACGGCCATTATTCAAACCAACTCAGGGCACTCTTGGCCTACCAGTGGCCTTTCAGGTACGTTCTTTCTGTCTTTGAGGGCGATACTCACCAAGCTAAAAAATAACCCAAAGGGCATTCCATTGGCCAAATTAGGCTTGTCATTTGGCCCATTGCCAGAAGTGGGATGCCGTGGGCATGGGATGATCAATTCTTAACTTACGTCCAATGTTTCGATATCTCTAGTGAATGTGTTCCAACCACTCAGCTCCATACACTGAAAAGGGCAAAACACTCGAATGGCATGCGGATGGGCGATGTCATTCTGGTCTCTCAGCTTAGAGCGCCTATCCATCTTGTTCCCCATTTGGCGCCACTGCGGACACGCGTCTCACCACATACAACAGCTTAGAGCATGCGATGGAGTTTTGGTTAAATTATTTTTGGACCAAAAATACCTTTTTTGCTCTATCCAAGTTTCATCAGTACCATTTTTGTAGGCTAAAAGATACAGGTACTCACTAGGATTCTGCATTGTTGAATGACATTGTTACACTTTCACCCAGTCATGGCGCCTGCAGATCACAGCAAAACTGTAGACTTCAGAATGAAGTTAGCGTCACTAATGTCAGCTCCCCGTGTCAGTGATGTGCCTATGATGGACAAACTCACCAATCTCGAGCTCAATCATCTGATTGTAGAGGAGGAAGAACCAGGCAATTCTACCCAGCCTCTTAGTTATTTGTTGTCGCGGATTTTCAGGACATTTACTATTGAAGTCCCAGATGCCACAGAGCTCCAGGTTCCATTACATAAAATTCGTTATCGTGATACCAGACTTCACGTTAAATTTGCTCACCTTAATGAACAGTCTATAGTTCCGTTATATGATGAAGCCAGCCGCAGGTGGAACTGGGCACTTCCCAGATCACATCATGAAACTGGCATCGATCAGTTACCCTAACTCAAAGAGATTGGAGATGGAGAAGAGGATAGCGGGGCGAACAAGGAGTCTGAGAGTGGGGGTAGTACTAGTGGCGACTCGGAGGGCCCATCAATTCAACAGCACCTTCTGGTTGACACCGCCAGTAGTGACACCAGCCAAAAACCACAGACGTTGGAGGATATCTTCTCGTCGTTCTTCAATGCTACGTGTGGTGCTGTTGCTCAGAAGAAGCGAGCACAGATCATGGCAGCAAATAGCGGAGCAGTGATTCGTACATGGAGTTCACGGAACTCCACGCGCCCTGTCAAGGATGATGAAGTATCGCGGAAGCCTGACCTTGCATTGTTGGACGACGTAGAGGCTCGTTGGGATACCATCAAAGCTGCTTGCGAATTGACGTCACAGCCATACACACCTTCAAGTACAATTGGAAAAACACTCGACAGCAAGGCCTACCTTCTCTTGAGGCGCCAGCCTTGGAGGCGGTTTGTCTTACTCTTTTCCCTTATGAACGAATACCGTGAACTGCGAGTCCATATTTACGACCACGCAGGTGGTGTCGTAACGCGTCCCATCCATATCGACAAGGCTCCCAATCGTTACCTGCATATCCTATCGAGCATTGTCTTCGGTCATCTTGAATGTATTGGTTATGATCCCTCCATTAGTATCTTCACCAAGACTCTTTGTCCTGCCCAGCTTGAAAACCCAATTCTCCACCCTTCTACTAGACAACAAATCGCACTAAATCAAGTGCATGGTCCCCAGATGGACGGTGCGACCGAAGGCACTGTACCAAATATGGATATTGATGCATCCGAATCTGAGTCTGACTCAGACGTGAAGACCCCACACTCAAAGCTGAACCTCCCTATGGACCCTCCTCAGATAGAAATACCCGAAGACCCTCTTCGCCAACCCTTTTCAGAACCAATCGGCAGGATCACAGTTAACGACCATGCATACGACATCCTCGAACTTATCTTCTCTAGCCAGGGGCTCGTCGGTCGAGGCACTGTCTGTTACTTAGCCAGGAGAGACAATGAAGAATACATTATCAAGGACCATTGGGTTCTTGGGGGTAAAGATGCTGTGTTGAATGAAGTCGACATGCTGCATGAGATGAAAGGGGTCCATGGCATACCAGAACTGGTTGAATATTGGCTTGTCGAGGTTGTACCTGGGGAAGTCGATAAAACTATGAGCTATCGATACAAGGTTTTTGAAAGTATCAAAGGTACCTCTTGTACACATCTGCATTTGGTTCTGAAGCCCTGCGCGTGACCTTTACATGCATTCCGGACCAAATTAGAGTTAGTAGGCGCTCTTCGAGACATTGTCAAAAGTGCGTACTATATCTGGTTCATCTTCTACATTACACTGACATATTTCTCAGTTCAACAGACAGCGGTTGAGGAGTGGGGAATTCTTTACCGTGACTGTAGTCTCAACAACGCTATGATCTGGGATGATGGCAATGGGGGTCAGGGAACCTTGATCGATTGGGAATTCGCCGTGCATATTGTTGCAGGTCGAAAATATGCTATCAGTGGGACGGTCAGTACCACTCTATTGCTGAGGGGATGAATATACTCACAGCAATCATCAGGGTACATTGCTGTTCATGTCTCGTTCTCTTCTATGGCAGCTCTCAGAGGCTGTTGGTGACCAGGTGACATCTCTTCGCAGCTGGAAGGCAAAGCTCGCAACACAGTCCTCTGCAACGCCCCCCCCCTCTCATACTACACCACTACCATGATGATCTCGAATCCCTTTTCTATGTCTTTGTGTGCATCTGCATCGAATTCAGGGGTCCCCTCGGAGTTAGATGTGACCTTTCAGCTGATAGGAGTCAAGAGTGGCTACCGCACCGATGGTCTACCAACACGCTCCGAGACACCACCAATGAGAAGACTTCATTTTTTTTCCACCCAAATGCGCAAAAGCTCAAACGACAATTCCACCCCTACTTCACCAGTCTACTCCCGCTTGCAAAAGATTGGTACGAGTTGATCAGGAACAAAGGACCATCGAGTACAGTAACTTTCCAGGAGGTCATTGATCTATTGGAAATGCACCTCGACATGCTTCCAAAGAACGAGCCTTCCCCTGAACTTCTGTTCGCAAGGAGAGTCATTGCAGCGCTCCTGCAAAAGAGAAACGCGAATGAATTGGAGGGTAATGATACAGATTCACAAATAAATGAACGTCATGCGACAATAGGTCAGATGGGTTGGACGATGGAAGTTGCACCCCAGCCCAAGCGGAAGAGAACTACATAAGTAATCATTCTTCAAGTTAAGCGCCTTGCTTAGTACTAGTCAATACCCCTTTTACGTGTACAATTGAACTTTTGTTCTGGAGATATTCCCACCCACATTCAAACATACTCGGCTATATATTCACAAGTTCGACGCAAGGAGGTTTTTTACACATTTTCTCTCAGCCTACGGCATTTTGACTCAACTTCGAAGCGGACTCGTGGACTCGGCTACATCTCATCAACCCCATTCATGGTCTGTGCTGCGCTGTATTACATTTGGTGCGCTTGTGTATGATGTTTTATCTTTAAGTGCTTTTCAAGGTGCGATGGGAGCTAGATTTAAAAGTAAGTATCTGTAAATTGTTGGCGTCGTGGTTCATCTCTCCCCCTTCTTTACTCATGCCAGGTAGCCCCAAGAAAGGAAAACGAAGCGGAAAGCTACGGATTCCGACCTCAAAGCACCTGAAGGGCAAGAAGGTGTGGTGAAGAGAGCGTGTGCTCAGGCTGGGTCAACCACCAATCAAGTGGATGAGTCGCAACACCCTCGACGGTCAGGACGTCCAGGCGCTGGGAAGGGAGGTAGAGACACTCAGCTGGAGAAAATTGGCGCCATCTTGCATGCCCCAACACGGACCAACCAAGCCAAGGGTAATACATCCCTTGATCCGAACATTCCTACAAATCCTCTTGCTCCAGAACCGCCTTGAAAGGGTCGCGGAAGCCATTCCAAGGTAATTTTATCCTGTTTGTAGGGTACAATACTAACCAGGCATTCAGAAGAAGCAGCCTCCTCTGCCATATAGCCCCTCGGAGACATTAGATGTAACGACTTCGAAATCATGCTCAAAGAACAAGGTGAATTTCTATTCCGCGAATATATATCTACTAATCCTTGTGCAGACTCCCGTCTCTCTTGCCCCGAGCTCTGAGTCATTTAACAGTCAACCAGCTTTTGCACCATGTGAAGCTGGCGGCTGATATGGATTTTTGCCCCCGATCACTTCCATCGTCCCCCCCAGCATGGAACCAAATATTAATGCATCAAATAATGCCATCGTGGCCAATGCTAGGAGGCTCCACGCACTGTCTACTCCCGACACCTCCCAAAGTCAGACTCCTGTTGGTACCTCTAACTTGTCCCAATCTCAAGCTCGTGTTTCTGAAACTCACCATCCGATCACTGCTCCTCGCACCAAAGATCCAGTACCTTCCAAGACAACTTCAACTACTGCAACGCTATCAAACACCAACTTCTACGATAATTTGGATCCTGCCCTCCAGTTGAGTGCACCACCAAATCCAGATTCTGAAGAGTCAAGCACGTCGAAGGATGGGGATTCATCTAGTTCGGATGAAGGTGGTGAAGACGAGCAGATCGGTTGGGGGGAAGTTCGTGGGCGTCATAGTGCTCATCCTGGCAGGACCTTCCCTCTTTTAAATTATGTTGCGCTGATGAACAACAGGTTTTTCAAGGGAAGAACTACCGTCCCAATCTCAAGTGGCGACTGTGCTGCCAACCGATTTCGAATTCCAGCACTCACGCGACGAAGATGACCAAGTGGCCGAGAGAGTTTTGGCGGTTGATGGTGATTTAAGTGAGAGTAGTGCGGCGACGGATCAAGAGAGTGCTCCCCAGGTATGAACTTCATATTTTGCTGGAGTATACTAATTTCTCATTTAAGCCGGACAATGTCTTGAGAGCTCACCACGAGAGAAATGGCTATCCCCGCCTTCCTGACCCCGCCCTTCTAGAACTTCTCCGCTCTGCTGAGGTAGATGTCCCTAACCCAAAGGCTAAACCAAAGGCAAAACGGAATCGGAAATTGAAATTGAAATTGAATGCAGAAAACGCATCTGATGATAAAGGGCCCAAAGCTTCTCAACTGGGATGGTATAGTTCGTGCTGGAAGAGTTTCCTTGAAGATGCGAAGGAGGAGTGTCGCACCCAGCAAGCATTAGAAAATCCATTTCCAAGCCTTGTTGTTGACATGCCGGTCTCAATCACTGAATGTCTTTCAGCATCCCTCGTGCAATGGCTCAAAACCGGCCACCAAGTTGATGCTGGTAAGTCCCTGTTTCCGTCGAGATAGTCAATTGACTCGAGGCATCCAACAGGTGTGTGGCCCGAACACAAACCAGACATGGTGAGGCTGGTGCGCTATATATATTGTCATACGCCTCATATCTTATTGATTTTCTAGTTGTACGATGACCTGGCAACTTGGCATTCTGAGCTCAAAAAAATTGTCATCGCTATCGCACCTTCTGCATATGGCCTCGTCCCACCAGCTGATATTCCCATTCAAGAACGCGCAGCTTGGGTTGAAGCTGCCGCTGCAGATTTGTTGGACGATGGCAAGTTTTTGCGCTATGGACTGGACAATTTAGGGAAAACGAGGAACTTCGCTCACCCCGCATTTCTTGAAGCTATCATTCTCTTCATGTATACCGGAACTTATCGCATTGCTAGTAGGCGACCAGATATTTTTCGGAAACAGGTACCATTGAAGTGTTTGGCTCTCATTTGTACAGCGGTACTTTCTTCATAATGATGTGCTGCCACAAATTTTCTGACATTTTTCTAGTTCCACTGCATCCTGCAAGGCCTCGCAAAACACGGCAATGGCAAGCTCTATCCGAAGTTTACCGCCAAGGAGTATGAGACTGTTTATATGGCAATGCTTGGTCTACTCGAAAACGTCAAGAACAATCCTTATCACGGTCCGAAGCTGATGCATCAGCTTCGTGAATGGGCTCAAGTCAGATGGTTAGGACTTTTTTTGTGTATCGTTTAGTGCTGACGAATTTCTCAAGGGTGGAGGCATCCAAACACGACGGCATCAACACATCAAAGCACCATAACCTACGGGTGCAGCTTGATTGAGGCTCCTGGTACCGTTTTTCGCAGAATTAACCCGTTGCATCATGTTTTCGCTCTCTTTTGTTCTTATTTACCGTTTACTACTACTACTAGTTTTGTGTTTCCGCTGATTCAATTATATCGTGATTTTTTGCACTAGTATTGTACCCGATATGAATAAGCTAAATTGTGAATACCTCTAAGCAGTCTGTGAGTACCTGCACAAACATGGACAGAGGTCTGTACAGACGGACAGAGGGTTGTACAGATGCTGACAGAAAATAATACTATTTAAAAGACCTATTTGGTACCTACTGGGTGGGTCTGTGAGCATCTGTACAGAGATTGACAGAGAACATCCTACTGTGATGAACTGGCTAGTAAGGACCAAGCTGTCCACTTGGTGTGCTGTACAGATCTGGACAGACCTGTACAGAGCGTGGTAATTTACTGATGAAAGCGGTGTTTGCATTGGTCAGCAAAACTAAGTTAGCACGCGAGTTTATAACAATGTTGTGATATTGTGCCATTACTGCCTGTAAGAACTAATAGCGTCCAGTTCGTATGTTTTGTGAATGTTGCTATGAGACCTGTAGAGATGCTTCTCCTAAATATCTATATATTCCATAAGAAATCTTGGTTTTTCATACACACCCCCCAGATCTAAACTTACAAGACACATCAATGATGGAGTTGAAGTATAGCAGCATCATAAGCATACAAGTCATGGTAGTGTAGTGGCCACGAATTGAGAGCCTATTCTCCCTTTGTCTTATGTATGGTCTCGGTTTTATGGCTATATAAAGCATTCTAATGGAAAGTTGCTTTTACAATGACTGCCGAATTTAATGGGCCATGTGACTCAAAAATGAGATTGAGGTGCAGCGACGTCGGAACATACGAGGCACAATAGTGTAACATGCATAACGACACCTGCTATAAGCACCTTAAGTATGGGGGAAAAGAGAGGGGATGCAAATTGTCGAATGCGGCTTGATGGCACAGTGTTAGATGTGGAGACTGGCTCGATCGAACTTCATCAGTGGCGGGGTCGCGTGAACAACTTTACAGACTGGATATTGTTTTTGTTGCAATGTAACACGGACACGCAATTTATTGGGTTGGGGCTGCTGTCTTTTACATCAGAGTATATTACGAAAGGGGATGTATGTTGGTTTACTAGTACAGGCGTTAGATTTCGCTACAAAGATGCATGATGCTAAGTCTATTGATACAGAAAGTGTCAATGATACTCATAGGTGTCAAAATGTGATCTCGAACTTGTACGTTTCGAGGAGCGCTTGAACGGCCGCAATATGATAGTGTGCCGGGCTGCATGCTGGTCATGACATGCGGTGACTGCATCACACATTTGGGCGAACATGCTTGCAATGAGTCTGAGGCGGGTGTGGCTTAGTAACGCAGAGAGAGGCAAGGAGAAATGAGTAGGAGAATATTGCCCTTTGCGTTCTCGTAGGGCGCATAGTGATCGCAGGCTTGCTCGAGGGAATGAAAGAGATCTTCGCCAGGGACAAACTCCCAAGACAAGGAGTAGAAAAGTGTCAGTCTCGAGTATACGGTGGAGTGTGACAATGTTCGGATGTGGAGAGAGGAATTGGTGTATTGTGACTTCTGTGAGTTGTGCTGTAAGAGCGTCGGAGTCGAGGTTTGCCTTTGAAAGGACTTTGAGAGTAAAGTCTCTGCCATAAAAGACTCGGTAGGCGGAGGGGTTGGATCGAGATCGAGGACGCCAATGTGGCCATCTTTGTTGATGGGCATGCGGTAGATGATTTCATGGACGAGATAGATGACTGCATAGCTGCCTGTTCCTAGTCTACGAACGACTTGGAATTCTTTTGCAATGTTCATATCTATTGGAGCGAGGACGCAAAAATGAACTGGATCGCCCTGGAGAAGTAAGTCCTCGCCTACGAGGTCGCCTGGAGTTAAGACATCTTCTATCAGACATGATACTGATGGAAGAATTCCATACATGCTTGTCGGATCTCTATTGAACGGGTACTGAGCATCAACGGATGAGACCGGTGATGCAACATCTGAGCTCTCAAGGCGGGAATCAAGACGATATTGAGAGGGAAGTTTCGAAGGAGGTTTGGGCATGTATAACCGTTTGAGTGTTCCCTGCAGGCCATCCAGGTGTAGCTTCAGATGACGGTTTTGCCAACAGCTGCGAAATACTGGGGAAAGTTTCCCTGTCAGCTCATTGAGATTGTAGCACTTCACTTGTAACGTACTAGTAGTAAGTGCCGGAGGATTTTCGCAGGGCCAGGCACCCCGAACTTTGTTGAGAATGACTTGCTTTTCAGAGCGACACTTGTCTTTGAAAGCTGAATAACGATGCTTCTCCATAGTCTTTTCATCTTCGCCGGGCATTGCAGGTACTAGGTGTCTCTCCTGGCTATTTTCATAATGTTTGGCTGCATATGTTGACAATTGAGAATGGCGGCTGGGAATGAGTGCTAACTGTGTGGTGTGGACGTTTATCTCCCAAAAGGTAATCATTATTGTTTGCTACAGCAATATATCACCATTAACTGAATCAGACTACATACAATGCTTCCATGGAACAAAACATCGAGTTCAACCAAGAGAATGGTCTATACAACTCACCAGCAGTAAGTGAACAAGTTTTGCCTACAGTAGCTTGCCTAACCCTAATACTAGCAACTCCAAGACCATACGACTATGATCGTCCCGGGCCCTCTGATCATCAGCGATTCAGCGATTGTAAGCAGCCGCACACTACCAGATATCATAGCAAGCCCTAACGATTTCCAGGCAACGTGGAACACTACGATGCAAACGGCTCAGGACCGGATTAGAAATCATCGTTCTGCATCGCAGCTTGAGCCCATTCACACCACAGACAAAGACAAATGTTGGCTTACTTTGATGGTGTTACGGAGGGAGCAGGAGTTGGATGAGATTATGAAATATGCAGAAAATGCCTGGCAGGAGTTGAATGAGGTCAAGAGGCTGTTGGGGGTCAGGAGGAATCAGTAGGAATCAGATTGGTCATATCGGTTGTGATTGATGAAACATCAAATGTCGGACTCTGGTATCAGCTCGAAAGAAGTTTAATGCATGTGAGATATTCGACGAGACCAAAATACAAACCATACGATCAATGAAGAGTAAATTCCAACAGAGAAACCTACTTCATAACTGAGAGGGTGGAAAATGTTCACCGAATCCACGTCTCGTTGCTTGCATCCCCATATAAGATCTATCCGAGCGGGAAGCTGACCTAATGGCCCTTCAAGAACCTATTGACACACCAGAATAAGAATACAATTATTGAAGTGGCAAACGATCATCGATCTGTACTCGGTAAGAAAAAAATATGGGCAAATAGAATAAACTTACGAGCTGATGTGTGTTCTGTAGTGGAATGGCTCTTCATCAACACTGCTCAGGTTAGTATAGCGAGTGTCCACAGCCTCACGACGCTCAGCCGTCAATGCTCCCATAAGTTTAGCGAGACTGAATTATTATGTTAATCGGATCTACAATCTGAGGGAGTATACAAACTCACTCTCTAAACACATCAGTAGATGAAAGATCTAGCACTTCCAAAACATAATAATTGAGAACCCAAGCTAAAACTCGCTGTGAGTTTGCTTGTGAATAAGGAGGTAAAGACCACTGACGAAAAACGGGGTATTGAGTTACCCACTTGGCGACGTGACTTATCAAGGAAAATAACCAGCAGCATGCAGCTATCTTTGAAGAAGATCTCGAACCTGATGACCGGGTTAGTAAAGTGACATGCAGTGAGTGACACATCTCACCCTACATCTTGGAAAAGGAACATCCTGTCAGAAAAGCCTGAAACTTGCTCTAATGACCTGTCACAGAAGATATTCAGTATGACAAAAGATAGAATAGAAAAGTGTTCTCTATACCATCGTTGAGCCCGCTGTGAGTTCCAAACGTCCACAGCACTTCCGGATATAAAAATCAATCCTTCCAGCGCATCACCTGCACCAATAACTTCACCTTCACTAGTCTCTATAAGGCCTTCTAACATGTACAGGTGGGTACGCCCGAAGATCAACATGCCAACTAGGAATCAACGATTGAGAATGCTAGTCAGCAAGTCAGTAATTTGACCGCTCACGAAAGGAATCAGCGCTGGATACTCGGCAGACAGTGCTAACAGCCTCAATGACATCACCAGGTTCGAGTTGATGCCTCACTCTCCTGAGTTTGTCCTCAGTTACCTCTTTAGCGAGCTGATGATCACCTGGAAACAATGTTAGTCAAAATTGATAAAAAATCAAGAGTAAACAACAACCGTCTTTGCCTGTATAAGATGGAACAGCCACGGTATTCGGAGAAGCAAGTTCTGACTGGGACAGCGACAATAACTCTGAATCAAAAGCTGACGAAGCTTCCTCACGACCAGTAGACCTCAAGTCCTGCACAAACATTTCTCCATCTTTGTCCTGGCTGGTATCATTGTTTTGCCTCTAACAGCGAAAAACTCACTGACCTAACTTTGTGCGGTCCTTCAGTCTCGTCCAATTTCTGCACCTCCTCCCAACAGCCCCAAACCTCAAACTCAGAAACAGACTAACTCGTAAAGTCTACCACCCGCCTTTGGGATCATGGCTCGCAATACACATGTAACCTGTACCTAAAATAGGTATTGGTCCTCTTCGAACAACAGGGAAGATGGATGCTGATTTGGTTTCAGATTCATCTGTAACGGGCGTCAAGATAGGTCAGTCTCAGCTGGCCATAAGGTTGAATGTACCATCTAGGCAAGGCATTTTTTTCCCCATGTGGAAGCTGGCATAATCTGAAATGAAATGTACGCTTTCATAGGTGTAATATGTGAACAAGATGGACTATCACCAACTGAAGTTTGTGAATGATGCCCTGGAAAGATTGCAGCGTAGTTATAAAGCAAGAGCGTCATGTTTTTCTGCACCAGTCTTTACTGGAGGAACGCATATTGAATGGGTAGAAGTAATTGAATTCGTGCTTCAATGCATCGGCTTTTTCCTTTGGGAATGGCTCTAAGTCTGGCCACAGTCTATTGAGGAAGATGTATTCCCAGGCCTCATTCGTCATCTGCTTGGCACTGACGACCAGAGGCCCAGGTGTGTCCGACCAAAGATGTCACCACCTAAGTGATTGTGGTCAGTGAGATGATAAGGTATAGCTCTAGCACCTACCAGGCAACAGACGTGCAACAGTGAAGTATCACCGTGGCATCTTTAGCGCTCAATGTCAAGTTGCTGGATGTCACGGTAGTGTGGGAGAGAGAGAAAAAGAACACCCGATTTTGGCTCTTGAAGTTGAGATGTATGAGGAGGAGGAGTCCAGAGTAGTTGAAAGGTGAAAGGGTACATCATCGAGAAAAAGAGTTCAAGAGCGAGACGACTCGTGGCCAAGAGAAAGGGTTAGAAAAAGATGGTACGTGCTCCAGAGGAAGAGCTTATGTCGAATTAGGTTATGAGCCAATGGCGAGAGTCACTACACATAAAGGGCATGCTCCAGTTCATGATCCATGATTGAGCCTGGTAGTCGTCCTACAGGCTCAACCCTTATTTGAAGTCATAAAGAACAAACACCGCTTCTTGTATTGTAAAGTGCTTTCCTGGGCAAATGTCAACTCTAAGGTCAGCAGCATCTGAGACGAGATCCTCGGAGAGGATGTCCTTAGCAGAGTCTTCATGGTATGCTATAAGTGTGCACTAATCAGAAGGAATGGAGCAAGACGTTACCTCCATGATGTTCGCTATTGGAGGGCTCCTCTGCTTTGACAACGGATGCTTTCTTTGCTCGCCTGTTCTCGACGACATCTGCACCATCGCCATCACCCTCGATGTCCTCCTTTTCTGGAGACGGTGAGGTGAACACGGCTTTATAGCCCTGCAAACAAGGTAAGATTATTCCTGGGCAACTCGGGTATGGGTACGACAAACCTGCACAAGAATTCTGCCCTTGAAGAGCCCATCCTCCAGATCGTCTACAGCTGCTCTTGAAAAATATTATGATAATGCCTTGGAAGATATACATGATTAGGCTGCTGTCTTTGCCAAGATAACTTGAACTAGTAATACCCTTCGTTGGTCCATATAAAATTTGTGCTCCTCGGATCCCTTTGATGGTGGTTCAAGCTTGTGCAGATGTGCAAATTCTTCGCCCGTTTTTTACTATATTTCATTAGGACCTGAACTACAGAGTCTTTGAGGCAGTCATTGGCTATCAATCTGTCATGGAGATCAAATGGCATGTAAGATAACGACGAAGTTCGAGAAAGCCGAACATACAGGGTAGCCTGACGTCCTCAGGTTGTTCTTCAACCTTGACAAGTATGGTAGTAACCCACTAGCAGGAGTCCTTCAAGTTGCTCTATTCAAGTTGATCTTGGCAGAGTAAGCGATCATGATGGTCAGGCGATGTTTGGTAAGGTGGACGAAATCCTCCCTGTGGATACCTGCAGAGTCCGAGTCGGTATGGATACTATGACTATCATCGATAAGCAAGGCACAAAGAGATGTGCTTTGAGAGTTGAAATGGAGGTGAGCACCATTCCTGAAGTCGGTACAGTACTGTAGTATCCAACAATTTCAATCTCCGGCCAACAACGTGACAAACTTCTGATGTTCTCTACTGCCCTTAGTGCAGGTATGGCGGTATACATGATGAACATTGAATGCAAAGATGACTCGGACGCCTGCAGCTCAATACCAAAAAACTGTGTTAATTAAATTGAAGGAATTTAAAAAGATAGAAGGTCGTCGTCGTCTGAGTTGTCCCCATTGCCATGATCTTTCTCAACTCCCTCGTCTTCATGCTCTAGCTCCTCATCGCTAAGTTCTTCATCGCTCATTTAATCATCATCATCATCCTCGCTGCATCCCTCACAATCCTCACCGTCACTATTCTCTGCATAGCCCACATCCTCCACCTCATTACTGTCGTCCACAACGTCCATTGCATCGCCCGGTGTAGCACTCGAGCTTGCGCTAGGCTCATATTCAGCTATTTTCCCATGCATGTCAGACACACGAATCACTTCCAATGTTATCCGACACTCATCCGCACAATCCGATGTTTATCCACTAAACCCGACGCTAACCCGCTAAACCCGACGCTAATCCGATGGACCCGACATTTCCCGCGCATCGGACCCGATATTTTCCTGCGCACTTGTCCTCCCTATGTCTTGTCCTGTTGTATCTATCCCCACTAGGTGCGCAGTTATTCATTTTCACGTCACTAACATTGTAGAATGCGTTATTACATGTCCGCAGTACATCGTGTCTTATTACATAGGACATCGGACCCGAAAATCAGCGCTACTACTTTCGCCTATAGCACTCCGAAATTCTACATAGATACTATATATTTCGCATACCTCCTACCTATTTACTTCACCTTTCTACCTCCAAGTAGGAGGAGGTCATCTGATATTTGTAGTTCTTAGTTGGATTCCGCAATATCATCCATTCCTTATCCGAAACATCTGACAGTAACCTGCCATTCACTATCCCCGACATTCGCTACATTCCCAACGCAAACCCGATGCAAACCCGACAAACCCGCTAACCCATAACCCAAAAACATCGGACCCGACGTTTTTGACATCGGACTCATAATTATACCTTCGGACTTTGTTTCCCACGCTTCGGACTATCTTCCTTTTGATATAACTGATTATTCTAATACCAACAGCAAGCCCCTCAGGTCGAACGCACTTGTCTTGCAAGTATAAGCAGACTAGGCTGTGCACGACCACAACATTATTATATTGCTGGCTACTTACTTTGTGTAGTGCTGTTACAGGCATCCGTAACACCTACAGAAGCCCCAGCTCTGCCTACGCCTGCCCCCGCTCTGCTAGACTCCCCGTGCGGCGGTGCGCCGTCCGCGCCTAGAAAAACAGCGGTCTGGACCGCTATGACCCCGCCCCTGGCGCTATGACCCCGCCCCTGGCCTAGACGGCCTTGTACCTGATCCATGGAGGCTGTACTACTCATGGTCACCCTAGATCAAGCGCATGTATACAGCATGTCGCTTCATGTAGATCTGGAGTGCCCTTGGCGCCTCATGTACCTATGCACAGTCGCACTTGGCGCTGCATGTTACAGGCATCTGTAACACCTACTAGAGCCCCAGCTCTGCCTACGCCTGCCCCCGCTCTGCTAGACTCCCCGCACGGCGGTGCGCCGCCCGCACCTAGAAAGACAGTGGTCTGGACCGCTGTGACCCCGCCCCTGGCGCTATGACCCCGCCCCTGGCCTAGATGGCCTTGTACCTGATCCATGGAGGCTGTACGCCTCATGGTCACCCTAGATCAGCGCATGCATACCGCATGTCGCTTCATGAAGATCCGGAGCGCGCTTGGCGCTTCCTGTACCTATGCGCAGCTGCCCTTGGCGCAGCATGCTTGATTAGAGGTTAAGCCTCATGTATCTTATCTGAACCTCATGTCTGGCTATCATAGATTTACGATATACTATTGATTACAGACTGAGCTAGAATACTTGTAGTACTTCCCTATAAGTAGACACAGATTATTGTACTTAGACTTTACTTTAATCTACTAGGTTCATCCCCAGAACTTGCTCATCTAAGCCTTAACCAGCTTCCTTGTGTGAGACCGCACTTCTAAGTCGCCCCCATACGACTTAGCACATATCCGCTAGCCCTGCATCTCGACGAGCGCCGTCTTACCGAGATCGCCGGAGGAATCCTTGACGTTCCGTCAAGGCTAGACCACGCTCAGCTTCAGTAGACTCACTCGAGTCGTCGCTGAGAAGACCTATCCTAGTTCGCACACGCCGACCAACGGTCAGCGTAACACTGCATGCTTGATCAGAGGTTAAGCCTCATGTATCTTATCTGACCTCATGTCTTGTTATCATAGATCCTAGATGTACTATAGATTACAGACTGAGCTAGAATACCTATATGTAGCACATATAAGTAGACAGATTATTGTACTTAGACTTTACTTTAATCTACTAGGTTCATCCCAGAACTTGTTCAACTAAGCCTTCCAGCTTTCTTGTATAAGACCGCACTTCTAAGTCGCTCCCCGCTTCTTAGCCGTATCCACTAGCCCTGTATCTCGACAAGCACTGTCTTACCGAGATCACCGGAGGAACCCTTGACGTTCCGTCAGGCCGAGAACCACCCTCAGCTTCAGTAGACTCACTCGAGTCGTCGCTGAGAAGACCTATCCTAGTTCGCACACGCCGACCGACGGTCAGCGTAACAAGTGCCCAGCAATTGTTGTATCTCTACACCGGTGATGCAGGGCTACTAAGACAGTCTCTAGTCATTTTCTGTATCATTGGCGGATGCCCCACACCAAGATGACCATAGCGCATGAACATATCTCGGTCAACGAATCTGCACCAGAGGTTGAGTATCAGTATACCATAAGAATGGATATTTACACTCACATGCCAATGTAATATGCCTCCCAGTCATCTAGTTCCTCTCCAGGACGTGCTAATGTTTTTCCGTGGCAAAGCGAGCTTACACCACGTCCCAAAGCAAACACTGGAATCAAGTGCACTCCTCGGATCACTTGCCCTGGGTCAAGAAACTTGAATGTGTCTGTGTCAGATTCCTCCACGAAGGCGA